ATTTAGGCATATGTTTCGGAGCGTTTAGGACCTGGATTTTCATTCTTTTGGCACGAAGTACCACTGATAAGTCCTATATGAATACATAATAATGTGATAATAGATCTTTAAAATGTTTGTTTTGTTTGGCTTTCTTAATCAACAAAACTGTATTGTGAGGTGTGTGTGTCCTTAATTCGTATTTGTAGCAAAAGTGTGATTGACTTTGCTGTTAGACTATCTTTCTCCGGGGCAGGCAATAACTTTTTAACTGCATAAATACTCCGGAATAGTTCAATAAAAAACAACTTTTGTTTAAAAATAAATCCTATGTTGCAGCAAACTGTAGTACATTTGCACCGTTCAATGGATTGTATAGGCAACGTTCCTTTTCCCTTTTCACTGTTTTTTTCTAAATGTGTTAGGGAGCACAAATTTAAAGGTTGGATGAACACTTGTAGCTGGAATATATTGCGACACGGTATGAAATAGAGAAAAGATTAAAATATTTCTGCATGTGTAAGGGACACCTAAGACTTAGATTTTTATCATTTTGGCCTGAAATACCACTGGTGAGATTTAAACAACGAAATGGCCATACTTTGCAGTAAAATGACTACTGTGTGGACCTTATTCATTTAAAAACTAAATTTTGAAATGGGTGCTTCCTTCTAGTCGTTACATAACGCTACGAAATGCTTGTCTCGGCTTGTTGGATTTCTTTCCTCGAGGCGTGCTGTAATCTTGTAGCTGGAATATATTCTGCCACGGTATAAACTACTAAATAAACACCGTTAATTTTACAGTTATGGGATCGCACAACGTTACACGATGTGCGGTGTGTAATTTCCACCATTTCTAAATACTACAATATTGGTTTTTTGCTATATTTACCTCCAGATTCCATTTTTTATTGTAAACACTCCAACATTGATTGTAGTCCTTCTGGAGTTTCAGCAAATAACACCATATCGTCCGCATACATTATAAGAAATATATTGATCATTTGTATTTCAATGCTGGGACAATTATCCTTAATAAAATTAATTTCAAAGTCATTTACATATAAAGAAAACATTATCGGTGACAATATTTCCCCTTGTAAGAGACCTGACATGTTAGGGAAGCATTGGCTATAATTATCATTGTGTTTAACGCATGACTTTACATTTTGATATAATGAATATACTATTTTGAGAAATTTACCACGTATACCGTAATTAATCAATTTTCCCCATAACATAGATCTGTCAACAAAATCAAAGGCTTTACGGAAGTCAATGAAGCAACAATATAGTCTTTTCTTAGGTCTTATTAATTAATGACTGTAAAACAAAAATTGCATCTACAGTGGACAATCCATTCCTAAAGCCGAACTGCGCGTCTGTTAAAATACTGTTCTGTTTTCCCCATACCATTATTCGATTATTCAAAACACTAGTAAAGAGTTTCCCAAAACAGCTGACTATCGAAATTCCACGGTAATTATTAACATCATTAACATCGCCTTTTTTAAATATTGGCACAATGCATGATTGGGACCATGACTCTGGGAAACCCAGAACTATAACAAACGCTCCAAACAAGGCAACAGTATACCTTTACCTTTAATAAAAAAATTATTAATAATAAGATCTTCGCTACAACTCTTATTAGGTTTTAAATTGTTAATTGCTTTCAAAATTTCCTCTCTACTAATAATTGAATCTAGTTCCTCATATACAGCTTCCTGGTCTAAATCAGGTTCTAAAACATTCGCATCTCTGCCACCCATGAGCTTAATAAAATATTGATAAAATTCCTCAATTCCTAGAACAGAGCTATTACTGGTTGTTTTTTTCTTAGCAAAAAAAATATAAATATGTTTTGGTCTTGATCTTTTTAAACGATCCAGCATGTCACCTTCTTGTCGTTTGTAAATACGTTTAAGCCTAAACTCCGTGAGCTTATATCGTCGTTTTGCATTTGTCACAACCTCGTGATTGGCAACAGATTTGTTCTTATTAAAAACACTTAAAGCTCTCTTATATTCAATAAAAAAAGTTTGACATTCTTCTGTAACCCTAGGCTTATCAACGACTCTATTGTTTCTATTTCTAAACTGGGTAGGGTAGTCATTTGTACTGCTACCGTTCTTACAATAAGGCACAGTGCAATCATATATAATATTACATATATTTGAAACACATTGGTTAACTAATAATTGACTCGACAGTTCAATATCCAATTCTTTCTCAATATTTTTGATAATTTGTTGTAATTTATTCAGAATAAGATTAGCATTTGCTTCATTCCACCTAGCTGTTTTACATTTCGATTTGACATGATCGTTTGTATTTAAACATTGACGCACATTTGGCTGGTCAGGTATCGGTAGCCTTATAAGTATATCAAAAGACAAGGGTGAATGATCAGATAGAGTGTTGAACTCACCTGAGGAAAAGTTTCGGACACATGTCATATATTCACAATCGACAAGTAAATAATCAATAAGACTTGTACCATTATTGCTACAAAAAGTAAAACTTCCTTCTCTATCGCTTGTATGACGCCCATTTACAATGCACATGCTGGTTGATTTGCATAATGACAACAATTTTCTTCCAAAAGTGTTACCAGTTTTGTCCATGTTATTACGTTCCGTGATAACAGAATCATTATTGTATTCAAAAACATTACCATTATCCAACCTATTTAGGCCATCATTTATAATAAAATCATACCTAGTACCTGTTCTAGCGTTAAGATCACCGGAAACATATACATTGCCATTCGTTTTATAACGACTAATAGAATCTTCGAAATCTTGGAAAACATCGATATCACGGTTATGGTAAAACACACTGTTTTCTGGTGGGAAGTAACAAAAACATAGTAATAAAGACTGTAATGTACTATTAAGTTCTAGCCAAAAAATACAATCATGCATATTTTCTACAAACCGAATATAATTGGCGTAATTAATTTTGTAGAAAATAACAACACCACCACCTTTCCCGGTAGTTCTTGGAAATACATAAACAATGTGCCTAGGTAGCTCTATCTCGTCTGTTTTTGAGATCCAACATTCTGATAGGAATATGATATCATGCTTAAACACGATTTCTAAAAAGTTGGTGTCCTTAAGTTTGTTAACAAGTCCTTTACCAATGTTCCATGATAGGAATGACAAGTCACCCTCCTGTATGTCCTACCTGTTGTTCTGCCTCGGTTGCGGGGCGGCGGGTGGTTCCCAGGGCCGCTGCGGGCCCCTGCTGGATGACGCGTGGGCATCATTCCTGTATCTAGAATGCAGCTGGCCATTACGACTGTTGGCCGCTTCGCTGTGACCATCGTGGGGTTGCGTTGATTGCCTTTGACCATCAGTTCCCCGGTTTTCGTCGTACAACTGACCGTTTATATACAATTTGTCTCTTACCAATCTTGCATCATTGCCGATCTGTTTGTGGTGCTTTAGCAAATGGTACAACCTCCTTCTGCGGTCCTCTACCGGTGCTGGGTACTGTTCGTGTATTCCGAAGTTAGTCCCCTTCAGCTTGTAAGAGTTGCTTTTGACTAACTGTAGATCATGCTGATACAAGAACCTGGCCACAATAGGACGATTTTTCCCGCGTACATGACGTCCAAACCTGTGCACATTCCCAAATTCTATTCTGTGATCCAGACTGGGCTCATTGAATACAAAGTCTCGTAAAAGGGATTCTGAATCCTCATTTCTAACCTCTCCTCCAAGCCCAGTGAAAACTAGATTGTTTTTCATGGATCGAAACTGTAGATCTATCACTGTATCTTGTAGTGCGTTCCGGTTTTCGTGCACCTGTTCCACTTTTTGACACAATTCGTTTATGGCTTGCTCCTGCTTTCCTATCCTCTGGGATAACTGTTTACCGCCAAATTCCTTTTTTCGACTTCATCTAGCTTATTGGCTACAAAATTAACTGATTGTTCAAACTCTTCAGCCCTCTTTTCAACCGTTACAACTCTTTTTTTCCAAACCATCTACCTTGGCAGTAAGATTGTTCAACTTGTCATCAATCTTGTCAAACTTCCCTAACTTTTCTAAAATTAAGTCTAGCTTTCTGTTAATTTCTGTGACGTCATCAGTGACCGTTTCTTTTGGAAATTTAGGCGTCATTTAGGATGGATCTCAGTAGCCCCGTTGATTGATTGCTAACGTCCGTGCTGTCATTTACTTCTCCCTTCTTGCGCTTTTTTGAATTTTTACCCATATTGATGCAAGTCACATAATAAATCACAAAACTAGGTGGAAACAATCAATGCTAACTATTTAACCACAGTTCAGTTTCTTCCCCGTGTGACATTTCTACAGGTAAAACCAAAACCACTGGAGCGTGACGAATTTTTCTGGACAACAGTATCCCACTCAGGTGTGAACGCGTTCACTATCAGTTCAAAAAAGTTCAAAGTTCAATATGTAAACAAAGACATACAATAGAACTGACCGAAAACTGTCAATAAAAATGAATTCCAATCAATATATACTGTTCATGCAACGCTACCTCACTGGAGAGCTCTTCCGAAACGCACTTGCAAACTCTTAAGAGTGAATAAATCTCTGAACCTGCTGAAACACCAAAATTCTACGGAGCCCTTTCTCAATGTGTCTGCGTGTCGGTCGCCATCTTTATCTCACTCTATCTATTGCATATCAGCTCTATGTGTCAGGTACAGGCCAGGTAAAACTCCGATCATTCATCAAATTGTGATTTACCTGTAGCCAACCCAATTTAACGGTCACTGTAATGCTGTGTTACACGCATTGTTAAGCTGTACATAATCTTCATGACCGTGATGAGAAATTACAGTAATAATTACAGTTTTCATTATTGCATACGAGCTTTCCGTATTTTTTTCATTCCGTAATATTGATCTATAAATTGTATCCAATCGCACAGTTGTGCGGAGAGAAGCGCACAACAGGGGCGAACGATTGTTAAATAGCACAGTTGTGCGCACAATGTGTGGACGATGTGCGGACGGTGTGTGAACGATGTATGCACGGTGTGCGCACGCTGTTTTTGGTGCGTTGTGCGGTCACACAACTGTATGATTAAAATCAAAATATAGTTTTATAGGCACTTTTCTCATTTCGCTGTATGAACACATGCTATAGAACACTTGAGACTTGGATTTTAATCCTTTTTAAATCTACCTTAGTGACACAGGTAAGTCTTTAAAAGATGGAATGGCAAGATGCTGCAGTAAATTATTTCCTTTATTGTGCTTTCTGCATCAAGAAACTTTTGTTTGAAGATAGATTTCTTTATTATTATTAATAATTTCAAATATAAAGTGATTTCGGAATTGATTATAATGTATACATTTTAAAAGGTTCTTAGGCTTTTTGATCGACTTAAAACATTTATAAATTGGTGTTTCCTCCATATTCCGTTGCTTATTTGAAAAACAATGATTTTGTTTTATAAAATCAAGCCTTTTTAGTATATCCTGAATATCAATCTAGTGTAGAGAATACAAAACAAAAAAGTTATTTCATATTTACATGTATTTCTCCATTGTTCTAATCTTCTCCATTGTACCTCAGAGATAACTTCATAAGTCAAAACTGGTTTTAATTAGGGAAATATTTTCCAATTTCTTTTTTTAGAATTGTTATGAAAATACGATACTGGGCGATTTATATTTTTTTTACTTATTGAAGATACATTATTGATGCTGAAACTTCTTATACAATCTTTGTTCTTCAAAAGATTTTTGCATCATCTTATTTATGTTTTCATTAAAATTATTGATCATTAAACTCATTTTTATATTTGAGAACATATCGTCTTTGAGTTTACCCCCCAAAAGCTGAAATTTCGTGTCTCTGTCCGCAGACCTCTGTTCCTGATGGTAATTATTCACGTTTTGTATTGCTCCTGTAGACCAGCGGAAATTAGGTAAAATCTTTCTTAAGATTCCAGCAACATTTTCCGTAGTAACCGTGGAAGAATGTGACAAAATAAACTCAAAAATTAACATGTGCTTTACCCGGGGGTCAAGCCGATTGGTGTTCAATAAATGTTTTGCTTTTTCAATCAATAGTTCCTCAACCTTTTCATCTAAGAAACGAATTGGTTTGTTCATATTAGGCTGGCTTGTAGTCAACATTTGATAAATTCTATCGTCCTGATCAATGTCAGCCAATATGTAGGTGTACAGTCGTTGCCGGACTGTCGTTAACACCTCGTACTTAATGGTATTAATTCCATCATGTTTCCACCGATCAGTACCCGTCTCTAGCAGCCGAAGTCTAAAACAAAACAGAACAGCTCAACAATAATAAAGAAGGGATGTCAAATCAAAACACAAAACAGTTCACTAATATTGATAACAATGTTGTTGTTATAACACTAAGTGCCATGTAACTGTGATAACACTAATAACAATATAATTGTTTCATAGAGTCAATGCTATGTACTTTAAAAAGCTTTCTTTATTGTAATTATAACTGTTTTTAATGTTTAAATTACTGTCTATAATGTAAATAAATTTGTCTTTTCTGTAAATATTACAGTCTATACTATCATCCGAAATGACTATACTGTTAATATCACTGTTTATTCTGTAAAATCAACTGTCTATACTGTAATTACAACTGGCTATACTGTTAATATTACCTTCTTCACCACTGTAAGTAAATCTGTCTTTACTGTAAATATTCCTGTCTTTACTGTAAGTAAATTTATCTTTACTGTAAATATTTCTTTCTTTACTGTAAGTAAATCTGTCTTTACTGTAAAAAGAACTATCTATACTGTAAATAATACTGTCTATACTGTAAATATAGCTATCTATACTGTAAATAATACTATTTATACTGTTTCTATAACTGTCTATACTGCAAGTTAATCCGTCTTTATTGTAAATATTACCGTGTTTACTGTAAACAAATCTGTCTTTTCTGTAAATATTACTTTCTAACTGGCTATACTGTTAATGTAACTGGCTATACTGTTAATGTAACTGGCTATACTGTTAGTTTAACCGGCTATACTGTTAATACTACTGTCTATATTGCTAATAATGCTGTTTATACTATAAAAAATTATAACTACAAATATAACTGTCTTTTCTGTAAATATTGCTGTCTATAATGTGGACAGTATTGTCACCGTCTTTATAGAATTAAGCATGATCCTGAAATGTCAATATAGTGAACAGGGTGAACTATGTTCGGTTGCAATCTGAAAATATGTCGTAATGAAATATATATTTCATATATGTGCGATATATTAAATTCTACATGACGATAGACATCTAATATGTTCATAATACAATGAAAACATACTACCAAGATTTAAACAAACATGTAGTTCCTTCTTTTATAAAAATGCAAACCCAACACAACTCATATGTTATGATAAAACGACCTGAATTCTCACCTATTTTTATTTTTGTATCCAGGTGGATGAGGCAACATTCGGTATGTGCTCACATCTGAGGTATATCTTGTCACTGCGAGGCCCACTGTTCTTATCCTACAGGATCAATAGTAGCATATTGGATCGTATTGTTAAGACATGTGTTGCCTAAACAGTGTTTCCTTAGTTTGTCTAAAATTGTCATGATGTCGTTGAAGAGATAAACATAACACACACAAGTGATTGCACGTTTGAACTTTGGTAAAATATATAGTATGGTAAAGATGAATAGCACTTCATCATACAGCTGTTTCGTACTTCTATGTGATGTTAGGGACCAAAACAGTTGGAAAACCAAATAGATATATACTACTGTGGAAACAGAAGGGAACGTGCATAACAAAAATTATCATATGAATTTCGAAATTTAGAGAAATACTGGTTAATATCATATGAGTAAAAGTGGTGGCGAGAAAATCATGCGATGTAGAAAACAAGACATAAATCGTACCAAGATAACTGACATCCAACTTGTAAATCATGTGAAAATAATATTTTCTGATCATATTGTTGTTTAATGATGATTTTGTAAGAACGATACCAAAGTCTTCGATATAAATAGTTCATCAAAACAATTTACAAACATAAGCGTCGTCATCATAAATGCTTCTAAGCCTTCCAAAATATTGTAAATTGAAAAGAAGTTCCTACCTTGCGTACATATCATCGTCCTCTGCACCCCATCCAAAATACTTGTTAGAGTAGCCATTCACTGCTTCAAATTGTTCTTTCCTCATCGCTGTCACCCCTCCAAAAAGTTTAACATAAGGTAATCTGCGGTAGAAAGTCATCAAAATAGTAATATCATTATAAAAATAGCAACCAATAGAAAAATATATATCGTGAAACAATGTGAGACGATCCATAATTTTCACCGGTAAAATTCCTGTATACGCTATTCATTCTGCGATTGAAAACGTTGTAATAAAGAACATGAAATCTTCATTAACTGCACAGCTACACCTTCGTGTTCCTCTTGAAGTTTGAGTTTGTTGTAATTTGTTGTAGAGATGTCGCCCTTCTTCATTTATGATAAACAACAGATAATGACTCCACTAAAAGCGGATACTCACTCGTAGTCAAATTTGTCGATGGCCACAGACATGTGTTTGGGATTATCGGGACAGGTGTACATGTTGTTATCGTTTTCCGGGATTAGGTCCACGTCATGGAAAATAAAACAATCGTAGCCGTACTTCTTTGCTGCCTCAAGGAACCCAATGTTCATTGCTAATGCTTTGTTGAAATCAATTTGTGGGGCCTTTGGAAAGAATAAAATAATCAGAAATGTACCACAATGACATTGTTTAACGCAACCAAAATACAGTTCCTCAATAAAAAAAAAAGACGTTTTAATGATATTTAGAAACGTGGTTCCCTTTCTTCTCAACAATGGAAGAGGATATAGAGATAATAACCAACTAGTTATTAATTTACAAATTGTATAAAGACACATTTCACTTCCAAAACATTAAGATATTATATCTAGAAAAAAACATATAATTATCTTGGGGCTACATTCTTGTTTTCGTTAGGGGAAACAATTGTCATAACTTATGTCGTCACAATGGAGGATGACGTTGCAAAGCATTGTTACATGACGTTTTAATGAGAAAACTGACCAATGAAACAACGTCCAGGATGTTACCCACTAGAGGGTAACCAACATGGTTACCAATTCCTACCAGGTTTATCCAGTGAGTCGAAAGTTGAGAAACCTATCGTGGTTATAGGAAAAATATAATTAAACGATCAGTTGTCCTAAAAAAGCAATCGCTACATGGTTTTACATAATCAAGGTTATCGGAATTACCTTACGGTTTAGCAAAATGTTCGCTTTCTGTCTCTACAGACAAAACATTTAAGTAGGTGCATAATTTTGTCGAATTGCTAGTGCTTATTTTCAGTAATAATGTGGTTGACTTTGCTAGTAAACCATTGGTCCCCGAGGTTGGCTGTACCCTTGTAGATAAAACGTGTGCTTGCAGGGTTGCATAATTTACTCATTTACAACGTTAATGGTTTCAAAGGCTTAGGTTTTTTTCATATACAAACAAACTATTTAAATAGGTGCTTCATCCACTGTTTTGTGGAAGGGCGTTTTGGGGGTCATTGGTTACTCAGCAGAGTTCCACAATCTGTTAATCAATTCACCAAGTCATTTCAGGAAAACTCTTTTACTTAAATCGAATATTAATAGACTTTCACCCTAACATCTACTAAACAAGAAATTGCTTTGAACAGGTAAAACAACAAAGTGTCTATATATGTTGTTATAAGTCAAAAATAACCTCGTAACCATCATGATATTGCTTGAGCATATATAAGTTAGCTGTACAACTGTGAGCTTGTGTTCATATGGACGTGACTCGTTCTAGTTTGGATATCATCTTTCATGTTTAACTAATGCTATCTCATGCGTAAACTGTTGTTATTGTTGTGACATTTACATATCAAATATTCCTTATAATAAATTGTATGCATAATATACTGTTTTTTATTGAGATTTAGTCAACGCGTTCAGGACCGTCGCTATTTTGAGAAGCATAACAATTTATTGGAGAGGTAACTATTTTTTGCATTCGTACCTTCCAAATTCGTATTGTGTTGAAACTATACTCTTTTCCGATCGTAAAAAGCCCAACAATCTTTTTGTACAGAATTAAATAACATAAACGCCCTTGACGTTAAATGCATTCCGTAAAGAAAGGAGATAACAGAGAATCTTCCATCAGCGGGTAAGTACATGATAGTCAGGGTCATACACAACTTGTACTTACTACAACTCTTGTAAGAATAATGCTAAACGTTAACTCAATGTACATTTTGTACATATTGATAGTATGAAGGTTTATTTTATTTTCCTGGTTTAAAAATAATAACAGATATAGTGCCACCTTTAGGTTACCAGAGCATGGAGGTGTATCATGCGAGTATAGCACATTGTTTAAAAATAAACCTAATCATAGTATATTTACTATCTCAGGAAAACAACAAGATAAAACCCTATTGTCGCCAACTCGAACTCCGAATCAGTAACAGAAGGGCAAATGTAAACACAGGAAACATTTACATGGAGAACCTTTTAAAGGTATAAGGAGAATAAGACCCGATGTTTCCGAAACATAGGCGTCTTCAACTTCATTGACGATTCTAGGAAAAATCTAATCCAGGTGATGTCTTCATAACGAGACGTGGGGTAGAGTCAACAAAACGACTAGTTACACTAACGAGCCCTCAAACATCATCAACCTTCACATCACAAGATGGAATTCCACATGTGATCATTACGGTGACTTAAATCTTGTCCTTACTCTTTATCCATTGACATTTTTGAAACTCTGTATTGTAAATGTGTCTGTCAGCAGCCGACATTTACCACGGAAACCCTGTATTGTAAATGTGTCTGTCAGCAGCCGACATTTACCACGGAAACCCTGTATTGTAAATGTGTCTGTCAGCAGCCGACATTTACCACGGAAACCCTGTATTGTAAATGTGTCTGTCAGCAGCCGACATTTACCACGGAAACCCTGTATTGTAAATGTGTCTGTCAGCAGCCGACATTTACCACGGAAACCCTGTATTGTAAATGTGTCTGTCAGCAGCCGACATTTACCACGGAAACCCTGTATTGTAAATGTGTCTGTCAGCAGCCGACATTTACCACGGAAACCCTGTATTGTAAATGTGTCTGTCAGCAGCCGACATTTACCACGGAAACCCTGTATTGTAAATGTGTCTGTCAGCAGCCGACATTTACCACGGAAACCCTGTATTGTAAATGTGTCTGTCAGCAGCCGACATTTGTCACTGAAATCATGATATTTGGAGCAGTCTCTTGAACACCGGATTAAACGCAACATGCACATCGTGGGTTGGAAAGCTGGGATGTTACTACAAAGAAAACTCGCAATAGTCCCGCTTATCGTACATCTTAGTATTACGATGTTCAAGTTGGTCAACGGAAGGTGAAAAGCACGTAGTAGACTTTGAAATTCATTAGACTTTATACGAACGACGTGGTCAATACATTTATTGTGATTCAAGACAGCACATCGTCGTAACACCTAAATGTGAATTTAAAGGACCTGACTATTTTTTTTGTAACCAGTCCTGATCATGTGTGTACCAATTAATATATAGAGCATTGACTATTTGTAGGTATCCCAGATCAGTATAGAAAATATTGGAAGGTAGTAAATGTGGTACTTGAAAATTGCAGGAAAAAAACCTAAAGGTCGATAAAGAGAGGGATAAAATAGGAAAGAGGTATGGCGGAAAACTGCCCGTATTTCCCTAAGTCGGCGTTTATGAAAACGGAGAAAAAAATTAAGGAGTAAACCATTTCGTGTAGCCAAAATGCATACATAAGATACAAAACCAATTGAATATGAATTTTTAAACTGCTGAGAAATTAGGTATTTTTTGCTAATATGATACTGCAAATATAGCCATATACACTATATCTATGAAAGTGATGGGGTTTCCCGGACTTAAAAAAATGCTCTCAACACTTTCCCATCCGAGGACCAAATTTTGAATAAACTTTTTGTGACCGTGATGTAATATGCAAAAACAAATCGTATTACGGAAAAGTGGTCCTCCTTTGGGAAAGTGCTCAATTAATGAAAAACAGGGGTGATCAAGTTTCTCTAAACTGCGACCGGTGTTTCTCGGGTTAAATTAGTTTGTAATTGCCAATAACTATATGTTCTATGTAGCCGAATGTGTAACGCAGTTTACTTGTGACTTGAAAATAAACGGTGCAGGTTCGAATCCTCCTTCAGTTATTTTTTGTTTTAAATATTTAGGCATGTTATCATTTTCCTTAATAAGGCAATGGTGTTTGTTTTTTAAATAGATGCAATATTTTGTTTACATTTTAATAACATACCTATTGATTTATCAGTTTTGTTAGTAATAATTTCTTTACTATTTAGTGCGACATACTTTTATCGAAGCATGTCAACAAATCCCTGTACACGTGTACAGTACAGCTACGCTTTGTAGGTAAGACACTATTTTTGAGGAAATTTATGAATTGTTTTACCCTCCAACTGGCAATAGCAAGAATATCAAGTGCTTAAACACCAACAAATAATGCCGAATTACCAAATATGTGGTCTGTTTACAATAATCTATTCTTAGACACGGGATTCCGATATTGCTACCTGTATAAAAATACCTGAGGACGCGTCATAACAGTGCACGGTTGGATGGGCGCACTAGCGTAACATAGCTTTTGGGAAATAGGCATAGCAACCCGCCAAATCTCTTTATCTTGATAATACATAGGTTAAATAAAAAGAAACATTATATTTTTACCAATTCGGTGACAAAAATGCCGTAGTCGAGCTGCTGTTTCTGAAGGAATGGATGAAGGTTATTCAGAAGTATACTTAGATGAGTGCGCCGATTACGGTACGGGATGATGATCGCCACTTTGTGCCTTGGAGCACAGGAAGACGGTCGATAAGTACCACCATTCTTCACCAGGGGTAGTTTCGCAGCCAACTCTTTCTCGCTATACACAGTCATATCCACAGATATTTTCCCATCTAAATGAAAGGTTTACCAAGATGTTTTATATGGTATTCACTTCAAGTAGATACATGCATATATAATGGGTTGCAAACCATATTCATATTGTTGTAATAGAGGTAAGTAAAAAATACCTGTTATGAGGTACATAGTGTTATGAATAGGTTAATGTTTGAATATTATTTGTTTTACACATTTTACATATCTATATTAAATATTATATATGGGTCAAAGAAGCTATATAAACGGTAGCTTCCCGAATTACACTGCATCTTTGCAAACGTATGTTTGTAGGATACGAACTACTTAGCATTTTATATGGGCAAGTCATTCTTACACTGTAGACACATGATGTTGTCAAATTTTCGAATCAATTCACTCCTTTAACTCAACACAGAAAAACCCCATAAACTAATTACACTACACAAAAACAATATTAGAAATATAATTAATTATATAGATATAGCCATCCGACCAATTGCCATATGAGGAGTATCCAAATTGAAACAGAATAGCTGCCCAGATAACAATAGTTGAACACGAAAAATATCATGTAAATATATATAACTCTTTTATATAAACAATGCAAATCCATGTCCGTACGAACAGAAGAGAACACGAAGATGAACAGTTAAGGAATTAAGGATAAGTGTGCTTTTGATAAAAGAATGATATTTATTGCGACAATATTTTGATACATTATTTCCAAACAGTGGGCTTTCTGTTGAAGTAGTGATTAGCAATATTATACCCCGGCAGCTGAGCGATAGGTTGTGGATCCATGTAGCAAAAGAGTATAGAGACAGGTTGTCATTTATACCAGAGATCAACGAGGTCGATGAGGATCAGTCGGAGATATGAGGGGTCATAGAGGCAAAGTTTAGAAACTGACAAAAATATTACCAAATCAAATATTTTTTAAAAGGATTGGTTGATTCTGCTCGCACATCTCCCCTGATAGCCGGAAAAGAAAATGTAAGAATGATGACCAAATTAAGTTCTTGTCCTTTGACGGTCATTGTGATGGTTAATGTTGGTGTGTTGTGATCGTGATTACATGATAAAATAATTCAATCGAACATCCAAACAGCACTACTGTATAAAAAAGGTAAATAACGAAGATGACTTACTCAGATCAGGTGGCACCAACGGACAATCAGGGAGAACTGGCTTTGTGTGGTTCGATATCACATTGACGGAGTTATTGTATGACGTGACGTTGACGGAGTTTCTATTTGGCGTGACGTCCGTAGAGGCGTTCTGATACAGTGTGGCAGGTGCTTGTTTACGTGGTGCTAATGACGTGTCTCTTACAGTCTGATGTTCACTGTTCTGGTACTGGATGAACGTAAAACCTAATACACACTGACACAACAGAACCGTTATCAGGCGTCTCCAAAACGTGTTTACGCTCACACCACCACTCCAACGCCTTATATACCGATACATGGTCAGATTAGACGTTATCTGTACAGTTGTATATCACTGCTAATAAGTATCCGTGATATGTACCGTTTCACATCACTGTCTATCATTAGTGCGCAAGACCTGTACCGTTCTATCTATACCATTTCACAGCACCGTCTGCTAAGCACATACAAGCCACCTTTTCCAATACTGCTTATAATTGTCTGTCACCTGTACCGTTTCAAATCACCGTCTATTATTTGTGCACATGATATGTACCGCTGTATTTGTACCAGTTCACATTACCGTTTATTTAACACATGATCTTTACCGATTCACATCACTGCTTATAATTTTTCATGACCTGTACCGTTTTAAGTCACCATCTGAAAGAATACAAGAATCGTGATATTAGGTTTATATGATTTAAAAAAAAAATGCAATATTGTCACATTCTAGCTATCAGCAAACATTACAATGAAATTATTATTAATAGGCAACATATGTATCACATAAAAAACAATAAAAAAGGTAGAATAAACGCCAAGGTTTTAAACTTGTCAGTAATAAATCTAAAAACGTGTAATGTATCTCTGGAATAAGTAATATGTTTGCATTCTTCACTGTCGACTTTTACATGTAACGCCCAATTATTGTGATCATAATCTGTCAAATTGAAAATCAATATGGCAGGCGAATCGGTAAGACTTTATGTTACCGTTAACGGGTTTTTAACCACTGAAGTTACACCATATATTAGTTTTAGATAAGTTCAACAGTTTGTGCTTCATTTAGTTTTGTAAGCCTCATATTTTAATCAAAATGTAGTTTTGTGTCACATTTTAGGTAACATTAGGGACACGAGCCCAAAATGAAACGAAACATCGACCTTATTAGTTTAGTTAAGACTGAAGCTAAGTGATAAAGAGCATCAGTTAACATTATCTCGGTCATATAGTTATTCAGATGCACTTAAAACCAGCATTAGTATTGTCCTTATTTTGCCTTAGATCTTAGGAAAGATAATGATATCACATCTAACCATGTAAATATTTAAGTTCATCTAATTAAACTTACGAAGCCCTGCCTTCAAACAAAACACCAAAAAGAGACAGATAATGTTAATGCGAAGCAGGAATACAAACTGTATCTTAAATGAAGCTTGTATTCTGTATAATCCGCATTACCAACCAAACATTTAATCAAAATAGTTTCTTCTGTCAAATGATTCGAGGATAATTCCATTTTAATTGATTCAAAATACTTTGTCGAAAGAAATTATCATATTACGAGTTATCGGAACGGATGTTGGCTACTTGTGTGAATTATCAAACATAAACCAATCATAACCTGCTGTACTATATAGCAGAACGTTTATCATAGGTTCAAACATATTAGTTATCACAGTGTGAGAGGGACGCCACAACTTCTTACGCCTAGCACGGTTTCTCACCCGGTTCAAGATTCGTGCCAGAGGTAGAAAATAGTAGCGTAACATACGACACGTGATTTAGGACAGCCTTTCACCTTCGAGTAATCCCCCTTCTTCATAAAAGATTAAGATTTTTCTATCTTAGAGTAACTCATCTCTCGCCTTAGTTATGTTAATTCATAAATCCAACATATTAACATTAGTGAAGTATAGGGTTGCATAAATACCTTGCGGGTTTCACACCTTTAGTTCTTTATGTATTTACATATTTTGGTTTCAAATACTGAAATTGCGTCATATAGTTCGGCGACTATATCGTTAGAAATGACTTATTTGAAATATTAGAAAATTACTCCAACAAATATTTTTTTTGATGCAAATTATAATTATTTATTTAACCCTGGTGATATGTTGTATCTTAGAATGGTGCTATGAAGTTTTGCCCGTGTTAATCATGCATGGAACACATGGACCATTTCAAGTATCAATCAATGCAGTAATAATCAAGATTAATCAACAACGTTAAAATACTTGCTGCCCTACGAGAAATAACAGGCTTAGTGCAAAAGAGTTCTCTTCAAAGCAAAATGCTGAATAATGCAGATTCACAATGAAGCAAAGCGCTGTAAGAAATCGATACATTTGAAAGGGTCACGTGAGGTGCTCTCTAAGTAGGCTGTCCCCTATTTCGCAATGTCTGCTTTGTTTACGTAACGAGAGGTCTACTTTAGCCAGTATCATTAACCCTATACACAAGAATCATCTGAGTTGATTTTACCCCAGATTCCACCTGTATGTCACAGTAGTCATTAGACAACAGCAGACACAACAACATGATCACGCCAAAGACTCATACATGTATGTGTGTTGTGGACCACTGAGCAACAGACATGTGTTTTGTTATGTTGAGTCATCCGGTCCTAATAATGCATCTACATAAACAGCTTAACATGAAGTACAGTGGAGTAAAGACTACATACCTTTACATTATAGAACAGGGATCCAACATCAGCTGACCGAAAGGTTAAAACAGATGTGCGGGCAATACTACGGTCGATATAACATACCGGCAACCCAGGCACATCTACCATGTTTTCCTTTTGTGTCACTGGGAAATACCCAATAGGTAGGGAAATTGTATACACGTGATAGCCGGTCACGCTTTATAAATCTGATACACTTCAGTTTTGTTAAAATACAGGGGTAGTAACTGTGTCGTTACGATAGTCTTTTTGAATATGGTCTCGCCCTGTATTCATACAGTGGTGGTTAAAGCAACACAGGTAAATATTTTTTAGCTGATTCATATCTAAATAAATATTTTTATTTGACTAACTAAATCAAAGATTTGACAGATAATTATTGTTTATGTTGTAGAATAGAAACAAATAACCATGACTATGACATAACCAGGTTAAAAAAAGATCCCGTCTTACCCTACCACAAAACAAGGTAAAAGAGATCCCATCTTACCCTACCACAACAACAGGGTAAAAAAGATCCCGTCTTACCCTACCACGAAACAAGGTAAACAAGATCCCGTCTTACCCTACCACAAAACAAGGTCAACAAGATCCCGTCTTACCCTATCACAAAACAAGCTAAAAATGATCAGGTGTTACCCTACCACAAAACAAGGTAAACAACATCCTGTCTTACCCCACCACAAAACAAGGTAAACAAGACACCGTCTTACCCTATCACAAAACCAGGTAAAAAAGATCGCGTCTTACCCTACCACAAAACAAGGTAAACAGGATCCTGTCTTACCCTACCATAGAACAAGGTAAACAAGATCCCGTCTTCCCCTACCACAAAACAAGGTAAAAAATATCCGATCTTACCCTACCACAAAACAAGGTAAACAAGATCCCGTCTTACCCTACCACAAAACAAGGTTAAAAAGATCCCGTCTTACCCTTACACTACCATAACACAAGGTAAACAAGATCCCGTCTTACCCTACCACAAAACAAGGTAAAAAAGATCCCGTCTTACACTACCATAACACAAGGTAAACAAGATATCGTCTTACCCTATCATAAAACAAGGTAAAAAAGATCTTGCCTTTTCCAACCACAAAGCAAGGTAAACAAGACCCCATCTTACCCTACCACAAAACAAGGTAAACGAGATCCCGTCTTACCCTATCACAAAAAAAGGTAAACAAGATACCGTCTTACCCTACTACGAAACAAGGTAAACAAGATCCCATCTTACCCTACCACAAAACAAGGCAAACAAGATCCCGTTTTACCCTATCACAAAACAAGGTAAACAACATCCTGTCTTACCCCACCACAAAACAAGGTAAACGAGATCCCGTCTTAACCTATCACAAAAAAAGGTAAACAAGATACCGTCTTGCCCTACCACAAAACTGGTTAAACAAGATCCCGTCGTACCTTTCCACAAAACAAGGTAAACAAGAAACCGTTTTACCCTACCATAAATCAACGTAAACAAGATCCCATCTTACCCTAGCACAAAACAAAAATAACGAGATCCCGTCTTACCCTACCTCAAAACAAGGTAAACGAGATCCCGTCTTAACCTATCACAAAAAAAGGTAAACAAGATCCCGTTTTACCCTATCACAAAACAAGGTAAACAACATCCTGTCTTACCCCACCACAAAACAAGGTAAACAACATCCTGTCTTACCCCACCACAAAACAAGGTAAACGAGATCCCGTCGTACCCTAGCACAAAAAAAGGTAAACAAGATACCGCCTTACCCTACTACGAAACAAGGTAAACAAGATCCGGTCTTACCCTACCACAAAATAAGGTAAACAAGATCCCGTTTTTCCTTTACACAAAGCAAGGTAAACAAGATCCCATCCCTACCACAAAACAAGATAAACAAGGTCCTGTCCTACCCTAACACAAAACAAGCGAACCAAGATCCCGTCTTACCCTACCTCAAAACAAGGTAAACGAGATCCCGTCTTACCCTATCATAAAACAAGGTAAAAAAGATCTTGCCTTTTCCAACCACAAAGCAAGGGAAACAAGATACAGTCTTACCCTACCACAAAAAAGGTAAACAAGATCCCGTTTTACCCTATCACAAAACAAGGTAAACAAGAAACCGTTTTACGCTACCATAAATCAAGGTAAACAAGATCCCATCCCTACCACAAAACAAGGTAAACAAGAAACCGTTTTACCCTACCATAAATCAAGGGAAACAAGATCCCATCTTACCCTACAACAAAACAAGGTAAACAAGAAACCGTTTTACCCTACCATAAATCAACGTAAACAAGATCCCATCTTACCCTACAACAAAACAAGGTAAACAAGAAACCGCTTTACCCTACCATAAATCAACGTAAACAAGATCCCATCTTACCCAACCACAAAACAAAAAAAACGAGATCCCGTCTACCCCTACCACAAAACTGGGTAAACGATATCCAGTCTTACCCTACCACAAAAAAGGTAAACAAGATCCCGTTTTACCCTATCACAAAACAAGGTAACCAAGATACCGTCTTACCCTACTACAAAACAAGATAAACAAGGTCCTGTCCTACCCTAACACAAAACAAGCGAAACAAGATACCGTCTTACTCTACCACTAAGCAAGGTAAACAAGATCCCATCTAACCCTACCACAAAACAAAGTTAAAGAGATCCCGTCTTACTCTACCACTAAACGAGGTAAAGAAGATCCCGTCTTACCCTACAACAAAACAAGGTAAACAAGATACCGTCTTACTCTACCACTAAACGAGGTAAAGAAGATCCCGTCTTACCCTACCACGAAACAAGGTAAACAAGATCCCATCTAACCCTACCACAAAACAAAGTTAAAGAGATCCCGTCTTACTCTACCACTAAACAAGGTAAAGAAGATCCCGTCTTACCCTACTATAAAACAACGTAAAAACATATCTTGCCTTACCCTACCACAAAACTGGGTAAACGATATCCCGTCTAACCCTCCCACAAAACTGGTTAAACAAGATCCCGTCTAACCTTACCACAAAACAAGGTAAAAAATATCCGATCTTATCCTACCACAAAACAAGGTAACCAAGATCCCGTCTTACCCTCCCACAAATCAAGGTAAACAAGATCCCGTTTTTCCTTTACACAAAGCAAGGTAAACAAGATCCCCTCTACCACTACCACAAAACAAGGTAACCAAGATACCGTCTTACCCTACTACAAAACAAGATAAACAAGGTCCTGTCTTACCCTAACACAAAACAAGCGAAACAAGATCCCGTCTTACCCTACAACAAAACAAGGTAAACAAGAAACCGTTTTACCCTACCATAAATCAAGGGAAACAAGATCCCATCTTACCCTAGCACAAAACAAAAATAACGAGATCCCGTCTTACCCTATCATAAAACAAGGTGAAAACATATCTTGCCTTACCCTACCACAAAACTGGGTAAACGATATCCCGTCTAACCCTCCCACAAAACTGGTTAAACAAGATCCCGTCGTACCTTTCCACAAAACAAGGTAAACAAGAAACCGTTTTACCCTACCATAAATCAAGGGAAACAAGATCCCATCTTACCCTTCCACCAAAACAAAGTTAACGAGATCCCGTCTTACCCTATTATAAAACAACGTACACTACCATAACACAAGCTAAACAAGATCCCGTCTTACTCTACCACTAAACGAGGTAAAGAAGATCCCGTCTTACCCTACAACAAAACAAGGTAAACAAGAAACCGCTTTACCCTACCATAAATCAAGGTAAACAAGATCCCATCTTACCCTACAACAAAACAAGGTAAACAAGAAACCGTTTTACGCTACCATAAATCAAGGTAAACAAGATCCCGTTTTACCCTATCACAAAACAAGGTAAACAATAGCCCGACTCACCTTACCACAAAACACGGTTAACAAGATCCTGTCTTATCCTACCATAACACAAGGTAAACAAGATCCCATCTTACCCTCCCACAAAACAAAGTTAACGAGATCCCGTCTTACACTACCATAAAACCCGGTAAACAAGATCCCGTCTTTACCTACCACTAAGCAAGGTAAACAAGATCCCATCTTACCCTCCCACAAAACAGGGTAAACAAGATCCCGTCTTACCCTACCACAAAACAAGGTTAAAAAGATCCCGTCTTACCCGACTGACTCTAGTTGTTTGTGGTGTTATGTTTATACTCCAACTACTATATTGCTGCCATGATGAAAAACAAAACAAAAGTAATCAAAATGAGTTGTATACGGAGTTTCTGTGGTGTTCAAATTGTGCTTTTTAACATACGGTCTGTGAGCTGTTTATGGCGTTTGTCTATAATCAAACTCCAGACTACACTGACCGGGTCACTGCTTGTTATATCTATAATCAACCTCCAGACTACACTGACCGGGTCTCTGCTTGTTATATCTATAATCACACTCCAGACTACACTGACTGGGTCACTGCTTGTTCTATCTATAATCAAACACCAGACTACACTGACGGGGTCGCTGCTTGTTATATCTAGAATCAAACTCCAGACTACTCTGACCGGGTCACTGATTGTTATATCTATAATCACACTCCAGACTACACTGCCCGGGTCACTGCTTGATATATCTATAATCAAACTCCAGACTACACTGACCGGGTCACTGCTATAACTAGAGCGTAAAGTGTCAACAGTTAACAATCATGGCATAGTAAAATAGAAGGGTAGTAAACATAGTAACATTGTTATATAGTCAACATATGAATTAAAGAAACATTGTAAACAAAGCAACATAGAAACTTTGTAACATAAAAACATAGTAACACAGTAATACAGTAACGTAGTAGCATATCAATATAGAAACATAGTAACATAGAAACATATGAACACAGTTACACAGTGTAAACGTAGTAACATTGTAAACATAGTAACATTGTAAGCATAGTAACATTGTTATATAGTAAACATGAATATAGTAACACTGTTAGCATAGTAACATAGAAACATCGTAACATAGAAACAAAGTAACATAGTAATACAGTAGCGTAGTAACATAGTAATATATGGTAATGTAGTAACATTGTAACATAGAAACATAGTAACATTGTTATATAGTAAACATAGAAACAATGTAACATAAAACCATAGTAACATTGTAATACAGTAACGTAGTAGCATATTAACAAAGTAACATAGTAACATTGTAATATAGTAACATAGTAACATAATGATATAGTAACGTAGTAACATAGAAGCATTGCAACATAGTAACAAAATAACCTAGTGACATAGTAACATTGTAAGCAGGGCGTAAACTATCTTTAGTAGACATGCTTGGAAAAGTAACCGAAGCAGTGCTTATCTATCCAGAACATCTTGATGCATGGCAAATCCTCCTTGACAGGTAAACTCCTAGCAGGAGAGAAAGGTACGTTAAGAGTAAAGAATCACAGAACATTGTAAAGTTAGCAATGTATTGTGTTTGATTAAGTGTTAAGATTACCATTATTGTCATTTTGAAGGTAAAAATCAAGCAAGGAAACATAAAATAGATAATATTATGATATAGATCATTTTGATTTCTAGATGATAAAAGAGATTCAAATTAATTAAGAAATATTCAATTTTATAGCGATAAAAACTAATACCACGCAGATTGGCTTGAAGTGAGATCATTCCTGATTGCTAGGAAGTCGCATTTCTATTTAACTATTTGACTGCTAGCATTAATAAGAATCAATGTGAAACGTAATTCCTTCCATGTGTAAAAAAACTGTAGGAAATTTTGATACGATATTTGGTCGTGAACCAAGCGTAACTGACTGAACACGGATTTAGGATTAATTCACTCTGCGACAGCTGAATTGTCAGACAAATTCTTTTGTCAATGAATTAGATTTTTTTTCGAGTTATTTTTATATCAAATTATATTTATCCTGTACAATTTTCTGAATTTGTTGCTTTCTAAAACTTTCGCTATTTTCTGACTTTATATTAACGATCATCTTTTTTTACCTCAGTCATGTCACGGTTTATACCACAAAGGAATTTTACAATACGGTGAACTTTAATGGTCATTCCTCTTTTGTGTTGTGTTTTAGTACATAATCTGTTCAGAAGTTCGCTCCTATTCTGCAATCGATTAACATTCACAGGCCTTTACTTTTTATAGTTTTATTACGGATGCCGTCATTTATAAGACATTTCCCCACAACGTATCAATATTGTTTTTGCATGTTTTCTTTGCTTAGCTTGTTACAGTAATACTTATTTTATTATTTTTTCCGGAATGCTGACTATTTTTGTACTTTTTTAAGGGTCTCCATGGAAATATTTCATTTGTTCCTGTTTTGCTATGTATTGTCGATTTTGAGTTTGAATAACGGTTTAATTGACACTTTGGTATTCTCTGTTTATTTTGGTGGTGCTGGGATATTGTATGTTTGCAGGATGCAGTTACAATTATTAAATAGTTAAAAAAAAACAAAGTGTAAACTCTTACGGCAGTTTATACTAAATTAAATCAAATAGTTTCTGAGAGAGTCATTAATGCAAGAAAATGCAACACAAATTCAACTCTGATATATATGACATAAAAGTGTGAATATTATTTATTTTTAATAGCTTACATACTCGTTATAACCTTAAACTGTTATAGGAGGTGTTCGGGTAATCTCACAGCTTGTAACCATAAACTCTTCGCCCGTCAATCACCCAATTCGTCGTCGTACTTTCTAGTTTTTCCGCGCTCCTAGTCAGGCTGCAAGCACACAGGTGGAAGGACACATCAGCAACATGGAGTGCCGAGCTGTGTTACTAATGACTTTATTAATTCTGACATGTTTACTGGGGACGGTAGACAGTGTTCCTACACGATCACCATGTGAAACACAGTCGTCAGTTAGGTATGTATACAGTAATTTATATTTCTATTTCACACACATTAGGTAATTTATTGATTTGGATAAAGAACGCCCACTTCGTTGTGATTATACCATGAGTATATCTTATCATTTTATTGTTCATTTCAAGACACATGCTTGAGTGAACAGAATGACACGAAAAGATTTGTTATTTTATTTGAACAAAAGTTGAATTAAGAAAGCTGATATTGAAAATCAATAATCACCTCATCTAGCATAAGCCGTTATACTGCCTTGCGCCTTTATTTCCTTGCACTTTATATCTAATTTAGGTAATTCGTATTCTACAAACATACTATCGTAAAGATTTTTTTTTTTTTTTTTTTTTTTTTTAATTTCAATGTTATTTGTTTTGGTTTTACCTATAAAAGGATAAATATAAATAAATGAATATATATATATATATATATATAAATGAATATATAAGACTAAATATTTGAAGGGGTGAAATACCAAAAGGCTATGCCACCACTTTTTTGTTATATTGTTTTATTATCGTATTCCAGCAGAAAGCCTTTTTATTTTGTACATATTGCCTACATCTATATATTTATTATTTGTAAAATTACAACTGGTGTTGTCATAGACTGTACATTAAAAAACAAAATGTAAGTGATGTTGTTATTAAACACAGTTGAAAGGTTTACCGTGAAATGTAAACCATTCAGAATGTGATTTCTAGAAACGGTTGTATAACATTTTCCATTACATTAATATGCATGATATTTTCATTCCGAAACTTCTTAACTTATCATAATGAAATATTGTAATGAAGGAACATTATACCCATTAGATCAAAGTTCTACACAATCTATGTTTAATTCAAAGATCATCTTAACCTCCTACATGATAAAGAAGTGACATATAAAATCAACTGTCACTATATAAAACTTCATGTAGTACCCCCAGTGAATGTCTTTGGGTCACCAATGGTAGACTGACCCGGCACCATCCCAGGAATTAAACAATATAAATACATAACTAGAAACTAATCCAGATTGTAAAACTGGGCTAAATACCAGCAGAACAATCTCAATGTACATAATTATTTTAGGAAATAATAGTATTGCTGGGGAGCATTCACGATGTCTTTATGATTAATTTTACCATGCTTTAAATCTTCAGCTTGAATATCGAAAACGAACGTGCTTCATGCTACACTTTAGTTCTTATTATTTCAATGTCGCCGGGAAACGTTATAAAAGCGTTCCCTTCGCTATATTTATTTCGCATTGTATTTTCAAAAATAAATGATTTTGACTTAAAAAAATCTTTAAAATATATCCCGTAGGATTTTTAGTTTTAGAAATTACACGAAGGTTTCCCCTTCAACGAACGATTACTATTAAAACTAATACGAATGTTATGTCTTTAATCATATGCATTTGCTAATTTCTCCTCTCCTTGACAGGTGCTTTTTAAGATCAATCTGATTTCCGATGATAAAAACTTCAAGTTTGTATAACAATACTTCGATATGTTTTTTTACTCTCCTATATAATGAAATATAAAATGAGATGTATTTCAGCATGGAGACAGTCATGGACCATTCGATACCCCGTCGTTGTAAGAAGGGTAGAATGACTTGGCACTATCCCATGGGGAGTATGATCCTCCACTTCAAACCAAGGATCCCCAAAAACAGAACTGTCTGGGTCTGTGTATCAGCCGACACAGCAGCCTCTGGCATGGGATTGTCTAATATTATTGGGGGAAAAAAGCGACAACTTCCAGACTTTGGCAGTAAGTAATACTTCTTTTAACATTATAACAACATAATACTTCTTTCAACAAAGTTATGCTTATAATAACGAAGATATATTTGTATCAACATGAAGTCAACATTTTAAAACGTTAAAAGTTTCAATAAAACTTCTTTAAAATGTACTGTAATTACTTCTTTTCTTTTCCAGTGAATTTGTTAATTATATTTAAATACAATATTGATGCTTATTATATGTAGTTGTGAGCGCTTTTTGATCTATTATCGATCCCCAATATTATAGATACAATACATAAGTTATAATAGGAAGCATACAGACATATATACAAATGACAGAAACAATATGTATTAACCGGATCCATGATGAATATTTCTCCCATAACCACTGTAACATTCATCACTCATGAGTCGTTGGATAAACTAGCTAGGAGATGGTTAACATTATTCGGTGACTCAATAGTGCGTCACACCCTGGACATGATTTCAGTGGTCAATCGTGGACTTATCACGTCAGGTTACAATGCGTTTCGACGTCATCTTCCATTGTGACGTCATGACCCATGACGACTGTTTCTCAAATCAAAAGCAAGGAGGAAGCATTTTAAAAGGGAAACAAACTTGTCGTCAAACTCGTGATAGTTGGTTATCGTGTTTATCTAACTCTAATTAGTTATTTTCAAATTGTACAAGACACTCGGTAAACATCATGTCTTTGTAACTTTTTAAATTGTGTACCGATTGTACAAACTCGTGAGATAAACCGATTGTCTTTTACAATTTGATATTTAACTAACTCGAGTAAGATAAACATGATAAATAACCTAATCGTTTAGGGAACCTCTGTATTATCTATATCAATGACTGGAAATATCATTATATATACCGCTACCAACTAGGCATGTCATTAGATAGGTCTTTGCTTGACAAACTTTTAAAAAAAAATAACTAACCTTTATAGAGTGTCAGAACAAAACTATATAGGCTGAATATTGATAGAATAAATGCCTGTTACGTTTGTTGAGATCTGACCATTTTAGAGATAAGAATTTGTAAATGACTGTTAATGAAAGTTCATAAGATTTCGAGCAATTACATATGACAGGTTGTTCGTTAAACTGTAAGGTTGTTCAAATATACAGCCCTGTCCTATATTCAAAGTCTCAAGAATAATATGGTCTTTTATAAGTTGAATCTTTCCATGTTCTTGCCTACTTAAAGGAGAAACAGTGGCCTGTTGCTTCATATCGGTGCAAAGTCCAACAATTTGAATGGACAACAATAAACCCTATATGTATCGCAAGCAGTTAAGCTATTTATGTGATCGAACATTTAAACTATGTCACAATCTCTCACGCTCGGTCAATAAACCCTACGAAGGTAGGGTGTTTTAACATACTCAAATGACATCTGCAACAATGGAAGCGTGGTGTTTTATACCTATTTACAGTGCCCATAATGTTGTAGAGTTCGGTGTTGCGATCTAAATAAGTTTTCCCTATAGCGTTGTCCTCACTTACCTTGTACTGAGGTTTCCAGTATAGTGTCATACGTGTCCATGTTGCTATATTCAGTTTACCTCTGGTATGCCTGTTTAAATCATTTAGCTATGTACCAAGTTACGAACTCATTACTGGATTATATCGTTACATAAAAGAATAGTATAAAAAATGATGGGTTTTTATCTGTACTGATTTCTTTTTCTATAATTATTTAAAAAAAAAATAAAAAAATCTATCATATTTTTAGTTATTAGTTACTATCATTTTTTTATTGTTATTATTATCATTATTTTGTTTTGCTGTTTTCTACACCTACTTGTTTCGTTTTACCCGTACATCTATTCTACGTAAAGGATTGTTCTGATTTTAGGTCGTGACTATTCAATGTGTGTCCCCGCGGTCGACGGTCGAGTTAACCTGAAGTGGGACGCGTTGGAGGAGGTGAATTACATGGCCGTCATTACTTACACAATCGTGATGGTCCCGCGTTAACCCGTCAAACAACGCGGCTTTCTATTGTATTAAAGCCTGACCGTTCATTACCTTGCACACAGTTGATGTTTTCTGTTATATGTGTTTAAGGATAAGTACATTACAAAGTGGTACATATGTAGCATCAGTCATCATGTACTATTTTACTACAACGCAAACACAGCGAATTTCAATTTAACTACGGTTCAGTAGCAAGACTCGGCGCTCTTTTGTTTGGTTTGATTGTGTTTTTCGTCCTATTAACATCAAACAAAAATTGTCATGAATTTTGTCTCTAATTCTTACAACTCCGGCACGAACCAAATGCATTCTTATCGATGATTTTGTTTCTAAGTTTCAACAAAATCATATTCTCGGTAGAGGAAACAACTGCTTCCTCACCTACTTAGTTCTACCTGGAGCAGTGTTTGAGATATCGAATGACGAACTACTACTGTGTCGCCAGTAAACGATACCTACTATTATTTGTTGTATTTACGAACATGTTCCATTGTCATTATTATACATTAAAAAGTATAATACAGTTAATTACACTGTTGCTAAGAGCCAGACAATGTTATCAACATTATAATAGCCGATTGAACCAGAATCGATATCAGTCGCTATATAGTCCTCTTTATAAATAATCTACACGGCTGCGTTTTTATTATCGTACTCACCGTGTCAAACAAACATTGTTTGTTCACGAGGGTTTACCAATTAACGTTGATACACGTTTTAAACAGCTAACTCGATCCTCGTTCTCTATAAAACACCAGTACCTAGTTAATATATCTTGATATGTATTAGAAAAAATACACAGTATAGTTATTTGCCTCAATATTAAAAAAACGCCCCTGTAATTAATACTTTCGGCGTTGTAATAACGGATGGATAGATAATTAATTCCTAATTGTCTACTTGCCCAATAGGTCTGTTAGCCAATGCAACACCAACACGCACAATTCCCATTTACGTCACCACAATCGTGACCCAGACATACATATGTGGGTCAAAGAAGCGATTGCAACAATAAATTATTTTCTAAACTGTTGCAATAACCTCCTTGTCCTATATAATAATTCCCGTATACAGGTAAATATCTTTCAAATGTTAGCAACGTCAGATTTTTCTTTTTTTTCTTGATATATCAACATGTTTGGCCAATATATGTGTATGTTTGTAGGGGCAGGATAGACTATAGTTTAGGCCTAATTACAGGTAAAGCTATAACCTTTTAACAAATCTTTTCTGCACGTAAAATCATCTGAAGTTCAGAATACAGAGACATTATTTTTTTCTATTTTCATGTATGTGCACTTTGGTATATCAAAATATCAATATAATAGATCAAATAACAACAAGATGTATTTGGCACCGGGGTTCGATCCCCAAAGTCGTCGTACACATGGACATGCGTGCGTAAACAGAGTTGCTTCCCCTTTCTACACCTCGCCTCTGATCTTTTTTGTACGGAAGTAGCCCTCCAGTGGGGAAACCGGGAGTGTATCCTTGACTTCTGTTCAACACATTCAAAATTCAACAGCTAGGGTACTGTGCCCGCGATGTATATATCCGTGGAATTCAACATATTCTAAATTCAATAGCTAGAGTACTGTACTGGTGGTGTATATATCCTTTGAATTCAACACAATCAACATTCAACAGCTATCCTGTCTACTTCTTGTGTAATTTTCTCCTTTTCATGTAGTGCTGAAAAATGTTGCTGTAATTATACATTTCGGCCCCTTATTTTCTCCTTCCTTTTCCAAAATGTCGATCAAGACACTGTCAAATATAACTTGTTTCTTAAGCGTCAATTCCTTTCACTGAGTTACAAAAATAACCTCTTCAGTGTCAGAGAACATTGTGTTATAGGAACACATGTTCACTCCAAAGACTACAAAATCATGCATGAGCGTTGTACGAGTGTGACAATAGGTTCACCTTTTACTGTCCAAAAGGTCAAATGGGTCAGTGAACCCCAATAGAGAATTTGTTACCTGAATCAGCATTGGAGGCACTCAGAGGGGACTTTATGTTTTAAGTTAGATATAAGCCTCAAACTGTTCAATAAGTGAGATAAAGAACAGGGCTCGGCCCTAACAGGCCTCGACACATGTCCTTTCTCTCACTTATTAGACAGTTTTCGGCTGATATCCATAACATATATATTACCTTTTGACTTATGTATAGCTTGACCAATTGTACAGCATTGGATTCAATAAGAGTTATTCCCCTTATCTTAAGAAATTTAGAAAGACTTCACCCGTTTTAAAATTAGAAGGTGTCTTATGCAATATTTCCAGACCGAAAGGGTTAGTTCTCGAGTACTATAAAAGTCCATAACACTACCAGTAAGATAGGTATGACTTTCACTCGCCTCTGACGACCCTGTTCATGTATATATCACAGACTGGACATGAATGTAGACCTGTGATATATCACAGACCGGACATGAATGTAGGCCTGTGATATATCACAGACTGGACCTGAATGTAGCCCTGTGATATATCACAGACTGGAGATGAATGTAGACCTGTGATATATTACTGGCTGGACATGAATGTAGACCCGTGATATATCACAGACCGGACATGCATGTAGACCTGTGATATATCACAGCCCGGACATGAATGTAGACCTGTGGTATATCACAGACTGGACATGAATGTAGACCTGAGATATATCACAGACTGGACATGAATGTAGACCTGTGATATATCACACGAATAAACCATGTGTCAATATAACTTGTTGAGGTGGCGTTTTGATGCGTATCAAAGGTATTGCGTCATAATATTGATTAAATGGTTATGTATATATTACAACCATAAAATGTTTTATAAGTAGAAATCAATTACAACACTGCCTCATAATACTGATATATTATTAATGTGAACCTTTCTTTATAACTCGAAGAGCCTATCGTACTAGGAAAGCTGATTTGAATTATAGCAGACTAATCCGCATAAAAAAACTAAAAGTAAAGACAGCTACTGAATGAAAAGAAAATCTGACACGGAATTGTTAACTTTTGTACGGACCTATATTTTTTATTAGGATCTTTGTCTGTGATGTCTAACTCAATATATTCAAGTTATATTAAAAACTTATTCATTTTGCACGATTTCATTGACCTTGTTCACACATATGTGAGATATTCGCTTTTTAATCAATAGTTTCTTTGTTTTGGTTTGACGGCCATCATTCTAACTTTATTCACTTCAGAGTTTGAACACAATGTAAAGGTAAATAACTCCTGACAAAGAGCTCGGCATTTATTATATACCGAGCGTTATAACAATGATATTCAGCAAGATGAATCTTATTCCGTATATAAGTGACCCCTTCTGAAATGTCGCCATTACGAGTTTACCTAGTATTAAAGCAAGTGGAAAGTTAACACAGGTATAAAACAAAACTAAGCATCGGTCTTATATAATTTGGTTTGCTCGAGAGGGAGCTTGAGAAGGTGATGTATAACAGATATTTACAATTGTTATACTCTCTCATATAAGTTTAAGTACGATGAGCTTTGTCTATGCACAACAACCATGTTAGTTGTTATCTAACATGGTCTGATCACGATGTGTATGTATAAAATACAAAAGAATGTCGAAGTGGCGACAAAACCATGATTCGAAATAAAAATAAAGGCAAAATATAAGGAAAGATTTACATGGAGATCATTGAAAACAAAGTGATAGGATAAGACCAGACATTCCGAAAGGGTAAGCGTACATTGCTTCATCAACGACAACGACCTTTCTAAATCAATTCCAAGTAGTGCCATATGCTCATATCAAGAACTGGGGTAGTGACAGAAAAACTACAAGGCACACTTATGTGAATAATTATACATGACGACATCGAATATTGGAAGGAAAAGAGCTTCATCGACATTGGTAAATAGCTGTCTATCTATTTACTTCATACCTTTGATTTTATGTCAAGGTAAGATTTCTTGCTGAATACATGACCATTAACTGTTGAAAAGATTTTTCTGAAAAATGGTATTTGATCATAAATGTTTTTTATAAACAATACAATAATGACCAGATAGACGTTCTGTTAAAGTATCCTCTCAGCCTGTAACCATTAACCCTTACCCCGTCACTCACTCAAGTGTTCTGTGTACTTACATTTACATTGACTAGTCGTTTCCGTAGTCGTAGCCAGGCTGCAAGCAGACAAGGGAAAGGACACATCAGCAACATGGAGTGTCGAGCTGTGCTAACATTCCCTTTGGTAATTCTGACATGTTTACTGGGGACAGCAGACAGTAATCCTACACGTTCACCATGTGCCACACAGTCGTCATTTAGGTACGTATACAACTGCAAAGTCCGTGTTATTATAAACGCGAATTCATTTATTAATTTTGTTATATAACTTCTTAGTCGTTGTCATGTACCATGATACTATCATATTCTTTTACTGTTCATTTCAAACCTTGTGTGCGTTGTTACAGTAGCGTATATATTATATAAATTGATAAATTGGACAAAGAAGTAAGTACTATAGTAGATCAATGTGAGGAAGTTCAATTTTCGGAGTGATCCTCTATGTCTTATGAAAACACATAAACAGGACAACAGGAAACAGTTACATTGATTCAGGGAAAAAACATATAAACTAAAGGCATTAGTTCTACTGTCATGCGCACTTACTTCCCCGCCCCATATATCTATTTAAGGTAATTCTTTTCAATCGTATCCTACAAAAATACATTCGTAAGGATCCAAAGTTAATGTGATTCTACTGTTAATGTTTCATTTTGGCCCATTTTTATAACCAAGAGACGATGCCATCACTTTTGACATTGATTATTTATTTAAATACAGTTTCTTATTCCTTAATAGGTACTTAATATTTTACTCATTACATTTGTATTATAAATATATAACAGCAAATCCGGAGTTGAGAATTAATTTCATGAATTTACTTTGTTAATTGTAAAATTATTAAAGCTTGCTGCTTTTTATTGCGTATGTACATATGTTCATAAATTTATATCAATAATAATAATAATAATAATAATAATAATAATTCGAGGTTCTTATACCGCTTTATCACAACCTAGTTCGTAGGTCGTCTAAAAGCGGTTCACAAATTATTATCCGTGGTTATAGGGCCTTTGCAACCCAGTCAATATCTTTGGAGCATACAGCCAGTGCTGCCATTTTGGCGCTCACAGCTAGCATTCAACAATTCTAGCACAGCCCAACTACATACTCATTTACAGCTGAGTAGACTGGAACAAGCGGAGAAAAGTATATTGCTCAAGGATACAATACAATGCCGTGCCGGTGTCATATAAAATTTTCATCCCCCATAAAATACTCATCCGGATGAGTATTTAATGCATTAAATATTCATCCCCCCTAAAAATTATCAAAACTTTTTACATAAATACAAAATTTATAGCATTATTACATCATGTTACCTGTAATACATGGTTCCTATATGTCTATCCAGGTAATTATAATACACAGGGTGTCACCTGTGGGGGCTTGGGCCCTAGGGGCTACTGTTGTCTGGTGACAACATACAGGTGTGGCCAAGATCAGCTGTCAATAAGTGGTATACTGACAAATCATTGAAACAGGGATATATTTATATAATTATAGTGTCCATCAGGTTAAAAAAAAAAAGACTGTCATTTACATATCATAAAACTAATTTCTTTAACTTTTATTTCATTTTTTATGAATCATTTTTTACACAGCAATCCAAACATATAATGAAAAGCAGTATATTAATTGTTATGTTTATAGATATAAAAATTGAATTTTTCAATCAACAATGATATCCATGCATGTTTGGCAGCAAAACTGCTTTTACCTGTAAATTTTTTTGTATTTTAACATTTTAGGAATAATTTCTTTCTTAAGTCAGCTTAGGTGGTGCATGGAATCTCAAGTAATTAAAGTGGTGCAAATGTTTATATAATCAAGCAATATTGGTAAACAGTTGTTTTATGAGATGAAATCATATTTTATGACTACAGTAGAGAGTAGATAGGTACATTATAGGATAAAGGTATTGTTGGGAGTAAATAAACAATTGATGGGAGTGGACAGGTGTTTATGGACAAGTAGATGGGTATTAACAAGTGGGTATAGAAAAGTATTTTATGATTACAGTATAGGGTAGGGTAAATGGGTATTTTATAGGGGTTGATGAGTATTTAATGACTACAGTATCGGGTAGATGGTTATTTTATGCAGGTAGATCGAGTATTTTATGGCTACAGTATAGGGTAGATGGTTATTTTATGGGGGTAGATGGGTATTTAATGGCTACGGTATAGGGAAGATGGTTATTTTATGGGGGTAAATGAGTATTTGATGGCTACAGTATAGGGTAGATGGTTATCTTATAGGGGGTAGATAGGTATTTAATGGCTACAGTATATATATAGGGTAGATGGTTATTTTATGGCTACAGTTTATGGTAGATGGTTATTTTATGGGGGTAGATACATGTAGGTATTTAATGGCTACGCTATAGGGTAGATGGTTATTTTATGGGAGTAGATGAGTATTTAATGGCTACAGTTTATGGTAGATGAGTATATTATGGGTACAGTATTTTAACAAAATGACAAAATAATTGCCAATTGGATGAGACAATAGGCTTAGCCTATATAAGTCCGGGTACAGTATAGGGTAGATGAGTATTTTATGGCTATATTATAGGGTTGATTGTTATTGTATAGGAGGTAGAAAGGTATTTAATGGCTAAAGTATATGGTAGATGGTTATTTTATAGGAGGTAGATAGGTATTTTATGGCTAAAATATAGTGTAGATGGTTATTTTGTGGCTACAGTTTAGGGTAGATGAGTATTTCATGGCTACAGTATAGGGTAGATGGTTATTTTATGGGGGGTAGATGGGTATTCTATGGTGGTAGATGAGTATTTTATGGCTACAGTATAGGGTAGATGGGTACTTTATGGGGGTAGATGAGTATTTAATGGCTACATTATATGGTAGCTGAGTATATTATGGCTACGGTATAGGGTAGATGAGTTGATGAGTATTTAATGACTACAGTATCGGGTAGATGGTTATTTTATGAAGGTAGATGGGTATTTAATGGCTAAGCTATAGGGTAGATGGTCATTTAATGGGGGTAAATGAGTATTTGATGGCTAAAGTATAGGGTAGATGGTTATCTTATAGGGGTAGATAGGTATTTTATGACTACATTATAGTGTAGATGGTTATTTTATGGCTACAGTTTAGGGTAGATGATTATTTTATAGGAGGTAGATAGGTATTTAATGGCTAAAATATAGTGTAGATGGTTATTTCATAGGAGGTAGATAGGTATTTAATGGCTAAAGTATAGGGTAGATGGTTATTTGATAGGAGGTAGATAGGTATTTTATGGCTATATTATAGTGTAGATGGTTATTTTGTGGCTAAAGTTTAGGGTAGATGAGTATTTCATGGCTACAGTATAGGGTAGATGGTTATTTTATGGGGGGTAGATGGGTATTCTATGGTGGTAGATGGGTATTTTATGGCTACAGTATAGGGTAGATGGGTATTTTATCGGGGTAGATGAGTATTTAATGGCTACAGTATATGGTAGATGAGTATATTATGGCTACGGTATAGGGTAGATGAGTTGATGAGTATTTAATGACTACAGTATCGGGTAAATGGTTATTTTATGAAGGTAGATGGGTATTTAATGGCTACGCTATAGGGTTGATGGTCATTTTATGGGGGTAAATGAGTATTTGATGGCTAAAGTATAGGGTAGATGGTTATCTTATAGGGGGTAGATAGATATTTTATGACTACATTATAGTGTAGATGGTTATTTTATGGCTACAGTTTAGGGTAGATGATTATTTGATGGCTTAAGTATAGGGTAGATGGTTATTTTATGGTGGTAGATGAGTATTTTATGGCTACAGTATCGGGTAGATGGTTATTTTATGGCTACAGTTTAGGGTAGATGATTATTTGATGGCTTAAGTATAGGGTAGATGGTTATTTTATGGTGGTAGATGAGTATTTTAAGGCTACAGTATCGGGTAGATGGTTATTTTATGGCTACAATATAGGGTAGATGGTTATTTTATGGGGGGTAGATGGGTATTCCATGGTGGTAGATGAGTATTTTATGGCTACGGTATAGGGTAGATGGTTATCTTATAGGGGGTAGATAGAGATTTTATGACTACATTATAGTGTAGATGGTTATTTTATGGCTACAGTTTAGGGTAGATGGTTATTTTATGGGGGTAGATAGGTATTTAATGGCTACGCTATAGGGTAGATGGTTATTTTATGGGAGTTGATGAGTATTTGATGGCTACAGTATAGGGTAGATGGTTATCTTATAGGGGGTAGATAGGTATTTAATGGCTACGCTATAGGGTAGATGGTTATTTTATGGGAGTAGATGAGTATTTAATAGCTACAGTTTATGGTAGATGAGTATATTATGGCTACAGTATAGGTTAAATGGGTATTTTATAGGGGGTAGATAGGTATTTAATGGCTACGCTATAGGGTAGATGGTTATTTTATGGGAGTAGATGAGTATTGAATGGCTACAGTATATGGTAGATGAGTATATTATGGCTACGTTATAGGGTAGATGTTTTTTATAGGGGGTAGATAGGTATTTAATGGCTAAAGTATAGGGTATAGGTTAGATGGTTATTTTATGGAGGTAGATGAGTATTGTATGGCTACAGTTTAGGGTAAATGAGTATATTATGGCTACGTTATAGGGTAGATGGTTATTTTATGGAGGTAGATAGATATTTTAAGGCTTCAGTATAGGGTAGATGGTTATTTTATTGGGGGTAGATAGGTATTTAATTGCTTCAGTTTAGGGTAGATGGTTATTTTATTTTATTTTATAGCTACATTATAAGGTAGATTGGTGATTGGTGTTTGAATAGAGATAGGTATTTAGATGCATCAGTTGTTATGAAGAAATATTAAAACTGTACAATTATTCTACATGAGATTCCTTTTGTAGATGGGGAGATTGACAGACCAAAAGATAAACATTCTGGCTCCAGCACACACTCTCATTTAATTGTTGAGGTCGTTGTAATCATGTATCAACACGATTTACCAATAACTGTTTTTGATAGTGCTTTAATTTCAATCAATATGCTTCATGTAAACGACGTATAACTTTCAACATATTTCATGGATCCAAGTCATGTATCAACAGCTTTTATATATTTATATAACATTATAAAGAAATGCTCATCATTTTAACATTTATTTCACAACAATCAACATGGATGACAATCATGATTTAACAGAAACAAATCATCATAATAAATAATAATTATATCACCAGTTTTATCATCCTTTTCATCACCTATACCCTCATAAACCCTCCTCTTCCTCAAATCATCATCAAAATCATCCAAAACATAACATAATAAAGTGAATAGGTTCATTTTTTTGACACCAAATTGACACATTGATGTAATTATAAAAGGTTTCAAAATGGTCTGCTTTGTATAAGTACTTGATTAAATATTTGATATTTATAAAGAATGTTTTAGTGAACAATAGTAATTGTATGTGTTAATTTCACATTTCAAAGTCACGTTTACCCTTGTTGAACCTGCTCTTTCCAACTTAATTCACCATCAGGAGTGTCATAATAAATGTAATTTTTATCACTTTTTTGACAACATTTGTTGCATAATACTGAAAGTCATCAACAATTAAATGTTGGTGGTCCTCATTCATACCTAGACAATCTCATCACAGGACACAATTGATCGACAGAATTAATGTCATTACATCATATATTAGTCCTTATCTGTATATCACACTTGATTTCTCAACAATAACAACATTTGTTTTAGCAACAGAATATGCATGTGTTTACTAACTGATCCTCATCCAGGCCCAGACAAAATTTATGACTCCATTTTTCACATGAAGGGCACTGGCTCATCTGGTGCTTCCTTTCAGATTTGACAGGGTTAGAACAAAAGGGCAGGTCACATCTTTTCATCTTCACTTCGAGAGTTGTTGATGAAGTGCATGTTGTCTGTACGTATGCACATGGCACTGCCTCATCAGCCGTGGTGGAACATTCTTTGTCACAGCTCCTGCATTCTGAAGATTTAATTATTATGTAAAATGAATTAGTTAACATTTATTATAACAATAGAGGAAAGGGTCGTTAAGTATGAAAACAAGTTTTAATGGTGAAATATCACTAATGTATCCAACATAAGTAGGATTATTTCCCAGCTCTGTATGCATGGCCCTTAATATTGGAGAATATGAAAAAAGGAAATGCTGCTGTAAAGTGATATCTACTATTTAGGCTACAAATAAATAGAATTGGCTATTTCGTATCTATATCACTGGCAACAATAGACATTATATATATGACATTACTTCCATTATATAAATAAAGAAGTATATAATTTTGCTCTATTTGTTGAGATGTTAAAAATGCAACAGTTGCATTCTGCCTCTAATTCATGATGCCAAAGTATTTTACACATACTATGTTATGGTGGTATAATTACATCTAAAATTCAAAAATAAATTGCCAATACTAGCCATTAAATATCTATCTACCCCCATAAAATACTCATCTACTCTAAACTGTTGCCATTAAATACCTATCTACCTTCCATACAATAACCATCTACCCTATACTGTAGCCATAAAATACCTATATATCCCTATAAAATAACCATCTACCCTATAGCATAGCAATTAAATACCAATATATTCCCATAAAATAACCATTTACCCTATACTGTAACCATCAAATACCCATCTACCCCCATAAAATAACCATCTACCCTATAGCATAGCCATTAAATACCTATCTATCCCCATAAAAACCATCTACCCTATATTGTAGCCATAAAATACCCATCTACCCCCATAAAATACTCATCTTCCCTATACCGTAGCCATTAAATATCTATCTACCCCCCATAAAATACTCATCTACCCTTAACTGGTGCCATTAACTACCTATCTACCCCCCATAAAATATCCATCTACCATATACTTTAACCATTAAATACTCATCTACCCTTAACTGGTGTCATTAAATACCTATCTACCCCCCATAAAATACCCATCTACCCTATACTGTAACCATTAAATACTCATCTACCCCCATAACATAAGCATCTACCCTATATCATAGCCATTAAATACCTATCTACCCCTATACAATAACCATCTACCCTATACTGTAGCCATAAAATACTTATTTATCCCCATAAAATAACCATCTACCCTATAGCATAGCCATTAATTACCTATATATCCCCATAAAATAACCATCTCCTATACTGTAACAGTTAAATACCCATCTACCCCCATAAAATAACCATCTACCCTATAGCATAGCCATTAAATACCTATCTACCCCCATAAAATAACCATATACCCTATACTGTAGCCATGAAGTACCTATCTACCCCCATAAAATAACCATCTACCCTATACTGTATCCATAAAATACTCGTCTTCCCTATAGCGTAGCTATAATATACTAATCTACCATATACTGTAGTCATTAAATACTCATCTACCCCCATAAAATACACATCTACCCTAAACTGTAGCTATAAAATACTCATCTACCCTAAACTGTTGCCATTAAATACCTATCTACCCCCATTAAATAACCATCTACCCTATTCGGGAGCCATTAAATACCTATCTACTCCCCATAAAATAACCATCTTCCCTATACCTTAGCCATTAAATACCCATCTACCCCCATAAAATACACAGCTACCCTAAACTGTAGCTATAAAATACTCATCTCCCCTAAACTGTTGCCATTAAATACCTATCTACCTCCTATGAAATAACCATCTACACTATATTTTAGCCATTAAATACCTATCTACCCCCCCCCCCCCCCCCCCATAAAATAATCATCTACCCTATATACTGTAGCCATTAAATACCTATCTACCCCCCCATAAAATAACCATCTACCCTATTCGGTAGCCATTAAATACCTATCTATCCCCATAAAATACCCATCTACCCTATACTGTAACCATCTACCCTATACTGTAACCATTAAATACCCATCTACCCCCATAAAATAACCATCTACCCTATAACATAGCCATTAAATACCTATCTACCCCCATAAAATAACCATCTACCTATACTGTAGCCATCAAATACTAACCCCATAAAATAACCTTCTTCTATATAGAGTAGCCATTAGATACCCATCTAGCACCATAAAATACCCATCTACCCTATACTGTAATCATTAAATACCCATCTACCCCCATAAATTAAGCATCTACCCTATAGCATAGCCATTAAATACCAATATATCCCCATAAAATAACCATCTACCCTATACTGTACTCGGGCCCGCAAAATGGTCACGAGCCTGGCGTCCTACCACTAGACTACCGTGTCTCCACAGTTCTTTGTTTTAAACAATTCGGCGTAAAAATGATCTGTTGCCGACAGATTAGCTTTCTAAAATAAATGAAGATATACATAGTGTTGCGTGTAAGTGGTTAGACATAACCTTATTACGGTTTGTTAAAATGACTTCTCAGGTTAAACAATCTGCCTATGCACATTCAGTAACAACACACCGGAAACACTGAATAGAGACCTACATCTGAAACAAGACTATTGAATAATCAGAACGTACACAATTAATTTAAATAATAATGGCTATATGATTAATTTAACCATGATTTGATTCATCAGCTTTAATTTGGAAAACGAATGTATTATTTAGTTCACTTTGGTTTTCTATTGTTTTTTTCATTAAAATTTTATTGGTATTACTATGTTTCGATACTATTTGTTTTTACATTTATTTGTTACAATCTTATAAAACAAAATAAAAACAAATTATATTTCAGTATTCAGGCAGTCATGAATCATACGATACANCCCCCCCCTCACCCTACACACACACACATTTTTCTACTTTTTCTACTATCTTATATAATGTGTGTGATATTATATATTTCAGCATGGAGACAGTCATGAACCATCCGATACCCCGTCGTTGTAAGAAGGGTTTAATGACTTGGCACTATCCCATGGGGAGTATGATCCTCCACTTCCAACCAAGGATCCCCGAAAACAGAACTGTCTGGGTCTGTGTATCGGCCGACACAGCAGCCACTGGCATGGGATTGTCCGATGTTACCGCAGAAAGAGTGCGACCACTTCCTAACTTTGTCAGTAAGTAATATTAACTAAGTAAGCTGTTAGCATAAGTTTGCCCTTTATTACCTCGGAAATAGTGTTTCCCACTTTGTCAGTCAGTAATATTAACTAAGTAAGCTGTTAGCATATTTTTGTCCTTTATTACCTCGGAAATAGTGCTTCCCACTGTGTCAGTCAGTCATATTAACTAAGTAAGCTGTTAGCATAAGTTTGCCCTTTATTACCTCGGAAATAGTGCTTCCCATTTTGTCAGTCAGTAATATTAAGTTTCTGCTTCTGATATGCAGACTTTGAACCATTACAAATTCCTCAAAATTGTAGATACAACAAGCTATGTTATTATGAAAATGAATATATACATACACGTACACAATTAACGGGAACGATGTGCTTTAACTGGTTTGTTATCCGTTACCGATTTCTACATCACTGACTCTATACTGCAGGTCATTATCTTTAGCACTACAAAAAATTCGTAACTTATCCTATATATACAGTGGTTGAATGGCCAATGTGTTTTTACACGAGGACTTTTGGGCCTATATCCCGTGGATTTTATACATGAGGGGTTGTCAACAAATAGTCATGATTAATCGTATTGTTAATATACAAAACATAAAAAGACAATGATTGAATATTGAATATTCATTCACAAGCCCTATTAGAGTTATCTCTCATCACTATTTATTTGGATTGTTATAACAGTATATTCACTGATTGTAATTTAGTGGAAAGGACTTAAATATGCTTAATCTGATGTCCAATCAAATTGACGTATACATTGTAAATAAAATCTGTTGAAATTGAAAATAGGTATTGATTGTCATTTGATACACTCCTTCTTTACCAACCATCAAGAGTACGTGAGTCAAACAAATTGAATGTTTATAAAATATTCAAAGATCACCTACAGAGGCTTAGAAAATAGATATAGCCTTAATGTTGATAAGAAAAATGCCTATCAAGTTTGTTCAAATTGGACCACTTTAGAGGTCAGGAGTTTAAATGCCAAACATTTATTACCTTTTGAGAAATAAAGTTGGACCTGTAGTTTAATGAAATGAAAGGTCGTACAAATATCACTTCCTGCCCTATATTTAACCTCACATGGATGCCGTGTTTGTTGACATTCTGACAAAAAGTCATGTCATCAGTTAATTATATTATAGTTATAACTGAAACGATCTAAATATAGCCACCATTGACTAACAGATACCTGTTCCTCGTTCTTGGCCAAATAAAAGAGAAGCTATTTAAGTTTTTAACTTCTTTTTAAGCTTTTGTTACTTTAAATGTAGAGTCCGAAGGTGAACGTTTTCTGTTAAACAACATACCTGGTAAATGTAGTACCCAATAAGAACCGGTCTAACTCTTATTCAAAATTAATTCTGTATAACACCATCTGTAACAAGCTGACCGATTATCTCTGTCATATGTTGTGATGTGTAAATGTTAGCGTTTCCGTCTTGAAAAAGTGTGGTTCGCCCTGAAAATTTGACAAATTTCTTTGTCTGTACTAACGTTATCATTTCTTTGCCCATATATCTATTAAAGTAATACGCATCCAACCAACAATCGTTTGTTCGGATCCATTGCCAATATTGGACCATACCGTCGTTATTACTTATGGGACCTGTGTGTATATACCCATTGCCGGATAGAATCTAATATTATATCAAAGAATACGATAACAACATTTATGTAATTTATTAGATTCCATTATCTATTATTTATAATGTCACTTGCTTGTTTGGTTTGTACATGTGCATCTATTCTCGGTAAAGGGATGTTATTGTTTCCAGGTCGTTACTACGCGACGTGTGTGCCCACGGTCGAAGGACGAGTTGACCTGAAATGGGACGTCTCACAGGAGATAGCAACTTACATAGCCACCATTGCCTACACTGTCGTCAAAGTCCCGCGTTAACGCACCGAACGACGTTACTCGTATCCTAACAAATAGGTGACTGATGAGGTACTCCACAGGTGACATACATATTTCCTCTCCCGTGTTAACTTGCTCTCAAGAGGGACTCTTTATTTTTCAATTATAATTAAAGTAAGAAGATCGAAAGAAAACTGTAAATATTAGTATATACAGGAACAACAACATTACAACCCTGGTTGATATAATGAATTAAACTATAACCCCGTTCTAAAATATACAGAGAAACGTGACCTTTTCACTTTCGAAATATTTGGGGAAATTCTTTCAGGTAAATTACTCCATTTATTGACAAAATTGACCATTTTCTTATTTTAATTGATATGATGTTTCATCATTTATTTTGGTCTTAACATTTACGTTTGTGAAATGATACAAAAGTGTGGAAAATCAATATAATCATTTCACTGGTAAATATGTGTATGGCCATTTACCGAAACACCAATTAATTACTTATAACCCTCAGACAATTCACTAACAAATATATAGCCGATGAAAACTGAGTCGATATTATTGGCTATTTTCCTGTTATTGACTATTGATTGTATCCGACTGTGTATTAATTTTAGCACAGGTCGTTTCTAAAAACACTATTCATTCATGAGGGTCTACCAAACAACTACCAATCAACATTCATACACGTTATTTCTATCTAGACTCCCCTTTAAAACGGCAGGACTTAGTTTACACAGATGACTTATGGAATTAATATTAAAAAAATTGAACCTCATCCGGTCAACAATACGTACAAAGTGTGATAAATGATTCCTTATCTTGTTGTCTATAAATGATTCCTTATCTTGTTGTCTATAAATAATTTCTTATCTTGTTGTCTATAAATAATTCCTTATCTTGTTGTCTATAAATAATTCCTTATCTTGTTGTCTATAAATGATTCCTTATCTTGTTGTCTATAAATCATTCCTAGTGTTATATGGGGTTTTACCGTTGATATTACTTTCTTGACCTTTATAAATATATTGACATATTATCATTGGATCCGCAGGATAAGAAAGAGCTGCACCTTATTTTACAAAAATAACAAGTAATGTATGACCTCATCCATATAGCTATGGACTGACAAGACCGAAAAGGAGAACTACTTTAACTCCATGAAGTAAACATGTGCCCGTCGTAAGCTTACTGCCCGTTGAGATGGATTTTGAATCGGATTATGAGGCAAAGACTTAGCTTCATAATATAACACTGTTCCTATGTATTATTTCATTGAAGTGTTTTGTAACCATGAATACATGTCAACACTGCACAAGTTTTGGTTGTGATTTTGTTTGTTCTTTTTTAATTTGTTTATTCTATGTTCATTAACTCTTTGCTTGGCAATACCTCACTTTTGGCTTCATGTTGAACGTTCGCCCAGGTTAGGAAGGCAATGGGTTCTGTCCCCAGGCCGGAACATACCAAAGTCCTTAAAAAAAGGTAGTGGTTATTACCTGCTTAACGTTCAGCATTTAGGGTAATGGCAACAGTGAATTTCTGAATTTACTGAACGCCAAACAAAACCAAGAATTGGAGAAAATCCTCGCGGTATTATAGCTGTCAAACCAAATTTGGAAAACCCTGACAGGTGCCCTGTAACAATTTATATACTTTACAGTGAAAAACGCCCGACTGGCTACGGTGCCCCATCTGATCCTTTTTACGCAGCAACCAAACAAATATCATCACCTAATATTCCAAGTTGGGTCAAGAAACAGCCAGTAGGAGTCAATAAATTGTGCACCATGATGCAAAGAATGATCAAGTTGTCGGGAATCGAAACTGAAAAAAATCTGTCAAATCACGGTGCTCGGAAATATCACGTTCAAAAACTCAGTGACAGTAACGTTCCCCCAACCCAAATGAAGCAAATTTCTGGACACAAAAACATTTCATCAATACACAACTATAGCAATATCAACACAGATCAACACCAGCAGATTCCACGAATCCTGAGCTCCGGAAAGTCCGTTCTCTCACCTGCCAACATGTCAACGCCGTCAAGTAGGCCTATTTCCACGTGTTTCACAAAATCGACATCTTCATCTTCGATGCCAGAGATAAGTGGCGGCTTTAAATCAATTTTCAGTGGTCCGATTAGTGGAGGGAACATTAAAATTAATATTTACCAAGGTGGTCGATCAGAACTACCACGAAAACGTATCCGAAAAGCTAACATTGAAAGTGACAGCGACTCTCAGTAGGCCTGTTGTGACTGCTTAAATCGACATATGAGGCGTGACTAATCTGATTAATTTTAATGTCTTAGCTATGAAATGAATTGGAAATGTTCATTTTTGTCATTGTTACTTTCATTGCATTTAAAACTGTTCATGATTTAAATAAACAAATATGGAACTACTTTACATTGCGCGGAACGGCAATACTATGATCGGAGTACTTTGGTTTTGACCTATATAGAGTCAGCTGATAACGCATAGTTGTGTTTGAATTTATTTTTTAAAATAATGGTTGTTATGTGTTAAATAGAATCTTACACTCGTGTCCATGTCATATTTAATTAATTAAACTCGTTCAATAATTTGATATGACACTCGCCTAAAGGCTCGTGTCATATCAATCTATTGAACTCGTTTAATAAAATCAATATGACATGGCCACTCATGTAAGATCCTCTATGTAGGATTCACGAGTGATTGCACCTAAATTTTGATAACAGTATGAGAAAATGTATTACACTGAAACATACAGCTGTTTCCTCCAACTAGGATTCATCGTTGATGTAGGTGCCAACATATCAGAAATCCAGATGGGAACTAAGTCCTGTTAAAACACAAGAGGAACATGACACACAAAATTCCGATACCTGGCATGTTAATGTGTTATAACGTAGACATATACTATATCTGACATGGCAATTTGGTACCGAACTTTTGATCCACTATGACACTGATGTCGACGACAAGTAAGATGCTTGATATATAACTGATGCATGACGTTATACTAATAGCCATGTTACAAGTTAGCTAGTTCCGTTCATCTACATATCATAATCCATCGGACACACAATAAAGGCAAACCATCAGGAAAACATTGAATCATACAGCACTAAAACAACTTAATGTTAAACAAATAAACCTGTTCTCAAGGTCATTCCTCCGGGAATATGCGAGTGTTGAATAGACAGATATGACTATTGACTATTGAAAAGGTGTTTTTTTTCTTAAAAGTGGCATCGATCATATACTGGTTATTTTTTACACACGCTAATAATACAAATTATATAAATACAGGTGTATTCCTGAAAGATCAATGTAGTACCTATTATCGAGAAGACTAAGATAAAGCTTCACATTTCTAGAATGATGACATTATTTCTTCGTGATGTGCACACACACCAGTATCACGCGTAAACATGTTACACAAGCTTTGTATGGTATACTGAAAAGTACAGATAAAGGATGCTGTTATTTGTATCAGACGTATTATCTTCGTGCTTGATTGTCATATATCTCACGGATATTCATGTTATCTGTCTCCATATTTGATTACAGTTTCCAAAAAAAAGTATACATTGGATTGATAGTAAGAAACACAGGTCTGTGGTTAAAATTGACTTATTGAGCACAAACATACCTCTTTGGTATAAAATGTCACATTTCAGACAAACACAATAATCGTTTCAACAAACAGTTTTACCAATGGTCATTGTTTACATTGTTCTTGACTACATGATTGCCACACTGCCTCCAATTGTCCTTATTTTGAGGGGAAATTATACGGACACAAAATACTTCTGCACTGTCACGGCCAATTGCAAGTGCATAGCGGAAGGGAGGGGGAGGGGTCAAGGTCTTAGTTCCGACACAACACAATCTCCGATGGTTTGGCAATGATTTTCTTTGTAATTGTACAATGATTCTATCACAATACTTCTGACGTCACTCACTCAAACGAATATATCGTTTAATGCTTAATTGAAAAGGATATATTCGCTAAAAATTAGTAACTATTTATAAACAAAATAGACACCGGGCTCGTGACCGAAGGGTTGCGGTTTCGAGTCACGGCACGGCACTGTGTGGTATCTTTGAGCAAGATACTTCACTCCGCCTTTTCCAGTCTCCTCAGCTGTAAATGAGTACGTGGTTGGGCAGCGTTAGAATTGTAGAATGCTAGCTGTGAGCACCGAAATGGCAGCACCGACTGTATGCTCCCAAGGTAGTTGAGAAATATATTGGCTGGTTGCAAATGCCCTATAACCACGGATAATAATTTGTGAACCGCGTTGAGACGACCTACGTACAAGGTTGTGATAAAGCAGTATATAGGAACCTCGAATTATTATAATTATTATTATAAAACAGTTTCTAATCATGTTTACCTCCATCAGTATACGTAATACTTTGAAGGTGTTCCGTCTTATTCCAGAGTGAAAATTACATATTGCGGATGGAAAATCTAAATCAGAAACTAGCTAAAGCATAAACCTATAGTATCAATCTTAGAATGATTAAATGTCAATTATATATGTTGATTTCGTGAAGTTACAACTTGACAGCAACAAATAATTAATGTATGCATCAATAATTCATAGGTCGATGATGTGATGAAATAACACAGACGTTAGATGATAGTGCTATTCTCGTAATACTCTAAATAGTCCATATCATAAACAGGACGTATTTAGTTACTGGAACGATATGTCAAATACTAAACTTATAATGATAATATTTGCTTTCTGCACTTAGTCCTGACTAAAGGATGGGCACACTTTGTGTCCCATCAGCTATAGTAACACACTATTGCACACAACACCGTGTATATTCGCAATCTGAATACCCGGAGGGAAAATAACAAAGTGACACGGTGTGGAAATGAAACAATTCTGAGAACTGTGAGTATTTTATTGATTACATTAAAACAGAGATAAACGATGGACGTTAGGTAAAGTTTACAGCCTATTATTCTAATTTCAAAACAGTAATACATCCGTATACATGGTCAGACTGAGCGATCCCTGATTGGTTGTTTCAGGCTATACTCGAAAATGATGTCATTACAGATTCAATCTGAGCACACTGCGGACAGTTGCTGTTGTTGTACGCCGGCTTAATGGGTAATCATTATAAATTGATCCACAGCCATGCATCGGGGACAGTTGGACTAGTAAATCTCCTTAGCTAGGATTCGTAGGGTCATTGAGAATCTGGATATCAACTCTAGCGAGGCGCTGTTAATGTTGTAATTCGTTGTAATTGTCTGTTCAAATTGGCCAGAACGTTTGCCCTTTCACATGATATTTCATCACCAGGAATATAATTTTTCATATGAGCAGATGTATACGAAGGAGCATGGTAACGATAAAGTTATTCAGTTTTTTGCCGATAATGATAAATTTGAACTTGTAACTACAATAGGGAGGCGGTTTTAGACATCACTACACCATGATGAATTACCGCCAATCCGCGTTTCTTGGGGTAATTGTGATCGTTTTGAGAATACTTACTACGCGTGGAAATGAAACTCCTACTATAGATTCGGCAAATAAAACAGGTAAGGTACCTGAAAATGTTGGTACAATGACAGACTCTATGGCCACCACAGGTACAGCACCTGGTGATACAGCTTCCAGAGAATACATGGGATCTACGAGTACAGCACCAACTGATACAACAAACTCCACGTTTCAAGGTAGATATTCGACAACTTCCATAAACAGATGACTGATTTTTTTATTTTTTTTTATTTATGTGTTTGTTTTATCGATGACAACCAAAATTGTCAAAGAAGGACTGCATGCGTGTGATGGTTGGTGGTTGTAAAACTATTGTATCTGTAAAAAATCTTATTGAAAACTTTATTTATTTTAAAACAATAATATTCAAGTTATTTCAATTTATATTAATCACTCTTCTTCTGTCCGAATTTTCAGCTTAATATTTCCTATACAGTTTCTGAGAGACTTTCTGTTTTACTGAAAGAAACAATCCATACCTTTAGCCTTCATTTTCCGGTTTCTTGTGTATCAAAGCGCGTGTGTCTATTTATAGTACCCATTAAAGTAAGTCAGATTCACTTGGAGGAGTTTTAATCTGGTCGAGTACCCAAAGTGAGACGCTTCATCATATAAGTAATTTTATGAAATTACTGATGTAAAAATATTTCTTCATTTCAAAATGTTTTTGACGATTTCTGACTAATTATAGTATTTATTTCTCTGAAACATTTGTTTGAACATATAGTTTTCCATGTAAAGAAATATGATAGGATATTTTATGTTATCGCACTGTACTGTTTCTCGGGAATGTTTTCACGTTTTTGATATTCCAATTGAGTTCATGAGCAATTTTTAAGAGGTCGGCAGATGAAATTTGCTCAAAATGCATAAAACTATATTTATTTTGATTGAGAATGCACACCATTCATTTTTACTGAAACTATAAAAAATGGTGCATCAGAAATATTAAAAGTGTTCCAATTTGAGTTCCGTTCCATTTTGGGAACCCTCACCCCTACGAGTAGAAATTCCGAAAAAATGCAGAACTTCTACGTGGTCAGAAAGGTGACCCCATTTTGTTCACGTCCGACTTGGGAGTCGAACCCCAGCCGTCTCGGTAAACGGCGAGTGCCTTATTATCTGCGTCAACTAGCAGTAACCGCTTGATTACATTTTGAAAACAAACATGTAACTTATGGTGATATAAACATGAGCCACAACCAGCAGTAACGGATATCATAAACTTGTTTTCACCATTACCGATAGGAAGTATTTTCCTACAATTATGTATGATTCTCTTCGCAAAAATATTGTACACACTTCTTCAAAGCCTATTAAGGTAGTGGTGTTAGAGATGTGTATGTGATAAGTAACAAGACATCAGTAGTTCTTATCTGAAAAACGATCATGATTAAGTTACATTAAAAAAAATGTCAAAATGATTCCGCACCCTTATATACTTATTTTTTGTTATTTGCTATTAGTTTCGAAGATAAAAATCAAGAAAAATGCTATTATTCTAAACACTTAAACCACTACCTAGCTCAATATCTTGCAATTCCATCTCTATTCGCTGATTTTATAAGTGATTTAATACTGTCATACCAACCTCACATTTCCCTTTCTAAATGATTACAATCCATTAGGAAATTCATCCTTGAAGGTATCTACCTGCTTTATCAACCATAGATTTAAAGCCTACGGCGACAGTAAAAGACAATGATAATATCATGGTACCATTCACACTGAGAGTGTACAAATAAGGTATCGTTTGATTACACGTTATTAACAGGAAACTCTTTTAATGTCTGTGTAGATTTATGCTTACCATTCTGCGCTTCATGTATCACGCTGTACAATCAGCATTGATGAGATCTATAGCAATTATTTTCCAACAAAACATGGATCGCATGTATAAAGGTGGACAAAGGACTAGTATCAGTTTGATACGATACAAATGTATAACTTAACACTCCAATAAGCATTCAACTGATGACACGATCAAATAGTATCTTTGAATAAATTATGATTACAAAAAGGGTTATTTTTGATAACTTACTGATTTAAAAAACAAATTGCTGTGAAATGTGCTAATTTAAACTGTCGTTGTATGTTCCGGTCTATAATGTAATGCTTCGCTCGAGACAGTTTTTCTTTTTGTTTTAAATAACTAAACATTTCATTTGCTTTAAACACTTTGTGTTCGGTGAGTAAGAGACATATAAAGAATTGTGTGTTATAAATTGTATTGGCATGAGGGGCCCAGTTTGTCAATATTGCACGAGTTATATAGGTTGATGTTCTGAATATTGCTGACACGTTGTTGGCACAAACTCTTTATCTAGCCTCAAGGTCTAGACTGTCGCGAGATGTTAGCTTGTTTTGTAGTTAATAGTGTTGTTATTGTTGAATATGTCCCCGAGACAAGAAACTATTGAACAATTTCTATTTTTCGTTTGAGCCAGATTGACATTAACATCCACTACTAGTTAACAATGTTTTAAGATAGGTGTTACATATCGGGCTAAGGTGGACTTGATAGGCTTTGATGATGTATTTTACTCTATATGAACTTTTGATTTACCCGTATCAGATGTAAATGACAAACATAAGTACACTGATGAAACAGTCTAATGTTGCATTGATTTTTGTTAGTTATAATGTAGAGAATCAGGACCTACCACTGTTAACGATTCTGTCCATCATTACCATTTAGCTGGGGTTGTATCAAGGACCTTGACCATAAATATTCTGAAATGAAATGCAATTATTCTGATAATGTAAGGACGGCGTTTCATGTATAGCAGTCTGAACCTATGAGAACATTATCTTTTTCTATCATATTGCTACTCTTTAATTAAATCTTAATTTTGATATTGCCCTCAATCGCAATTGTCGTAAATGTCATGGATAGTTTTGATTTATTATCGAGTACCACCATGGTGAGTCCTTATATGGTACAGTAACACGTTAACTTAATATGAATTTCTCCATTGTTCCTTAAGATGCTTGCCTTCTGCGTATTTTTTATGATTATTTAAGGCCAACTATCTAGCCATATCAAAAGCAAATCTCTTGATTACACTGTTGATTTATTTTATAAAAGCTATATTTGTCTTTTTAAATGTAAAATATCTAAGAAAAACATATTTCCCTTATCATTGACCCAGGAGCGATCTTTGCTAGTTGGCCGATTCTTTAATTACCCGCGGGATGTATACGTGCGGTAGTACCCATTCTCCTAGATTAATTCCGAAGTAATCCTTCTCAGTGATCCTATATTTAATTGCACGGAGTGATATGGGTCGACATTTTTTCTCTGATATTAATGACATTACTGAACTGAGAGATATATCAAAGCTACATTGGCAGAGATAATATTTATGACAATCAGGGCGATTTCTATGACCATTAGTTCAGCTGTGTAATCTCATGTCATATCGCTTTACAGTAACGACCGTTTGATTGTATATATTTAATTCTACTCGTTCATTTGTGGTGGGTTTGTAACGGTCGGTATAGCATTGAGTAAAAGTGTTACTTTTTATTGATTTACTATCTGTTATCATCTTTGTATTTTTGAGGATATGGTATATTGCTGCAATGAGAGGATCTTCCCTATTTGATAGCTCAATTAAGAATCAATCGCCAATGTTTCTGTGACTTGGTTCAATGTTTTGGCATATGGTATTCTCATGTAGAGAAAACCACCAGCCTCAGTTTGTAAGCTTACATATGTTGCTTCCAATTGGTCTCTGAGGGCCGAGGGCCACAGACCGCTGTAGGTCTCGAACCCGCGATCTAGTGGTGAAGGGCTAGTAGTAGCAGAATTCCAGATGCGTCAACCACTTGGACACCGTGGTATCGTATTTGTCGATGCTACATACCTTAGCACAATGAAGTGTTATTGGAGATGCGACATACCTAAGCACAATGAAGTGTAATTGGAGACGCTACATACCTTAGTACAATAAAGTGTCATTGTCGATGCTACATACCTTAGCACAATAAAGTGTCATTGGAGATGCGACATACCTTAGCACAATGAAGTGTCATTGTCGATGCTACATACCTTAGCATAATGAAGTGTCATCGGAGATGCTACATACCTTAGCACAATAAAGTGTCATTAGAGATGCTACATACCTTAGCATAATGAAGTGTCAATGGAGATGCTACATACCTTAGCACAATAAAATGTCATTGGAGATGCTACATACCTTAACACAATAAAGTGTCATTGGAGATGATACATACCTTAGCACAATAAAGTGTCATTGGAGATGCTACATACCTTAGCACAATGAAGTTTCATTGGAGATGCTACATACCTAAGCACAAAAAAGCGTCATTGGAGATGCTATATACCCTAGCACAATGAAGTGTCATTGGATATGCTACATACCCTAGCACAATGAAGTGTCATTTGAGATGCTACATACCCTAGCACAATGAAGTGTCATCGGAGATTCTACATACCTTAGCACAATAAAGTGTCATTGGAGATGCTACATACCCTAGCACAATAAAGTGTCATGGAGATGCTACATACCTAAGCACAATAAAGTGTCATTGGAGATGCTACATACCTTAGCACAATAAAGTGTAATTGGAGATGATACATACCTTAGCACAATGAAGTTTCATTGGAGATGCTACATACCTTAGCACAATGAAGTTTCATTGGCGATGCTACATACTTTAGCACCATGAAGTGTCATCGGAGATGCTACATACCTTAGCACAATAAAGTGTCATCGGAGATGCTACATACCTTAGCACAATAAAGTGTCATTGGAGATGCTACATACCTTAGCACCTCGAAATCGATAAAACAAGGGCAAAATATGAGCAAAGAACAGGTTTACCTGCGTACCTTGGTACCTTTGATATAGGTTTAGAATACTATGAGACCAGTTGTTCTTGAAAGGTAACCGTCTGCTGCCTCACAACGAAACCTTCACCTATATAATGTAAGTAAAATCAAAGTCTTCAAAGCGAGATTTGGGTGGTGGCAACAAAACAACGAGACACACAAATGAACTCAGCCCAAATGTTAGTTTAGGCTTGTCTGTTTAAGGTAATATCTACAAATCTGTTTTTGACCAAATTAGATTATATGGATGATATTCCTCCAGGATTGTCAAAATGAGTTCCAACCATTTTCGAGATAAATGACGAGCACACAGACAAGAATCTTTATAAAAATTTCAATTTAAACACAATGCAAAATGTTTGAGATATTATTTACTTAAAATTGCAGCCGATTGAGAGTAGATGGACGGCGTCTAGTATATATTGTGACGTCTGTGATAATCCTTCTGTTACCTAAATTTTAGTTATTTAATTATTTAAAGAATCTCGTAATGTAGACTGTTCAGTGTCTTTTCTCCAACCTCTGCATTTGCAAGATACACATGTCCCGATACGGATCTAGCATAAGGGATGCGTTGGTTCCACATGGTTGATCTCAGGGACCTTTCTTATTTTGAAGTCACAATCGGATGACAGCATCATATCGTCACAACGGAAAAATCCGTCCAAATGCTGTAAGATTGTTTTACGTCAGGGAGTCACATCACCACATGGACGTCGGACTGCTCGCGTAAGCTAACACAGAAGGTCTTGTGTAAATACTTAAGCTGATCAATCAATGCTAATACCAATCTTTGTTACTATTTCTATATCGTGTGTTAAAATTGTCTTTGTCGTGTTTACTAAAGTTCGGGAAAGGTTGAAGAAAAAAGTCAATATTTATGTATATATGTTGGATAGGAATGTTCTATCCACGGGTGCAGAATTTGGTGCCAGAACCGTGGCTGATTCAACTTAATTACTTACTTGTTTGGAAGACTTCTGTTTGAATTATATTTTCCAATTACTGCATGACATGTGTACTTGAAAATATTATTTCATGTAATGCGATATCAATAGTTTCTTTGTTAAAGAACTCCTATTTACAAATGTCCTCTATGGCTTATACGAAATGATGATGAATAGGTTAAAGGTCTAGTCCTTGTTCGGTCTACGTGTCTGTGTAGATCTGCAAACAAACTGTACAGGATTACTGCAATTACTCCCTCATGTGTCTTTTCACAAGAAGTGTTATTGAAACTCGTGCGCCGTCGTTTAGATTTTCATGTACATGGATATGTTTACTTATGGAGCTATTGTTTGGATAGATTTCTGCATATTCTATGGCTTAAGTGAAGTAAACAGATTTGGTCATGACAACAAAACAATAGCCCTATGTGTAATACATTCATATTGATTGAGAAATGGCACAATACTGATTACAATGAAATCCATTTTACAGAACAAAAACTAAATGTAATATCAGAAAGGCTTTAAAGGAAATAACGACCTAACAGAATATATAACGATGAAAAACACAATGTTACCTCAACGTTTCGCTGATGTAACTATGCACATTTCTAAAAGTTGCAGTGTCTGGTCTACACACAGGTGTTCATTTCTGAGTAGTAAAACATGTATTACAATAACAACATTCGGATTTAAAGCATCAGTATTTGAAATAGAACACGACGAGAAACATGATAGGTATTCATAGAATTTCTAAAGAACATTTATAATCCAACAAGGTTTATCTAAAAATGTTATCATAATCAAATACATGTTTTAACGTCCCGAGAACAACTATGATTTTTTTACATAGTGAAAAGTACAAGTTTATATAAATCGACCATTTCAATTTGAATATATACCAGCACTCAATGGTTCATCAGATAAACTTAAAATTCGCTTCCAAAATAATGGTAAAGTAGACCATTTAAATGGGAGGAATTTATTTTAATGAAGCCTCGGTTCCCCTTAAAATTCATTCATCATCGCTTTGCGCATATATCATGTGATTGTGAATCATGATTAATAAAAAATTCTATTTTGATACATAGTTTAGATCATTTAAAAGTAGATGTAGTGTCAGCAAAACGACGTGAAACACATCAGAAATGTCATGATTATAGAACAAAAACATGATAAGTTTATTTTACTTGATAAACAATTGAGTTACCTGACATGAAGCCACACTGGTGTTAGTTTGGAAACAAATCTGAATAATCCACTCAAATAAATAAAACGTGGTTTTCTGCAGCAGACAATAATGATGGCGGTCTGTAATATTATTGAGATTGCCCATAACCCTTTCTGAAAAGAGGCATACTTATTGCTTTTAACATATTTTGATATGAAAAAAAAGTATATGACATGTTAAAAAGTAGTTGAAATGCTTTGCAGACAGTTAGATCTGGGTGAATTAACATCTGATGACTGATGCCACTACATTCGGAGACTTGATTGAATTCTTAAATCTAGAGTGTGTCTTTGTTTCAGATTCCTCTATTCATATATTATCATCAATATTATTATTCCGGCTTGGAATGATAGGTATTTCTGTATTGTTATTATTGTAACAGCTAAAGAATATGAGGGGGGGGGGGGGGGGGGGGGGCTGCTTGGTCAGTAGTTGGATGGTTGACCGCCCGTAAATTACATTATCTGCTTCACTGACTCAAACGAAGGTCAAATAGAGAATACAATAAGGCATTGAATCATGATTACACTAGAGGAATTTGCCACGAGAATTATGAAACAATGAATCACTTATTTAAAACAAATTAGTAAGTCATTACAATAAGCCGAATAGAGTAAATAATCTAACTTCACTATATGGCCAGTTTGTCCATTTTAATGGTCTCTTCCAATTATACGCTATCAAATAAAAATGTGCTGAGTATATTCTCATATAATACAACATTTACACCATTTGGTATTTATAAGGCTAATGACGGTTGGGATTCACTTTCAATTTCATTGATTGTGCATTGTTAGAAATTCATAAAGGGTTGATGATGCTCTCAGTCGACATGACAACACTACATCACGTATACAGATAGCTTTAAATTACATGATAGACCTTGGAAAGAGGAAGCATATCAACCAACTTTAAATATATACACAATACTTCTTATATGAGTTAAACGTAAGATGAAATAATCAATTAATACAACTTAAACCAACGATAAAGAGATCAAACTTAAATACTGTTTTAAAGTAGTTTCCTTATTGGCACAATAGCTAAAAAGAGACAAGTTATAAGTTTCGCCTTGTTAAAATCAAGTTTACCTGCACTTTCCTATTCCTAAATATCATTGCACGAATATCTGTATTGAAGCTCCTTTTAACTTTAAATTAGTTTATTTATTGATAAAAATATCAATATTGATATTATTATTACAATGACGAACTTGGTCATGATAAAGAATCTTTCCATGAAATGATATTTCCCTACCAATCCATAGCTTAGACGTTCTCAACAGACACCTTACACGGGTCCATGGCAATAGTAGTATTGACACCAGAGAGATGTCAATACTACTATGTACATGGACTTGAGTAAGCTGTCTGTTGAGGAGGTCATGAATTGGATTTGAAATACTGACAACCCAAGATGGCTCTGTAAGTAACATGGTTGTAGGAATTTGGAAACAGCCTTGTAAACAACAGCCATCTCAACAGGTTAGTTTAAAGTATTGAATTTCTGTCTGACTATCCAGTGTAATAAAATGACTTACCTGTGATAGTGACGTTTTCTCAATTGTAACATGTGTAAGAGTACGGCTTTGTTAACTAGATATACATCGATAACAGGATTGTTTTACGTACATCTAAAAGGGGCAAATACATGAAAAGAAACGCTATATTTTCAGATGCCATTGGCGTACGGTTTGTGAATGTAAATTATGACATTGCTTCATCTTGGTATGGCAATAAAAACACGACACTTTACTCCCTATCTAAATTATGAACTATTTTTATTTCAGTGCCCTATTTTTTAAACAAGAGCTCTGCAATATTTAAAGAATTCCAAACAATAACCTTGTTCTGCCGAGCACAAGTCAAGGACAACATGCGTTTTTCCTGGTTTTTCCGCCATGCTACATCATACTTTGTGAGGGAGTATGGCTACGATGCTAGTATGCCCATGGGCTTCTTCAATAGATTTGTGGACAGATATACAGTAAGTGAGACGATCACCAATGAATACTTGACGAGCGTCCTAGAGATCCGATCTGCTCTGCCCGGGGACAGGGGATGGTACAGCTGTAAGGATGTCGGGAAGAAAATCAATAGCACGACCTATGTCGAATTTGAATACGGTAAGTCAACATGATAATTACTACTATTTAGGGGATAGTACGTTGTTTTGAGTGGCTATACTGGCTATTAGAACATGAAATTTGGGTTTGAACTCGAGACCGATAATCGCTAGTATAGACACGAAAAACAACGTACTATTAATTGTATATATTTGTTAAGAGTTGTGTGTAAATATTCATACAAGGAATGTTTACTTTTTATTTGTTAATTCATTCAACAAATACTTTTCATCGGTCGTTTCTGTTCTGTTGCCTGCTAGCCTTATCAGCGGGATTTCGCTAAGGGGCTAGCTTGACGCCATATTGTTTTGGTTAGAAACGGGGCGTGGCTTAAGTGCGATGGGAGGAGCTTAACACGATTGTTCATGATTCTATCGCAAATTAGAACATGGTCCGGATCCAATCAAAAAACGCGTTCCAACGAATCGTGTTAGAATGTACAATAAAGCTATGTCAAGTTTATGTACGGTAAGTCAATATGATGTTAACTACTATTCTACAATATAGCTATGTCAAGTGTATGTACGGTAAGTCAATATAATGTTAACTACTATTGTACAATGTAGCTATGGCAAGTGTATGTACGGTAATACAACATGATGTTAACTTCTATTGTACAATATAGCTATGTCAAATGTATGTACGGTAAGACAACATGATGTTAACTACTATTGTACAATAAAGCTATGTCAAGTGTATGTACGGTAAGTCAATATGATGTTAACTACTATTGTACAATATAGCTATGTCAAGTGTATGTACGGTAAGTCAACATGATGTTAACTACTATTGTACAATATAGCTATGTAAAGTGTATGTACGGTAAGTCAACATGATGTTAAATACTATTGTACAATATAGCTTTGTCAAGTGTATGTACGGTAAGTTAACATGAGGTTAACTACTATTGTACAATATGGCTATGTCAAGTGTATGTACGGTAAGCCAACATGATGTTGATTACTTTTGTACAATATGGCTATATCAAATGTATGTACGGTAAGTCAACATGATGTTAACTACTATTGTACAATATAGCTATGTCAAGTTTATGTACGGTAAGTCACTAACGTACAATGGCTTGTTATTCACATTCACGTTAACTGTGCTAGAACCATTATAGCTATAATATACACCGTTACAGGAAATTTCAGGTACTGATAGCCCAACTCCAGAATCAAGCATTTCGTTTAGTGTAATAAAACAAAACGAGCGGAGGAGTACATAGATATACATTTCAACCCCGACCCCCTTCCCCATTAAGGGTACATCCTTTAATCATACTCAGAAAGCAGAGAACGTCTTACTAATAAGGAACAATATAGGGAACTGTGTTTCGTCTACGGTCGATATTTACCGGACAATTATGACGTCTATGCTCCGATTTGTCGATTACTTTATACGGAAAATGATTTCTTTTTTTTTGCTACGAAACTAAGACGTCGATAATTAAATTATCGAAGAATAATGAGAAAAGTAACGTTTGTTAATGACAACAAGCGACACAGCACTAATATAATAGCGCAAATCACAAACCACAACAAAGAGGCGATCTCTGCCACGATGCAACCACGCAATTCAATTAGGCAAGATAAACACAGACGGCAGACAGCGTGCAACAACTGAATCACGGACAAACAAGGTACTCCTTTGTATGTTTATGTATAACAAACGCACTAGCTCTAAATACTTAGGAAGTAGGATTATTGACGATAAGCAAGGCTTCGGCGTTAGAGGAAAAACCTCAAATATACTCCATGGTTGCCTTAGTAACCATGTCACACTCTGTATTAGGATCTTTTAGAGCACATCTTAGTATCTAAGCCTAATCTAAATGTAATCGGACATATAAGATTTATATGATTTCTTGTCCATTGCCAAATACGCTCGTTATCGCACCATGATCATGCCTTTTTTGTATGATATCATGTAATGCACAATTATCATTGATTTTTATATTTAATTTTAGCTGTGTTAGAGACCAAACCCTTAATAAAGGCAACGTTAAAGTGTAAGTTAATCTGAACGTCTCTTTCCCGACTGTACCATCCATCTCATGATATCCAGTGGCCAGCCGACACGATATCCTTCCTGATGTAATTATTTATCTAACAATATTAATAGACACTTATTCCGATACTGCAAAATGTGAACAAATGTATCTCCAAAAACAGCAGATCTAACTGATCGTCGATTCCTTACTCCCTGTACCAACCTAAACCCTAACGTCATGTCATATCATGTTCGTGTACGGCAGGTCTACAAGATCCACACTACTATTGTACATTGTTATGACGAGTTCGTGTACGGCAAGTCTACAAGATCCACACTAATATTGTACATTGTTATGTCGAGTTCGTGTGCGGCAGGTCTACAAGATCCACACTACTATTGTACATTGTTATGTCGAGTTCGTGTACGGCAGGTCTACAAGATCCACACTAATATTGTACATTGTTATGTCGAGTTCGTGTACGGCAGGTCTACAAGATCCACACTACTATTGTACATTGTTATGTCGAGTTCGTGTACGGCAGGTCTACAAGATCCACACTAATATTGTACATTGTTATGTCGAGTTCGTGTACGGCAGGTCTACAAGATCCACACTACTATTGTACATTGTTATGTCGAGTTCGTGTAGGCAGGTCTACAAGATCCACACTAATATTGTACACTGTTATGTCGAGTTCGTGTACGATGGGTCCACAAGATCCACACTACTATTGTACACTGTTATGTCGAGTTCGTGTACGGTAGGTCAACCAGATCCACACTACTATTGTACACTGTCATATCGAGTTCGTGTACGGTAGGTCTACAAAATCGACACTATTATTGTACACTATCATGTCGAGTTCGTGTCGGTAGGTCAACCAGATCGACACTAATATTGTACACTTTCATTACGAGTTCGTGTACGGTAGGTCTACAAGATCCACACTACTATTGTACATTGTTATGTCGAGTTCGTGTACGGCAGGGCTACAAGATCCACACTAATATTGTACATTGTTATGTCGAGTTCGTGTACGGCAGGGCTACAAGATCCACACTACTATTGTACATTGTTATGTCGAGTTCGTGTAGGCAGGGCTACAAGATCCACACTAATATTGTACATTGTTATGTCGAGTTCGTGTACAGCAGGTCTACAAGATCCACACTACTATTGTACATTGTTATGTCGAGTTCGTGTAGGCAGGTCTACAAGATCCACACTAATATTGTACATTGTTATGTCGAGTTCGTGTACAGCAGGTCTACAAGATCCACACTACTATTGTACATTGTTATGTCGAGTTCGTGTAGGCAGGTCTACAAGATCCACACTAATATTGTACACTGTTATGTCGAGTTCGTGTACGGTAGGTCAACAAGAACCACACTACTATTGTACACTGTTATGTCGAGTTCGTGTACGGTAGGACAACAAGATTCACACTATTATTGTACACTGTTATGTCGAGTTCGTGTACGGTAGGTCAACAAGAACCACACTACTATTGTACACTGTTATGTCGAGTTAAGTGTACGGGAGGTCTACTAGCTCCACACTAATATTGTACACTGTTATGTTGAGTTCGTGTACGGTAGGTCAACAAGCTCCACACTACTATTGTACACTGTTATGTCGAGTTAAGTGTACGGTAGGTCTACTAGCTCCACACTAATATTGTACACTGTTATGTCGAGTTCGTGTACGGTAGGTCTACAAAATCCACACTACTATTTTAGACTGTCATGGCAAGTTCGTGTACGGTAGGTCTAAAAGATCTTCTTTACTATTGTATACTGTTATGCCGAGTTCGTGTACGGTAGGTCCACAAGATCCACACTACTATTGTAGACTGTCATGTCGAGTTCGTGTACGGTAGGTCTACAAAATCCACACTACTTCTTTACTATTGTATACTGTTATGCCGAGTTCGTGTACGGTAGGTCCACAAGATCCACACTATTATTGTACACTATCATGTCGGGTTCGTGTACGGTAGGTCAACAAAATCCTCACTAATATTGTTCACTGTGTCATGTCGAGTTAGTGTACGGTAGGTTTACAAAGTCCAAACTACTATTGTACACTTTCATTACGAGTTAGTGTACGGTAGGTCTACAAGCTCCACACTACTATTGTACACTGTTATGTCGAGTTAAGTGCACGGTAGGTCTACTAGCTCCACACTAATATTGTACACTGTTATGTTGAGTTCGTGTACGGTAGGTCAACCTGCTCCACAATACTATTGTACACTGTTATGTCGAGTTCGTGTACGGTAGGTCAACAAGATTCACACTATTATTGTACACTGTTATGTCGAGTTCGTGTACGGTAGGTCAACAAGATTCACACTATTATTGTACACTGTTATGTTGAGTTCGTGTACGGTAGGTCAACCTGCTCCACAATACTATTGTACACTGTTATGTCGAGTTCGTGTACGGTAGGGCAACAAGATTCACACTATTATTGTACACTGTTATGTCGAGTTCGTGTACGGTAGGACAACAAGATTCACACTATTATTGTACACTGTTATGTCGAGTTCGTGTACGGTAGGGCAACAAGATTCACACTATTATTGTACACTGTTATGTCGAGTTCGTGTACGGTAGGTCAACAAGAACCACACTACTATTGTACACTGTTATGTCGAGTTAAGTGTACGGTAGGTCTACTAGCTCCACACTAATATTGTACACTGTTATGTCGAGTTCGTGTACGGTAGGGCAACAAGATTCACACTATTATTGTACACTGTTATGTCGAGTTCGTGTACGGTAGGTCAACAAGATTCACCCTATTATTGTACACTGTTATGTTGAGTTCGTGTACGGTAGGTCAACCTGCTCCACAATACTATTGTACACTGTTATGTCGAGTTCGTGTACGGTAGGTCAACAAGAACCACACTACTATTGTACACTGTTATGTCGAGTTCGTGTACGGTAGGTCAACAAGATTCACCCTATTATTGTACACTGTTATGTTGAGTTCGTGTACGGTAGGTCAACCTGCTCCACAATACTATTGTACACTGTTATGTCGAGTTCGTGTACGGTAGGTCAACAAGATTCACACTATTATTGTACACTGTTATGTTGAGTTCGTGTACGGTAGGTCAACCTGCTCCACACTACTATTGTACACTGTTATGTCGAGTTCGTGTACGGTAGGTCCACAAGATTCACACTTCTATTGTACACAGTTATGTCGAGTTCGTGTACGGTAGGTTTACAAAATCCACACTACTATTGTACACTGTCATGTCGAGTTCGTGTACGGTAGGTCTACAAGCTTCACACTACTATTGTACACAGTTATGTCGAGTTAGTGTACGGTAGGTCTACCAGCTCCACACTAATATTGTACATTGTTATGTCGAGTTCGTGTACGGTAGGTCAACACGATTCACACTATTATTGTACACTGTTATGTTGAGTTCGTGTACGGTAGGTCAACCAGCTCCACACTACTATTGTACACTGTTATGTCGAGTTCGTGTACGGTAGGTCCACAAGATTCACACTTCTATTGTACACAGTTATGTCGAGTTCGTGTACGGTAGGTCTACAAAATCCACACTACTATTGTACACTGTCATGTCGAGTTCGTGTACGGTAGGTCAACCAGATTCACACTTCTATTGTACACAGTTATGTCGAGTTCGTGTTCGGTAGGTCTACAAAATCCACACTACTATTGTACACAGTTATGTCGAGTTCGTGTACGGTAGGTCAACCAGATCCACACTACTATTGTACACTGTCATGTCTCTGTATTGTGTGTGTTTGTGAATACTCTGGTTACGCAACAGAACAACACATTTATATTACGTTGTATAAATAGTTTATTTGTATAAAGGTCAGAGTGGGGTTAAGTGTCATATCTGCCAGCTCTCTCATCACAAGGCCTCCGAAAATACCGTGGATTACAAAACAAATTGTATCCTCGTCTGGATGCATTAAGGATATAATACTGGATTATCAAAGACCCTGCTTGAACTGTTTTTATTTGTTTTAAAATAATACACATTCCTCAAGTTTCTGACGTGTATAAATAAAACAGGGACAAGGATATACCGCGATGGTTAGCCCGTTCACGTCTTCGGTGTTTATTAAAAGCCAGAATTGAATATGAAATCGCAAATGTTTTTATTTCCGTTCTGTTGATTGAATTTGATAAAGAAAATGAAGCATTCTTTGTTCACATTGGTAGATTTTAAGTAAGAAACCGAATGTTCAGGAATACTTACCGTAGCGCAGCTCACTCTAAACGGATAACAATATACCAGAGGTGATTTATTGAACATTTGAATAGTGTTATTATACTATTGTGTCTTGATTCTTCTTGCTCGTTCATATATAGTAATCAATGTTATCGTGATTATTTGACAGATACATGCAGAGGCAATGGAGTTTATTCAGCGGAGTGAGTATTTTTCCTTGACAGTTATCCACTCTAGAAAGTAGAAATCATTATAATGATTATAAAAATCACCAGAAATACGGGGTAAGGAAGCAACTATTGAAAAATTTCGTTAGTCGAGTCAAACAAAGCAAACAGTTTAACAGCAACTTACGGCCATATTGTCCATTTAGGACTCAACATTAGTGACATGGGGAAATGATGGAAAACCCAGTTCTATAGTGTTCCTAGATAAATGTAGAAAATAGATATAACCCCATATAATGTTAGAAAGTAATAACTTATTGCAACAACAGAAAATTAAATCGATTAACTAGTATTTCATGTTAATCGTGCAAGCAACATTTTTCAACCCATTTACCGAGCGAGGTAATGTTAATTGTGTACACTGATAATTAAATTTCTCCCTAACTTGAAAAACCAGCACATCTATGAAAGCATTTCTAGTTTATATATAGAATGATTTTACTTTGCAAGCTGACTTTACACATACCTGCTTAAAGATGCAACGTGGTATAAGTGATTATGCCATTTGATACTTTTGTCAATTTGATCTATATTGATTGGCTTTGTTACAATCGCTCAAATGACGAGGATTTTTTTCCGTCACACTGTTCTTTCAATATTACGTAATTGGCGTTATACACACAACATAAAGTAATTATCTGAAATCGGTATTTAATAATTAATTTCTGGAATATAAATGAACAGATTGAATTGTATTTTTAATTGATACCTGTATCAATTCGCGTTGACGTTGACATGCTGTTTATGAAGCACCTAGTGGAATATATAAAAAAAATACGTTAAAATAAGATTATTAGGTTTGTGATTATAGTCACATCGAATTCACAACGTCACTATATCTCGTACATAAGAAAAACACGCTGCGGTTAGAAATGATCCTGTTTACGGCATCAGAACCGTCGGATGTTTATTTTTGTTCGGCAGATTGTTCGGTTTTACTTACATTTAAACTGTTTAATAACAAGTATGATTGCCTAGTGATATTCGCCCTGATTGTTTATCAATATAAGTATGCAAGGGTTTTAGTGTGGTTCCGCCAATAAACTGTTTATCATATATGTACCTGCATGGCAGATTTTGATCTTATATATCCTTTATTCTAAAACTTGATGCAAAATATCACTAGAAATATGTAGAAAGGAAACACCTGTTTGTAAAGTATGTGTGTAGAAGCAGAAACACAAATAAGGTAAAACTATAACTTTACCATACGATCGTTTCGAAAAATATAAAGCGAAAATGAAAGGTTCCTATACAACATTTATAGTGTTACGTATTCATAAGTTTGGGCTACAACAGATACTTACTAATTAAATATATTCTCGAAAATCCATTTGTATTGGGGACTCATGAAGCTAAGCAGGCTTTTAACACATTTACCCTGTTTTGTTGTTAACATTCAATACTGTTCACTTTTTAGCATCTAAAGGCAGTTTCCAGCATACAATCTATTATATAAGTACTTGCAGGATGGTATAGGACTTCTTGCATAATCTGTTTGAGATATTTTATGCAGTCCACAATTTCACACAAGAGTGTTTGTCAGACAAAATACTCATTGACGTGGCATGCTATGCAATATCTTTGAGGTACCACGCTACTCTTAAATTATCTATATAAATGGTGATTATAAATAATGGTATAGTTTAATCAAATTAAACATAGTCATGTGATTTTCACCAATCTTACAACTGTCATTAATGAAACGTTAATGTCAGGGACACAGCTGTTAGTGAAAAATAGAAAATCACGTTGACACCTACACAAATATTTTATTTCATTCGTTCAGATGTAACCATAATTAATACTGACATTTGAAAGTGTATGTGATGTCCCTCCGTCATTTCGTTCTTGATAGCTCAGTTACATGTATAATAATTGGACCATTTCAGGATTATTCATATTAGAACAAATATATCAGACACACAAATCGGCATTAGCTGATGACTAATAAGATTGTCATTTTATGTTCAGCTGGTACAAACTATTCTGATAATGTTAAGACTGTCAACATTCCATCTCATCTAACCATGTATTATTCATTTATATATCATTCTAATTCAACAGACCCGAGGGTCCAATTACAGAACTGATAACAAAAATATAGTAAAATATCACAGATAAAGACATACATTTCTATATAAGGTAGATAGCAATGTAGCATACGGTGCATATTGATGGAAATTATTAAAAACATACAGCCTTTAAGTGAGACTTAAAGTAGACATTCTACATTCGAGTTGCATATTAACTACATGAACCAACTAAAATAAAGTTTTGCTTTATAACATTCGTCACTGTCATATATATATATATATGTAAGAGAACTTGAAACGGAAACTAGAATTATGAAACTGGTATGTATTACAATTCCGTAGATAATGGTCATGACATATGCAAAATACCTGTCAATAAATGAGGTATATAAATAATATTGAAATATTACATGTGAAGTATCAATAAACAATGCGATAGTTTTATAAAACTGGTCGAGTTGTCGATCTCATTCTCTCGCTAGTTATTTTGAAATGGTGTTTATTTATATACATTTTGTGATTTTTATGATGACAAAAATCTCAAACTCATTATCAAATTATATTGAGCTCGTTTGAGTTTCATCTTCGACGTATTATTCACATGATTAAAGTAAAATAGCATAAATATTTATATTATGAGTATATATGTACGTTTCATTTGCACGAACGTTTAGAACGTTGTCAGTATAAATGAAAACTTCTGATAATGGTATTATGTTATTATGAACGATATTCGGTAATCATTAAAGAAAGATCATCGATACAAACAGATAAGACGGTGAATATTGAAATGAGAAATAAAAACAACACTCTTCTTCATTGACAGGTTCGGGTGTATAGAGTTTATCAGTGAAGAAGAGTGCAGGAATAACGATGGATCGTTGGCCATCATCCACTCACGTCGCAAGGATAAATGGATATTCGATTTAGCATTTCACCTGGACCAGTCAGTAACGGATGAACTGAAGCTTGGTGAGATTTGTTATCTATTTCCTCCGAGGTTATTTACTGAGTATAATGTTCTGATTGCCGCACGTTCTGTGATGGTTATACTGATATATTGACTAAGTGTTTTGAATCCATAAGAGAGTTGGATCAACTTATCGATATTATCTGAATGGTCTTAGCTTTGTTTTTGTATCATGTCTAATGCGTGATCCAGTACAGTCTTTGTGTGGGTTGATACTCTTTTCATGCATTAAAAAAGGACTGCCGGCGATAAACATTTCTTTGGTCAAACTAACTCAATATAACTCGGTGTGAGAAAGACCTTGCCCCGGCAATCCAAGCCCGGTTAGCTTCACTAATCGCTAATATATGTAATTTGGGGTTTCAACAACTGTTATTTACAGTACACTAAAATTCATAGCTAAACTAACATGTAGAGTGAATGCTAAACTATCTATAAATAAGAAATATATTTGTTTTAGATAGTTTAAATATGTTCTCAAAAATCACATTTTGAACATTTGTGTTGGTGACTCATGAAGCTAACCAGGCTTTTTACAAATTGACCCTGACTATTTGTTAACATCAAATACATCTTTAGTAGATATGAGGAAATGTCTCTTGTTCTTACAGGATTGACACTGTCTGCAAATACGATGTTATGGAAAGATTTTAAGTGGAAAGATGGCTCCTCCTTAACGTTCGTCGAATGGTAGTATTAAAAAAAAAATATTATTTGTATTTTTTTATATCATTTTTGGCACTGAAAAAACTGATACTTCCACACACAGTGACATATATCAAAATTGATGTTTATCACAGAGTGAAAATACTGCTTATACCGTGAAATTGTCGCCACGTCAAACTTTGGTTTAAACTTTGTTTTATTCAAATTTTGTTTGACAATACATCGAAGTACATGTTTTATAGAACAGAAAAGGAAACAAAAACAAGTGTCGTGACACTTATGTAAATTTGTTTCCTGACTTTTTTTTTTTGGTTGATTTTGCCCTCCACATTTAATTACTATGTTTATTATGCTGTTTGCTTATATTAGCTGTAATGATTAGTTCGCTCTCATTACGGAGGGCGATAAAGGCGAAAATGAAGCAAATATATCCGGGTCTACAGTATCACTGCTTGAATTGACTGATCACAATGTCACTTTCTGTTCACTTCATTCAAAGCTCTAACAATGCTGTCAGGTACAGACGAAGCGACGGTATGATAAGTGGTTGTTTTAGTACATTGAAGTTCAATACACTTGGGTATTAATTGACTTACAAAATTGATGCCATATAAGAAATTCATACCAAAAATAACAGATAAAAGTATACTGGTGTCGTATATTCCATTCAAAATAGCTTGCAGCCTTAGTGTCAAGCTTGGGGTTATTAGATGACGTCAAAGATTACGTTATTTTTACCCGACGGTTTTGCTATAGTAAAATTGTCCTAATTGTAGCTTTTGTAAAATTAAATAGTCAAAGCAATTTCGTTTAATGACGTCAAAGGTTACGTTATTTTTTACCCGACGGTTTTGCTATAGTAAAATTGTCCTAATTGTAGCTTTTGTAAAATTAAATAGTCAAAGCAATTCCGTTGAAAATTACCTATAGTTTAATTGTTTTGCAGAATAAACCGATATTTTCACTCTGAAAAACTCGTGATTATTGTTGTTATGCTTATTTTACACCGAATGTTAGACGTTATGTCTATGTTTGGTATTCCAACAAACATTGCATACAACCGGTTCATATATTTGGTATTAAAGTTATTTGTTTGTGAAAAATGGACAAAATGTGAACTCTTCTTTGACGTAATGGACAAAATGTGAACTCTCCTTTGACGTAATGGACAAAATGTGAACTCTTCTTTGACGTGTTCCATTTGGACATTGAATTGTTTTATTAGATCAGTAAAAACTGTGTTTAGTAGAAGAAACACAAATCTATCAAAGTTCATCAATATATCTACATTGTATTTATGAGTTAATTTAATACCGCGTTCTCTTTAAAACACCCATGTAATAGGACCTACTGTAATCACAGATCCTAGCTTATTTGAAGTATCTTTAGACACATTTCATCAATCTAATGTGTTAGATTAATTGCAGACTAAAATAATTAACAAGGCATACACATTTTATCACCGCCAACGTGTCCATGCCTTGTGTCGATCCTCAGGAGAATGAGCATCGTTAATGTTTTCCAGCCTTACGTCCATCACGATAAAGACCATCAACATGTCTTCAAAAGGTTACATTTTATATACATTGTATAGATGAACATATATATTCTCATGTGAATAAAACGACGAACTGACCCCAACAAAATGCTGATATACATCACACATTAGGTTTAAACACAGTACGTGAACTTTGATTAGATCGATAGGTTAAACACAGTACGTGAACTTTGATTAGATCGATAGGTTAAACACAGTACGTGAACTTTGATTAGATCGATAGGTTAAACACAGTACGTGAACTTTGATTAGATCGATAGGTTAAAACACAGTACGTGAACTTTGATTAGATCGATAGGTTAAACACAGTACGTGAACTTTGATTAGATCGATAGGTTTAAACACAGTACGTGAACTTTGATTAGATCGATAGGTTAAACACAGTACGTGAACTTTGATTAGATCGATAGGTTTAAACACAGTACGTGAACTTTGATTAGATCGATAGGTTAAAACACAGTACGTGAACTTTGATTAGATCGATAGGTTAAACACAGTACGTGAACTTTGATTAGATCGATAGGTTTAAACACAGTACGTGAACTTTGATTAGATCGATAGGTTAAAACCAGTACGTGAACTTTGATTAGATCGATAGGTTTAAACACAGTACGTGAACTTTGATTAGATCGATAGGTTAAACACAGTACGTGAACTTTGATTAGATCGATAGGTTTAAACACAGTACGTGAACTTTGATTAGATCGATAGGTTAAAACACAGTACGTGAACTTTGATTAGATCGATAGGTTAAACACAGTACGTGAACTTTGATTAGATCGATAGGTTTAAACACAGTACGTGAACTTTGATTAGATCGATAGGTTAAACACAGTACGTGAACTTTGATTAGATCGATAGGTTTAAACACAGTACGTGAACTTTGATTAGATCGATAGGTTAAACACAGTACGTGAACTTTGATTAGATCGATAGGTTTAAACACAGTACGTGAACTTTGATTAGATCGATAGGTTTAAACACAGTACGTGAACTTTGATTAGATCGATAGGTTAAACACAGTACGTGAACTTTGATTAGATCGATAGGTTTAAACACAGTACGTGAACTTTGATTAGATCGATAGGTTTAAACACAGTACGTGAACTTTGATTAGATCGATAGGTTAAACACAGTACGTGAACTTTGATTAGATCGATAGGTTTAAACACAGTACGTGAACTTTGATTAGATCGATAGGTTAAACACAGTACGTGAACTTTGATTAGATCGATAGGTTTAAACACAGTACGTGAACTTTGATTAGATCGATAGGTTAAACACAGTACGTGAACTTTGATTAGATCGATAGGTTTAAACACAGTACGTGAACTTTGATTAGATCGATAGGTTAAACACAGTACGTGAACTTTGATTAGATCGATAGGTTTAAACACAGTACGTGAACTTTGATTAGATCGATAGGTTTAAACACAGTACGTGAACTTTGATTAGATCGATAGGTTAAACACAGTACGTGAACTTTGATTAGATCGATAGGTTTAAACACAGTACGTGAACTTTGATTAGATCGATAGGTTTAAACACAGTACGTGAACTTTGATTAGATCGATAGGTTAAACACAGTACGTGAACTTTGATTAGATCGATAGGTTTAAACACAGTACGTGAACTTTGATTAGATCGATAGGTTTAAACACAGTACGTGAACTTTGATTAGATCGATAGGTTAAACACAGTACGTGAACTTTGATTAGATCGATAGGTTTAAACACAGTACGTGAACTTTGATTAGATCGATAGGTTTAAACACAGTACGTGAACTTTGATTAGATCGATAGGTTAAACACAGTACGTGAACTTTGATTAGATCGATAGGTTTAAACACAGTACGTGAACTTTGATTAGATCGATAGGTTTAAACACAGTACGTGAACTTTGATTAGATCGATAGGTTAAACACAGTACGTGAACTTTGATTAGATCGATAGGTTTAAACACAGTACGTGAACTTTGATTAGATCGATAGGTTAAAACACAGTACGTGAACTTTGATTAGATCGATAGGTTAAACACAGTACGTGAACTTTGATTAGATCGATAGGTTTAAACACAGTACGTGAACTTTGATTAGATCGATAGGTTAAAACACAGTACGTGAACTTTGATTAGATCGATAGGTTAAACACAGTACGTGAACTTTGATTAGATCGATAGGTTTAAACACAGTACGTGAACTTTGATTAGATCGATAGGTTTAAACACAGTACGTGAACTTTGATTAGATCGATAGGTTAAACACAGTACGTGAACTTTGATTAGATCGATAGGTTTAAACACAGTACGTGAACTTTGATTAGATCGATAGGTTAAAACACAGTACGTGAACTTTGATTAGATCGATAGGTTAAACACAGTACGTGAACTTTGATTAGATCGATAGGTTTAAACACAGTACGTGAACTTTGATTAGATCGATAGGTTAAAACACAGTACGTGAACTTTGATTAGATCGATAGGTTAAACACAGTACGTGAACTTTGATTAGATCGATAGGTTTAAACACAGTACATGAACTTTGATTAGATCGATAGGTTTAAACACAGTACGTGAACTTTGATTAGATCAACTACACAATCGATGCGTTTCTTTCGTTACAATGTATAAACTGCATGATCAGAAAACAAATCTTTGTCATTGATTATCATTCATTTGAAGGACAAACACTTTTTATATACACAGTTGCTTGTAATCTATTCTTATTTAGTAGAAACCAATATTGTTTGTTGATGTTCATATCTTCATTATTAGACCAATCAGAAATGTGCATTAAAAAAAAAAAAAAAAAAAAAATTAACTGAATAATGTTTACACAACTTTAATAGGTGGACTTATATTGACGTCTTTTATTTAGATTTGTGGGTTTTTGTTTATTTTATTTTAATTAAAGAGGAAGCAAATGACGTCTTGTTTACACAGAAAAGTTGAAGTCAGTCAAGGTAACGCAGACAGTGCTACAATAAATCACCAGGTCCTGGACTACATGTAAAATGGAAATAGAATCAAATTATAACTGACCTATTAAACAGTGTAAATGCAGTTGAGCCTTGATATAACCTATTGTTATAATTCAGTATTCTAGTATTCCCTTTGTTGTCATTAAAATAATTTCTAATTAATATCGTGTTTTGTTTGTAAAGATACTTCTATTTTATGAACTAGTTGAGGCATTCAGTCATATGATGTTATATTTCCACCATATTCCATAATCGATTTTCCTAAATACTATGTGTGTTTAATTTTAGATTGACTGAGTAAGTAAAATAACGACAAATATACAAGATCATCATTACACAAAACAAACACAGAAGTTTAATGAAAACAGGAAAAGTCAGCAACAGGAGGAAAACAGAAACCAAAGCAAAAAGGAGTCATATCTTGAAAATTCTTTTTGTATTGTATTTCAGGTTCGGTTTTGGCCGATCAGCGTCCTCGTGTAAAAGATGTTTGGAGGAGGATGTCCCGTTGAGCCTCGGAATAAAATTCCACATGGACGCACCGCGGGTATGGCAGTGGACGAACAATCAGGATGTTGTGTGCGAGTGGCCAACACCACGAAATCTTACAGGTCAGGGTGTTGTCATGTATAGTAAATACCTGTAAAACCGATGATCTATCGTGTATCAAAGATATAACATTTTCTTGAAGGCACCAGACCACTTCACTTCCCGTGCTAAATATGAGTTTAACTCTGTCGTTATTACCAAGTGTTATCACTGATCAATTAATCAGACTATGAATACGTTACAGGAGTCAAAATCGTCCCAGCCAACACTACATACAAAGGAGACAAAGAGCTGTTCCGATGTAGGGAGTCCAGAGAGTACATCTCTACCGAGTTCGTGTGTGATACGGTCCGTGACTGTTTAGACCGATCGGACGAAGAGAACTGTGGTGAGTTCACACGGCTTACCTGTCTTATAGTTTTGCTCTTCATAACATTCGATACATTTCAGTGTATCTTCTGACACTGCTGTATGGCACCGTCATACCTGAGCTAACCGTTAGTGGTGTGTAATCAATAAAAGTTCTGCATGATTATTTTCTCACTAGGTTCTGGAAGTTACCTTTTCTTGAAGTCGCCTCTGGTTCTTTTCTTAGGAAAATCACTTATTGATGTTGCCTCTAGTTAAGGTTTCTTTTAAGGAAACTGCTTCCTAATGTTATCTGGAGGTGAATGCTTCCTGGTGTCGCCTTCTGGTTTAGTTTTTGTGTTGTTGAGTTGTCCACTTCCTAGTGTCACTTTCCTGTTAAGTTCTGGTGTTGTCAACGTTTTCATGTCGCCTCTGGTTATCTGCTTTGGGGAAACCACATCCCCAACATCGTGATGTCGTCTGTGGTTATGTTCTGGAGGTCACCACTTCCTCATGTTGCCTTCCGGTTAAGTTATTGTGTTGTCAACTTCCTGGTGTTGCCACTGATTATATTCCAGAAGTAACCACTTTCTTGTGTCGCGTCTGGAAACATTCTGGTGTTGTCCGATTCCTGGTTTTTCCTCTGATTATTTTCAGGCGGTAACCTCTTCTTGTTATCGCATCCTCCTTTTAAGTTCTGGTGTTGTTCATTTCCTGGTGCCGACTCTGCTTATGTTCTGGAGTAAACTACTTCCTTGTGTCGTTCTCTGGCAAATTCCTGGAGAAACCAACTCTCTTATGTTGTCCTCTGCTTATGTTCTGGAGTAAACTACTTCCTTGTGTCGTTCTCTGACAAATTTCTGGAGAAACCAACTCTCTTATGTTGTCCTCTGCTTATGTTCTGGAGGTAAACCACTTCCTGGTGTTGCCCCTGATTATGTTCTAGAGAAAACCACTTATCGGTGCCGTTCTGTGATTAAGTTGGAGATAACCACTTGGTGTCTACCTTTGGAAATATAATTCAGATATTTCTTGTGTCGTCTCTAATTCATGGATTTATGACGTAAAACATTTGTTTTGGTGAATTATTGATTTCTGTTTTTTTGACATCAATGTTAGGTAATTTAATGGAAAACTTCCAATGTGATCAGATTTCATAGTAAATTAATTCCGCATCAGAATGATAAACTTGTGATAATAAAATAGTGGCAAAATCTGTTCAAAGTTCTTCAATGAAAATTACATTAACATTAGTATATATCACCAATTTTGACTTAGCTGATTTAAATTTGACGAAGCTAATATTTTTTTAATATCGATGGTTGGACAATGATATTTTGTACCGGTCAACACCGTTTAAGTGACCGTGTATGGTACTTTTACAGGACCAGAATGCTCCGGGAGAAGTTTTCAATGTAATTGTGGAGGCTGTATCTCGGCGTCGAATGTTTGTGACTTTTACAAGGATTGCGGAGATGGATCAGACGAGGACAATTGTTGTACGTATCTTCCTTACACAAATGTATGAAGCAAAGATAAGTTAACAAATAGCAAATCAATTTGAGACCTTACACGTACATAGAAAACAGCAATGTGTGATTTAACGTAACAGGATTGGCTTTATTGACTTGTTCATTGAAGCAGCTAGGTTCCCTTCACCTTGTGAATCTATGGAAGGTTTATCGTTGTTCGTATTCACACAACAATCTTTTTCGTTGTAACACGCTACCTTAAACATAGAGATACTGTGAACGTTGTTCGTTATAACAGTCTGTCCTCCTCCCTGTGAGGTTAATTGACAATGCTGTTGGAGTTGTTGACTATAATCCATTGCCCTTCAACGTGAAGATAATATGATAACTAACTAATCTTATCTCAATGGTTGTGTGAACGTCGGTCATTGTAACAGACTACTCTAAAGTATGTGAATATCAAATAACCATATAATATCGCACTAACGAAAGTATTGGCATTGGTTTATAGTCCATCCTGAATCCTGTCCAGACGGTTACTGGCAATGTGATACCAAACAATGCATTCCGCCGTATGACGTATGTGATGGCGAGGTAGAATGTGCAGATGGCAGTGACGAAAAGGAGACATTATGTAAAGGTAGGTGTACTGCTACTTATTTCGTGTACACATGAACGGAAGGTAGATTCACTTTCACAACATAACAGTAATCTCGTGAATATATCTACAGTAGGTAAATTCACTGCTCAAATAGAACAATTTCCCGGAACATCAACTGTCACTTAACATCAATTACTGTCCCGGATTAACTAGCATGTTTTTCTAGCCTAAAGAGACCTATATGAGAGGATCAATAGCCTAGTTTACTCTGACATCGTTGTACTGGTCTAAAGTAACATTTGATGAGTGAAACACCTGCTCTAAACATGCATCCACGCACACAATCCAGTTACTTACATACGTCATGACGCTTGGCTGTGAACATCTAAGTCTTATTGCCATAAGTGATCAAGTTTCATGTATAGGCAAACCATAAGGCAGTTCCTATAAATATGGTTTCAATAACGAATAAAATATCTTCACTCGCTATTCACAAAAATGTGTAATCTTGTTTCGCAGAAATCATCACGCACTTTTCAAGGTCACAATTTTGAGCAAAATGCCGGACATCAATCGGAAACATACGAACCTGAACAAAATGTCGAAAAACTACATTCAAAAATGTAATTGAGTTGGTATTCTTACCTAGACTTTGACATCTGTTTTCCAGAGAATGAGTACGTCCCGACAGCGGACAGCTACAGGTGTACCAATCCTGACGTCATCTTTCCTTCAGCCAGACTGTGTGATATGACCATTGATTGTTTGGACGTTAAAGATGAAGACACCCAGAACGTGAAATGTCCTCGGCGTGTGTACTCGTGTGGAAGTTTGATGTTTTCGTCTGAAATAAACATAATAATAAACATGATATTGCTGTGAACATGGGACTTGTTGAATATGGTAAGATGATGGTTGAAAATCAACTGTGGTGAGAAAAACGCATTAAGTTGACAAAAATTGCGGTACACAACATAATAAAAAAAATATGAAATATATTTATTTTCGACCAATTAATTGATTAATAATTTAATTAAACGTTGTCGTTTTTTTCTATAACTACATCTTTTGTATTTCATGTGCTTTGAACATGATGCCATATTATTGTATAGCGGTTATATTTCCCAATGGTCTTAATTTCGCCTTATTCGCGCTTTGACTAATATCCGCGAATTCTAAACACCAGCGAAATTATCGAAAATGTTAACCACTTCCACGGACCTTATCACAACATTTTGAAAATACTAATAACCAAACGCTGTTATGCAGGAAAAAGTTTCATGTAACCTCAGTAAGTATATTGTCGGAATGCAGTAAGACGGGATTCAATTATAATTATCTCTACTCGAAATCATATGCGGTTATATTGTTCTTTAGAACAAAATTTGCTTGAATAACGTTTTAAGACATGCTTACTCATTCAAGTGTGTACTCTTCAGATTATAATACAGCTTGCATTTAAAAGCGCGTTCTATCTCTAAACGTTGACGTTTCACAACTTTTTATAGTGGCTTCCTATTCAAATCTGTTCAGATTATTTATGGTGTTGGCGGCATCTCTTTGTCAGTACTTACAAACCAGTACAAAATTACCACTGACAGGTAATCCCTGAACACTGTTTTTATTACAAATCTATCCGATTTTGGTCGCATCTATACAAATGGAGATAATTTGTAAGTGTAAGCCAGGGAAACATGAGGCTCCCAAAAGGGATAAGTAAATGTCCGTCGATTCGGTTATTGATTTTGGTAACCGGTTAACGGTCTTCACACCGAGTAAGCGGTTAACCGGCTAACCGTTGTCAATTCTAGTACAAACATAAAATGACATAATATCCGGTACTACTTTAAAGGATAAACTAAACCTATGTCTTAATTTTAAACATAGATGTACAACGTCGGTGAACCAATGTGAAACAAAAAATGAAATCGTATTCCAGTACAGGCATGCACCTGTTACTGGAACGGTTGATCGTGTTCATTCCATAACTAGGTGTGCTTTATCTTTAATACATAGTAACAGTATAATAGCATGTTTATAGAATGCGGTTGGTAATCATCGCAATGCTTTGCATTGATCACATTGACCTCAGACCATTATAACTGGCCTTACCCGGGCAAATTACGAACACGTGTAACTGCGCGCATTGGGATGTTTTCACGCAGGAATATTCTTATACGCTGAAAAGGTCAAAGGTCATGATGGCGATCCACGGGGGAAACGTTAACAAACATTATTTATGGAAGGAAATAAACGATTCCTGAATTCATGGTTGACTAGCTAGCTCGACATAGACATAACAGCAACAGATTGTATTTTCACGTCAATTTCAGGTTTCCACTTTCGGGATCAATAAGAAGAAAATGAAAAAGTTATATTTGACAAACTTTTAACTTTGTAACATATAGTTTTTGGGTAACACTAGAGCGTGAAATGTTTTAAGTACAGCAATACCAACTCCAGGCCAAATGATAAAAACCAAAACGATGCGCTGTATGCCGAATAATGCTTATACACACACAAGTTTACGAACCTTCAAAGGTGGCCAGCAAAGACGGTTTTGAGGTTATTTTAAGCCAATATTGAGCAATAAGCTGGTTGTTGCAGTTTGTAAATTAAACACAATCTGGACACCGTATAAGAGTAGCTTTAGGAAAAAGTAATTGAATCCGTGAATTTCGCTGATATGCGGGGTGATGTACTTTAGTTATTGATATAAAATATGAAGTAATTTATTATGCAGTCAGTTAGCGTACATATGCAACGCTATTTAGTAGTTTTTACAATATCCGTACTTCAATAAGTGGTCACATATTGACAATCAAACGCTTTATATGTATATTGAAGGAGCAACGCAAGTGACGTGTAGTGCAGAGACCGACGGGAACAGTATGGCTACTAAATGGCCGTTCGATAAAGAGTTAGCCTCAAGATCTGTATCAACTTATTCTGGGAAACTTCTCGTCTCAGATGCTGTTTGGATAGACATATACACAGCTTCATTTACTGCGATAAAGTATGTCAATTTGAAAACACAGCTGAAGTTGATATCCATGGCAACGTCGTGTGTACAATACGTTCGGACGTGTGTAAACGTCATGGGGAGAGCAAAGGGTGACGTCACAATAGAGTGGATATCCGGTGGGAATGAGGATCACATAAACTCCTTAAACATCACTGTTAAAAGCTGTTCGGGTTATTGCTCATTAACAGAGTAAGTAGGATAGCTACAACACTGCACTGGTATAGACGATAGAATCTTCAAATAGAAAAGTCTAACATAATTAACAAAACTGTAGCAAATATTTGTTAAATTTGTCTGTATACTAATATCCTGTGTGTGTCATTAATTTTCTTCAAAAAAAAGCAAGATGATATTGCATTCAGATTAAGAAATTAACCTTAATCTTAACGAAAATAGGGCAAATTATTGTTATGTTTAGTAAACTTCTATACATGTTGTCTTCAGATGTAAGTTAAACCCATCCGTACAAGGCGCACAAATTCCAAGCTCGCTGGATGAAGCCGAAATGTATAGCTGGGAGGTCGTTAAAGACAAGAATAAACTCCCAATCAGAAAGGTGAAAGCGAACAACGTGATTATCATAGGAATATCCCCACTGATTTGTACTGAAGGTAAAAACAAACATCAATGAAATTTAATCATTAACATTGAGGTTTTCTATAGTTCAAGTAGAAAAGAACATGAAATTTACATTCCTCGATTAATGTAGAAAATAATATACAAAAAGAAAAGAATACACAAGAATTGCTGAACCCTGACGGCCGTTTTCGACTGTTTCAATTGTTCAAAAATGAAACATATCTTTACGTAATAGTTCGGAATGCTTTAAATCTATACCAAGTGAAAATAATGGAAATCTAACATATAAAACATGAATAAGTAAAATTAACTTTTGCTCACTATTGTGCCTTGTTGTTTTGTTGTCACTACTCCAGTTCTCCTTATGAGCACATGGAATTACTTTGATTTGAGTGAGACTTACATTGCAATGCCAGTAAAGACGCTTACATTTCCGGAACACATAGTCTTATTCTCCTGGTTTATATGCCTACCTCAACATCACAGTGTGTAGTTTCATATATACAGTTCTTTTGTTTTAGTAACCCCATTCATCTTCAGTACAGATAAAGTACAAATTTCTTAGCAAACCAGTCTTGTCGATTTTCATTAATCTGATTTTGAACTTGGTTCCTAGTATCCTGCAGTTAGTAAAGGCATTTTAAATCTAGGTGCTATCATTTGTTTTGTGACGTAAGCAACATTAGACATTATATTAGCTGTATTAATTCCCTCTAACTATTGGATTTCATGTTGATGGGCATCATTAATCATCATCAGCTATTGACTTTCTTATTTTCCAGATGCATCTGATGTCAATCCTATATATGCGGAGGAACCTAAATATTGCAAAAATGGCATGGTATATTATCCACGTAATACATGTTTAATGGATTTCGACCCAACTGGGGAGCCTACAGGCTGTCGTGACCTCACTCATCTTCAAGATTGTGGTAAATCTAAACTGACAAAATGTATCTCTTTATTTGTGTGTGTATATTTTATTATGATACATTGCGCGTAAATATCGCGTTAATTCTATCCAAAAGTATTCATGTAAAATATAGCGTTTACGGTTGGCAGATAAAAAAAATCCAAAGAAACTTTGGTTATGAAAACTTGCTTTGACGTTGTTTAATATGTGACACCTGCATGTGATGCATTTTATATCGACAGGAGATTTCGAGTGTCCTGAAAACTACGTTAAATGCCCTGGGTCATTCTGTCTCCATCTGAGGTTTGTGTGTGATGGTACAAGTCATTGTCCAGGCCAAGAGGATGAGCTGGATTGTGGTTAGTTCATTTGAAATGTAAAGGAAAACAATATATGTATTAGTGTTTCGTCTTTCTGTTAATACAGTTTTGTGATTAAACCAAATATGGAAACATTTCTAAAATTCCAAGATAAGTATAAATATAAATTCTAGAAATCAATGGATTAAATTGAACAACAGAGGAATTAGAAGCTGTCATTTTGGTAGCTATTTGTATAACACATAGTGTGATGTTAACCTAAAATGGCAAAAGTCCAGGTTTATATCCCCTGTTTATTGTATGTCAATATGATACCAACATTTTTGAGGTGATGTCAAAGCTTATTGTTATTCAATGCATTTTACATTTGGTAAAACCAAATAGGGAAAGTTACAGATATGATTTGTATCCTTCGACGGCAGGAATTGTACATTTAGCATATTTTTTGTATTTATTTTTGTCCATTTGAACCGCCTGATATTAATCGATAACAGTGATTGTGTGTGTGTCGCAATTTTCTATTACCACAGTTAAGCGTGCATTTTATCAACCTAAGCATATCTTACACAATGTCATATAAGCTGAACCATGGACGAAGAGAAAATGTAGACAACAAAAGAAATATGAATATGTAGAATGAAACTACAATCGAACAAAAGTAATTTAATGCGATTCAATCAAGATTGCATCATATAGGAGAATCAATCCTTTATTAATAAATCTAACCATGTACATTTAGATATAATGCAGTCGCACATAACTCTAAAAAGCAAAGTTTCTTTTATCGATTTGAAATCATATATGGTGTGTTCACAATCAAGAAGTTTAATGCCGTGTCGATGATACACTTTACGCCATGTTTTCCAGACAGCATGACGTGTGATGGACACTACCGATGCCATGTGAACAGAAAATGCATCCCCTTCAATCAACTCTGTGATGGCGTCCAGCAGTGCCGTAGGAACGACGATGAACTTAATTGCAGTCCGCATTGTCCAGAGAACTGTGATTGCCATGGCATGACCTTCAAATGTGAAAGTGGTTCGGACATCATCACTTTAAATCAGATTCACAGTCACGCTCGATGGATTGATCTAAAAGCCAACATGTCTAACATGCGTCCTCATGTACCGGCCCATTTCCCACTCCTTACTACGCTCCTGCTACGGGAATGTTCCATACGTGAACTCCTGGTAGATGGACAGGCCATATTTCAGTACATACCTACTCTTCGGTACTTGGATTTATCATCAAACAGGATAGAAGAGTTATCTGACCAAACATTTCAGAGCGTCACTACACTGAAGACACTAATCTTAAGTAATAATCCTTTGTCTCGCATCAACGAAAATGTTTTTCACGGCTTGAAATCTTTAAATAATCTGCAAATAACACACACATCACTTAAGCACTTGCAAAATGAAGTCTCTTCACTGTCCATTCTGACAGGTATGCCGACACTAGAATATCTAGACCTGTCCTTCAATTTAATAGAGAATATCCCAAAAAGGGTATTTGCTGAATTATTTTCATTGAAATATCTTAATCTCAGTCACAATCCACTCACGTCTATCGACATCTCGGCGTTCTACGGATTGCATGTCCTTCGCGATCTAAGATTTACACATACAAACATGCAACAAATCCGGAAAGGACTTTTTGACAACTTCAAGTCATTGATATATCTCAATGTCAGTGAAGGTCATATTCAGGACATTCAAAAAGATGTATTTGTAAATCTTGGAAGCCTACAAGCTCTTGATATTCAACAAAATGACCTGGAAATACACGAATTTATGTTTAAAGGTCTCAACAATTTAGCATTCCTTTATACAGACTCATATAAAATGTGTTGCATTAAACCGGAATCTGTTGCCAATAGTAACTGCTTCGCACCGGAAGAGTCCATTTCGTCTTGTTCCAACCTTGTAGGTCTCGGCATACTTAGGGTATTTCTCTGGATCATTGGAGTAACAGCAGTGGTGGGAAACTTATTTGTGATATTGTACCGTACCTTTGTAGACAGAAAGCACATAAAGAAAAGTTATTCTTTGCTTGTTATCAACTTGAGTATATCTGACTTTTTGATGGGGGTATATATGTTGATCATTGCTTCCGTAGACACTCATTACAGTGGCAGGTATGTCTCATATGACAAAGAGTGGAGGGAAAGTGCCCTTTGTGCCACAGCCGGCATCATATCTATGATATCTAGCGAGATGTCAACCTTCATTATCTTCTTAATAACCATCGATAGGTTCATCGCCATTGTCTTTCCTTTATCCAGGAACAAATTAACCTGGAGAAGTGCTACGGTAGTGATCACCATTTTCTGGTTTGTAACATTCGGAATTGCCGTTGCTCCTCAGGCTTTTTTCCAGTCCTACTTTAAAGGAGAATTCTATTCAAGATCGGCAGTGTGTCTTGCTCTGCCACTAACCGGAGAACAGTCGGCAGGAGACGAGTATGCAGTCGCCGTTTTCATCGGAATGAACAGTTTGGTTTTCCTTCTTATTGTAATAGCACAGGTATATATCTTCAGAACAATGAAGGGCAGCGGGACTCTGGCCGTTACACAGAACCGTCGGACGGAAATCGAGCTCGCCAAATCTCTGTTCCTGGTTGTGGCGACAGACTTTTGTTGCTGGTTCCCGATTGGAGTCATAGGTCAGTATACATTTAATGTACATCAATAAAAACGGCCAAAGTATTAGGACACAGCACTGTCATTGTAACCAATCAAAGGTATGGAACTTTTGAAAATCCTTTTCAATTATATACTGATACAAGCAATGCACATATATATTACTAGTATAAGAACAAAGTTATGATGAGTGCATGACTTTCATAAATCAATGTTATTTCGGGAGTCAAAGTTTCCCTAACCTAGTCTAGAAGAACAGATCACATTTTCTTCCACATTATTTCTACATTAATACACCAAATCACATGTCAGAATATGTTTAGTTTTGAACGATACAGCTGATTTTCCTAGTTGTTAACGGAGCTAAAATTGTCAAAATATGCATGTATATGTGTGTGTGGATATGTGAGTAGCTTTTATGGACGTTTTGGAGGTAGGTCTGTTTTCGTGATGAAATTAATAGTATTTAATAACTGCTAATGTGAGCATGGCATTTATTGAACATCTAGGGAAAAGGGAAGCTGAATGTTTGATATTTTACCTTCAAAATATGCCAACCAGCCTCTTTCTACAATTAATACCCTTTTTATGGATTCATAAATGTTCTAGGTTTTATGAAATGACTATTTCACAATACTTCAGTATTTTTTATGTCATGACGTTTTGAAATGTTAGTAGTTAATGCTCTGATGTTTAATATTCACAATAACCACTGAAATATTAAATGTTAACTAACACACACAAATAAAAAAAATGAATTGAAAAGAAAAAAAGAAAGAGAACTTAAACAGAGAATTATTCTTAATGTAACTCTAATCGGACGTAACCTTGTAAAAGAATCAAATATGTTTGGTTAGTATCTGACATATCAACATAAACGTTATATACTTTTGAGTTACCGTGAGCTTTACTATTGGTGTAAAGCCGAAGAGCATTATTTTTAAAACAGCTATAAAAACGTTTTGAAATATGCTTCGAAGGATATTATATTGATATACATATATTTTCTTCCTGTAATTGTATAAATTTATATTACATCAACCTGTTTATGTTTTTGAACGAGTCCTTGTTTTCTTTTCTTTTTCAAATCATGTATGTTTTATTAATCTGTTTTTTTTAATGAAGTTTCTTTCCTAATTGCAACTTGTTTTTACAAATACAAAACATATTTCAGGAGTGTGGGCCCAGACGGGAGGGGCGGTGTCTCCCGACGTGTATGCCTGGGTGATGGTACTGGTTCTCCCCATAAACTCCGCCATCAACCCGTTCCTTTACACATACACCTACATCAAGAGGAAGAGGCCGACCTCTAGTGTAAGACTCACGATTTAAATATACTGATTGTCTCTGTCAGCATTTCGATAGAACTTGCTACATTCCACTGGATAGTCCACGATGTACTACAATGTATAAATTCGCTTTCCAGTTAAGTGTTATGCTATGCCTCATTTCCGAATGTAGGTTCGTATTACATGGTATATAATGTTACAGGTATCTTTTGAATTTACACCATACCGCCAACAAAAGAGCAACATCATAACCAAATTGTCAAAATAGAAAGCCTTTAGAAAAAGAGAGCATCCTCCACCGAGGAGACGGCGACACTAGATGACATCGGGAGTAGTAATGCACCACATGTGGTGACCGTCTTGATCTTAAACATAGTGAACAAGACATAAATCATGGTGAACTAAATTCATTCTGGCATTGTTTACAGGGAAAGGTGAAGGATAAATTAAGAGTATTTAGAGTAGGATTTGTCAACGTTCCATGTGTTTTTGAGTTTTACAGCCACATTCCACTTTTGTGCTATTTCTACATATGTTTTTGAGTTTTACAGCCACATTCCAATTTTGTGCTGTTTCTACATATGTTTTGGACACTTTTGATACCACTTACGAGTGTTAAATAAACGAAATGGCCGAATGGTTCAGTTCAAACGTTTACTTTATTCGGCTTTCTGCACGGATATACTAACTGTTTCAAATTGGTAACTGCTAACCAAAACCAAACTTTTACAATTACGTGTATGTTATATATCTATGTTGTATATCTATGTTATATATCTATGTTATATATGTTATATATCTATGTTATATATATATATGATATATATATATGTTATATATATTTGTTTTATATCTGTCATGTTTATTTTGTGTCTATTTTATAAAGTCCAAGCGAAGCTCCACGAGTTTTACGACCGACAAAGGTAGTATACTAGGATCTACCAGAAACAACCATGAGAGATTTTACGGTAGAGTATTAACGTTATCACTTACATAACCCACCCAGTCCCATCCTCGATATCCAGGGGTTACGATCACTTTCGTTCTCTACACCCCTGGAATATGTCATAGCAAAAATGAAGGCCCGCGGCTAGTTATTTGATTGGGGTCAGGTAACAAAAACCACTGACCAATCGCTAGGCTGATACCTGTCCTTTGAAGATTACAAAGGAGCGATGCCGACTTCAAAACCTGTCATTGTTTACCGTTACGCTACCGCAAGATTCTTTTGATGCACATCAAAGGACCAGACTAGTCTTCTCGTCTCATCCACAAGGTGCTGCACACTGAGCCTGACATATTCCAGGGGTGCAGAGAGCGTAAGTAGCCCCTGGATATCGAGAATGACCCAGTTATAGCTTACTACGATATCGACACATAAAAAGTACAGAAGTGTCAACAAAATTATAATACGAACTCAAAATCAGTAAAAGTAATGCAAAATATGAACAAAGAACGATTTACATGGAGAAACAAACAGAATCAGACCAGGTGTTCCGGAAGGGTAAACGTCTTCTGCTTCATCGATGACGTTCACCATGTATGTCTAATCTAAGTAATTTCACGTCCTCACAGCGAGAACTCATGTAGTGACAATAAAACCAAAATGCACTGCAATGAGATCAACGTCACTGATGCTAAAGAAAATATCTCATCACGTAACTGTTTTTTATTTCTAGTCTTAAGTTTCATCAAGTGTGATATTACCAGGAACAGGGCAATGTTAAAGTGAGCCAAGGTCAAGGTCACTGTTGTATTTTTAAATCAAAGGCTCATTTCTGTATCAACTTCATTTCAGGAAAGATTTTCATCAAACCTAAAACAATATTCAAAAGTGAGAAAACCTCGAATTAGGAGATCGTGTCTTAAGTTGTCAATGTCAGATTCATAGTTACAACTCTAGCAGAACGGATTTGTGTCCAACTTATACAAAACTCAAGTATTAACGGAAGCCATTATGAAAGTCGCCATGATTCAAGAGACTTATTGCCTCTATCGATTTTGATCCGATTTTATACAAAAGTCAGGTTCAATATATGGGAATATCTCGGACCAGTTCTTGTCTTTGGATGATAAGGTCAAGTTTCATTAAGATATAGGCTACTATTATGGGAAATATAGCATCACTGTAGCGTCTTTCTTTCTTAAAACCTTCATATATGAACGGAATGTATCCAACCGCCAGATTTCTATATACTTATCAAGACCGCGCAAAATAAATGAGTGCTTTCTGATTTGTTAGAAAAGCACAAGTGTGTGGTCTTGCTTTTATCACATACATGTACCTTCCGTATTTGGTAGAGATCGATAAAAAGATTTAATAAACTTTGTATTTTTTTGCAAATACCGGGAACTTTTCAGTTCGCCATGACAAGGATATTCCCATAAAAAGTAGTTCCGGCTAGTAGGTAAATACAACATTTCGTATTGCACATGTGCGATACAGAACGTTGTATTTCATGGTCTGAAAATTGCTTGTATTACTATAACAGGATTCAACAGGTATGTGATAAAATAAGATGTAATGTACATTGTTAGATAATTAAGTTGCTGTAGTGAAGTGTTATCATAGAACTGTATGCAAGATGCATCACAAGGCTCTCAAACAAAATGTTGTGCACTCTATATTGTTTGTTGGCAATAATGTACAATTCTTATTTACACGCATAGTCATCAATTTATATACATTTGTAAATTCAAAACATTTTTAATGTCTCTTAAGTGAAAAAAACAAAATCGATAACATTTAAATGATTTTCCTATTTCTCATAGCAACAAATCATTTATCATATGGAGGCTTTGTAAAAATATCATAAAAATGTCCTATACATATATATATACATTTTCTATGCATTGATGACCATGAATCCTCCTTAAATACCGGTAGAAATTTAAAAAAAGAATCAATTAGAAAAAACAGCACGTGATTACATAAGTGTGTATGAAAGTTATGAATTGAATAACTCTTGTCAATGGTCCATTGTAGTTGAGCGATGTCGATTATATTTATTATATTATCACAATATTCTTTAATGAAATGTCGCATTATTTTGTTTTAAGACTTCGAGCAGACAAATGCGTTGAAGGAAATATACTTCAGTAACTTGTTTGAAAGGAAGAAGAGAGAAGTTTCCCTGGAGTCGTATATCAGTGTCCACTTGCTGTCTCCTGGGGAGGCCTTTCAGATAGCACGACATGTAATCAAATCCGTCTCCTTCCTGCACGCCCGAGGAATCCTTCACGGAGACGTGTCCAAGGAGCGTGTCTTCATTACAAAGAACCGCAAGGTACATGTGTGTAAAAGGTTGGGTTTGGCTTGGTTTTATTTTGTTTAACGTCCTATCAACAACTAAGGTCATTTGGGGACGTGCCTCCATGTGTGTTGTGTATGCATACTCCCGTGTGTGTGTGCCGGAGACAGGAGATGTTGGTGTATTAAAATGAACGCTTATTAATTCATTGATATTATTTACTAGTCCGATTGTTAAATTTGATAATACCTCGGACATGACGTTCTTGTAGTGAGCCAATTAAGGTCAGTGTCAATTATATATCTATAATAATAGTTACATTAGTTTTATTTTCTATATTTATAGAAAAAACTAAAAGGAACTTAATCCTATTCAAATAATTATAATTAAAAGATATTTAAAAAAAGAAAAAGTGTGTAGATATATGCATCATTGTCATAACAACTAATGTCAAGTCGCTTATACATGTATATTGATTAAAATGATTAATAGAACTTTAAAAAATAATATCCGTTTAGGCATTTATAGCCATGCTTATGATATCATTCATTACATGGTAAGTGGTTCGTTTGTCACCAACACCAATCAAAGCGTCTATCGTAACATATATATAAATCAAGGCCTGGCAAAGTCAATTAATTACGATTTTTCTGGTTTAAAAAACAGTCGTTGCTTCCCTTGATTTGTTTAATTGATGTATATTAAATCAAGCATTACCTGGACGATCCCACGTTCCTCTTCAGACCCCTATTCGACTGCAATGTTTTATACCCTTTGAAACCACTCTTAAGTAATACTACTTGCGTATAAAACCAACTGTTTTAAAGAACAAAGACAATTTTCGGTTGTATATCCAACAACACCCTCAGTAAAGTGTTATGCTACAATAACAAGGTTTTGTGTGTTCTTTTTAAATGTGATTATATATGTTAAAACTAAGCAACTCGATTTCTGTTACTTTGTCAGATTGTTACCGGTGCTACACTTGTGATGGACGCCAAGTTGGTATCACTACAACACGAGGGACCCCATGTGGACATCCAACAATATGGGATGCTAGTGAAGACCCTTCTCCGGAGACTGGACAAACGTTAGGGTGGCCGAGTCTTAGAGGACCCTTCTCCGGAGACTGGACAAACGTTAGGGTGGCTTAGTCTTAGAGGACCCTTCTCAGGAGACTGGACAAACGTTAGAGTGGCTCAGTCTAAGAGGACCTTGTTTGGAGAGTGGACAAACGTTAGAGGGGCTCACTGTTAGAGGTCCTTGTCTGGAGACTGGACAAACGTTGGGGTGCCTCAGTCTAAGAGTACCTTTCTATGGAGACTGGACAAACGTTAGAGTGGCTCAGTCTTAGAGGACCTTGTTTGGAGACTGGACAAACGTTAGGGTGGCTTAGTCTTAGAGGACCTTTCTATAGAGACTGGACAAACGTTAGGGTGGCTTAGTCTAAGAGTACCTTTCTATAGAGACTGGACAAACGTTAGGGTGGCTTAGTCTAAGAGTCCCTTTCTATGGAGACTGGACAGACGTTAGGGTGGCTTAGTCTAAGAGTCCCTTTCTATGGAGACTGGACAACCGTAAGATGGCTGAGTCTTAGAGGACCTTTCTATAGACACTGGACAAACGTTAGGGTGACTTAGTCTTAGAGGACCTTTTTATAGAGACTGGACAAACGTAAGATGGCTCAGTCTTAGAGGACCTTTCTTTGGAGACTGGACAAACGTTAGCGTGGCTTAGTCTTAGAGGAACTTTCTATAGAGACTGGACAGACGTTAGGGTGGCTTAGTCTAAGAGAACCTTTCTATGGAGACTGGACAGACGTTAGGGTGGCTTAGTCCTAGAGGACCTTTCTATAGACTGGACAAACGTTAGGTTGGCTTAGTCTTAGAGGACTTTTCTATAGAGACTGGACAAGCGTTAGGGTGGCTTAGTCTATGGAGACTGGACAAACGTTAGGTTGGCTTAGTCTTAGAGGACTTTTCTATAGAGACTGGACAAACGTTAGGTTGGCTTAGTCTTAGAGGACCCTTCTCCGGAGACTGGACAAACGTTAGAGTGGCTCAGTCTTAGAGGGCCTTGTTTGGAGACTGGACAAACGTTTGGGTGGCTTAGGCTTAGAGGACCTTTCTATGGAGCCTGGACAAAGGTTAGGGTGGCTTAGTCTTACAGGACCTTTCTATGGAGACGGGACAAACGTCAGGGTGGCTTAGTCTTAGAGTACCTTTCTATGTAGACTGGACAACATTAGGGAGGCTTAGTCTTAGAGGACCCTTCTCCGGAGACTGGACAAACGTTAGGTTGGCTTAGTCTTAGAGGACCTGTATATGGAGACTGGACAAACGTAGGGGTGCCTCAGTCTAAGAGTACCTTTCCATGGAGACTGGACAAACGTAGGGGTGCCTCAGTCTAAGAGTACCTTTCCATGGAGACTGGACAAACGTAAGATGGCTCAGTCTTAGAGGACCTTGTTTGGAGCCTGGACAAACGTTAGGGTGCCTCAGTCTAAGAGTACCTTTCCATGGAGACTGGACAAACGTAAGGGGGCCTCAGTCTAAGAGGACATTTCTATGTAGACGGGACAATCGTTTGCAACGTTAGGAGAAAAGAGGACCTTTCTATGGAGACGGGACAAACGTTAGAGTGGCTTAGTCTTAGAGGACTTTTCTATAGAGACTGGACAAACGTAAGATGGCTCAGTCTTAGAGGACCTTGTTTGGAGAGTGGACAAACGTTAGGGTGGTTTAGTCTTAGAGGACCTTTCTTTGGAGACTGGACAAACGTTAGGTTGGCTTAGTCTTAGAGGACTTTTCTATAGAGACTGGACAAGCGTTAGGGTGGCTTAGTCTAAGAGAACCTTTCTATGGAGACTGGACACACGTTAGGGTGGCTTAGTCTATGGAGACTGGACAAACGTAAGATGGCTCAGTCTTAGAGGACCTTGTTTGGAGACTGGGCAAACGTTAGGGTGGCTTAATATTAGAGGACCTTTCTATAGACACTGGACAAACGTTAGGGCGACTTAGACTACGAGGACCTTTCTATAGAGAATGGCCAAACGTTAGGGTGGCTTAATATTAGAGGACCTTTCTATAGGGACTGGACAACGTTAGGGTGGCTTAGTCTTAAAAGACCTTTCTTTAGAGACTGGACAAACGTTTGGGTGGCTTAGGCTTAGAGGACCTTTCTATGGTGACTGGACAAACGTTAGGGCGACTTAGACTACGAGGACCTTTCTATAGAGAGTGGACAACGTTAGGGTGGCTTAGTGTTAGAGGACCTTTCTATAGGGACTGGACAACGTTAGGGTGGCTTAGTCTAAGAGAACCTTTCTATAGAGACTGGAAAAACGTTAGGGTGGCTTAGTATTAGAGGACCGTTCTATGGAGACTGGACAACATTACGGTGGCTTAGTCTTAGAGGGCCTTTCTATAGAGACTGGACTAACGTTAGGGTGGCTTAGTATTAGAGGACCGTTCTATGGAGACTGGACAACATTACGGTGGCTTAGTCTTAGAGGTCCTTTCTATGGAGACTGGAAAAACGTTAGGGTGGCTTAGTATTAGAGGACCGTTCTATGGAGACTGGACAACATTACGGTGGCTTAGTCTTAGAGGATCTTTCTATAGAGACTGGACAAACATTAGGGTGGCTTAGTCTTAAAAGACCTTTCTTTAGAGACTGGACAAACGTTAGTGTGGCTTAGTCTTAGAGGCCCTTTCTATAGAGACTGGACTAACGTTAGGGTGGCTTAGTGTTAGAGGACCTTTCTATAGGGACTGGACAACGTTAGGGTGGCTTAGTATTAGAGGACCGTTCTATGGAGACTGGACAACATTAGGGTGGCTTAGCCTTAGAGTACCTTTCTATGTAGACTGGACAACATTAGGGAGGCTTAGTCTTAGAGGACCTGTATATGGAGACTGGACAAACGTCAGGGCGGCGTAGTCTTAGAGGACCTTTCTATAGACACTGGACAAACGTTAGGGCGACTTAGACTACGAGGACCTTTCTATAGAGACGGGACAAACGTTAGAGTGGCTCAGTCTTAGAGGACCTTTCTAGTCTAAGAGTACCTTTCTATGGAGACTGGACAAACGTAAGGGTGCCTCAGTCTAAGAGTACATTTCTATGTAGACGGGACAATCGTTTGCAACGTTAGGAGAAACCGTGACGGCATTACACCATTGTTGTTAACTCTGCTCCTCATATAGATGAACTGTGTTGACCAATCTATTGAATTTCATTATTTATCTAGGTTAGACACATATTATTCAAGATATTAAACACAAGTTAAATGTTCTTGGATGGCTTGTGACAGATGTGTTTTTATTAAATTTAACAGCACACGACCATGCAGGTTCGGGTTCATGCTGTTTTCGTTGACGCTTAGTTATGTATTGATTATGTGGTGTTTACGAATCGTAACAAACTTTTTCATATACTTTTTTGTATTAATATTTTTATAGAGAGAGAAACATCTGGAAATTCGAAAAAAAAATGTGTATGTTTATTTCCTTTCTGTCTTTATTAAAAATCTGTGATCAAAATTTTATCACTTTTTATTATCAATCACCAAAGAGTTGGATTGCAAATGCGCATGTTAGCCAATTTATGTGGGCTTATCACGGGTTTTCAACAAGAGGTCTGCGTTGACGAGATATTAAATCGCAAAAATAACCTTCTTTAACCATTTTCTACTCAATAATAGGAGTTGATTTTGTTTTAAGGAACGTTGCGTAGGTAAAAATACAAAAACAAGAGAGTAATTTATTGTCAAAAAACGCAACTCGGACTATATGAACAAAACAAAATTAACATGGTGACCCTTCAAAAATACCTGGAGAATAAAATAGGTGTTCCGGAAAGGTGAGCGTCATCTACTTCATCGATGATACCCAGAAGTAAGTCTATGTCCAATCCAAGTAATGTCACGTCCTTAAAGCAAGAATCTGGGTAGAGACAGAGAAACAACATGGCATACCAATGATCAAATAGGATTCATTTTCCAATGAGGCCATGGTGGCACCACACAGCAAGAAGTCGGACGGAGACAACAAAAGAACAAAGCACACTAACAAGCCCATTCTTATCAGACAAAGAATATCATATTTCGCAAAGAGAGGCTGAGCACGAAGGCGACCATTAAACGTGTCCATATTCTACGTGGATCTACACACCTTTCACAGTAACACATTTGTCATTAGTGTCCATCGACCTTCAGCCAACACGAGAATGTTTGATAGTAATATAACCAACCCCCTTCGAAACGGTAAATATCTCAATAATTCTAACCTGCCTTAACACTACAGTAACCATAGTTACTTTTACAAGTTCATATTGAGTTGAAGGGCGGTAAAGAACTCGATAACTATATAACTCATCAACTTACTTAATACTTACTCAAACAAATCCTGTGATAATTGTTTAGTATACGCATGTTTTTAAATATTTGGAACTGAAAAGGTCTAAAAAAACAATGGAGAGAGAAAAGAAGTACGTTAAACAAAACAAGTGTTATTACCGAGACTCGTTTAGCTTTTAAACGGTCCCTTATTATAAATAAAAACAAACACACATAGACTGCCAGACATACAATATGAATATGTATATTGTACCCATATAAATATGCAATCAAGAATTCATTTTTTTGTAATGTGTTCAAATTGGAAGCAAGCTGTTTTTTCCATTGGTGTATCGCGATTGTCTCCCTTTGCCCATATTCGAAAGTGAGTGTAAACCCTGGAATGCTAACATGCTGTCCGTCTCAATATTGTCATTTCCAATTGAAGGAAGTGGATTAATATAAGTTCTAAGCTTGTTTCCATACCCTGTTTCTGTTTGTACACTTGTGAATTTGCACACATTGTTTGTGAAATGAAAGAAACGAAATAAAGTTTACATTAAACATACAACATTCCACCTTCCTTGGATACATACAGGTATTACTAGTTTGGTGAATGTAGGTGACGGAACAAGAAAGTTACTCTGCTGAAAAACTGAAGTACATTAAAATCAACAAAGTCCAATATATATCTGTGTACTTTGGTACAGGACACAAGAGCAGCATGTTACCTCCAAAGATACACGGAGTAGATATAGTAAACTGGTATATACAGATGAAAAGCTTTAGATAAACTTTGGTTTCAAAATAAACAAATTATCATTATTCCTCTAAAGATACACGAAAAATCCTCAAACGCGAACTTGTTTAAGTTGTATTTTATGAAAATTTTGCATCAAGATTCAGCTTCATACGTCATTTAAAAAAAGTCATGGGAGTAATGATAAAGAAAGAAAAAAAGTAACAGACGGATGGAATTCGCAAGGTGTACTATAATACTACCCGTAGTCTACAGGCGTATTATAACAGAATGAAAATGAAACTGCATCATCATCATCATCATCATCATCATCATCATCATCATCATCATCATCGTCGTCGTCATCATCGTCGTCGTCGTCATGTCATTTTATGATGATAAAGTGTACAGCATGGAAGCAATAAGTCAAAATAAGTCGAAGGGAAGACAGACGGAATAATTCATAATGCAGTACCGTATCATCAGCGTCGTTGTAGTGGGGTAAAAAAAATGGTATAATTACTTCACAAACATTCTTACTCAGCTATAAATCAAGGAGAAAATGTATCCTTTTCTTCAAATTCAAAAAGGCTTCACTCAATGCCTTCTGATTTTTCCGTAAACTTTATTTTCAGCGGAGAAATTTTAGCAGCTAATTAAGATCAAATAATAATATTTAAGAAGCTTCGGGTTAGACAAGGAAGATTCTAATAGCCTTTACTAGACTTAGTGGACAGATGTTTTTATTGCATCTCTATCAGATTTACTTCCGTTTTCATGAGACAAATCGAAGGCAGTTTTATTGAGAAAACGCCTAAAGAGCGTCGTATGGGATTCGTTGGCACATACGGCAACTACATAGATATAAAAAGAACAGCATTTGTACCGATAAAGCAGAGACATATCTGGGTACAGTAGGTTACATATGCATATTGCAGAGTTATCTTCTCTTGTGAGCAGGTATTGATTGTTACGTCATTGGTTTGTGTGAAAAAAGTACGTCGTTTTCTCAAAAAAAAGATAACTCAGCAATATGCACGGACTTAGGGAACTAAATTCTAATGTTAGTCTATCTCGAGCCTTAGAGCAGCGGATTACATGTATTTGTCATAATAAATGTATGCAAATGCGTTTAAAGAGATGTCTTTTTTTTTAAGTACGGGTAAACATAACAGTCCTGAATTGAAATTGGGTTAAGTTTTACTTTAATGCTAAAACTTAAATGCCCCTTAAAAAAATATTTAAAGTTTTTAAATCGGATGTAGCATTAATTTCATTAAAAAAAAAATCAATCAATCAAAAAAAAAAATTGGTCCCTGTTGAGTTTCGAACATCTATGCTAAGGGCAGGATGTTCGGCGATGTCCGTGAGTAGATCAACGGAATCGGCCGATGTTCTGAGAGCACTCATTTTGCGTCATATTTCTACGCCACTGTCAAGGTCAAACCTGCGTACCACAAACATTTACAGTTAAAATTGATGTCATTTCAAACCAAATCAGAAGTAACCTTATTTTGTTACATCCATTATAATACTCTGAGTTATATTATAAATAAGATCATATAAACTTGACATTACTATTTAGAACTATGTTTTAAGCGGAAGTAGATAGAACAGTAAATGGTTTATTTACAAACAAGAACCTGACAAGAGCATCAAAACAAAGGAGAAAACGTTGACACAATCTGAAAGTGGCATAACACAACATCTGGTGAGCATATTCAATCTCTCGAGGGGCAAACACCAAGCATCACATTATGTTTGCATAGTTAGAATCCCTGTCATCGACAGCAGTGACAGAATTGTCGAAATTATCGATCGAAACTGGAGTTTGTTTACGTGTGCATTTGGTCGAATTAGGTCAAATTTATATTCAGTTATAGTATTGGATTTTCATATTATGACATGGGAAATAAACGTACTTATTTTTCGTTAGTAACTTTTCAGGTAAACTAATATAAAAGTTAGATACGTATTCGATTCATGAAAATTTAAATAAGAGTCTGATGTAACATGATCAAATCTTAAGTATAAATAGGGGTCTGTCTAAAATTAGATTTTGTGGGAAAAGTCAGACGATTTTCTCAGAATCATAAGGTGACGGTATTTAATTGTTATTTAAATTAGTTCATATCATGATTTTAATGCGAGTTAACTTGTAATTGTAAGATAAAATAATGTTGGCTTTGCGTTTTCCCTATTTCATAATATGGTTGAATTGCAACACACATTGACATCAACGTTAACATGTATTACGTTACACACTGAAATAACTTTTCAATATGAATATGACACCAGGAGGATTTGTGCATCAAGAAATAATTCTGAGAGCAATTCTTATGTCACAGGTATATATCAAGGTATATTAAGTTATATACGTTTTTTAATCTGTATTAATTAGTACCTCAGAACATGTTTGTAATAATAATGTTGTTTCAATCAAGCACACATGTCCTGTTGAGGAAGTCTGTATGTCTAGTGTTGTCTGTGTTCTATCCGATGTGTGTTCGTTACTGTCAGTATTTTGATGTGAATATGTCCATATTTGGCATGTCATCTGGATCTGTTTACCTGTTAACCTCTTAGTTGACACCGTTGTTAGCTTGAAGTAGCTAATATAGGCGCATATTGGTTCGGTAACATACTGTTAACCGGTTGTGTAGCATAAAAACTGGGATAAAACTTGGACGGTATATTTTTCCAAAAAGTGTTTAAGCGAGATTTATAACAATGGGGCTTCCACTACAGAGTTGGGAAGGGAGTTCCAAGAATCCACCACTCTTCTACTAAAAACATTTTGAGTGATCTGTACAATGTAGGGGCTTAATTCTCAGACATTCATACGCACATAAGGAGAGAAGAGTGCTACGTGGCTCTTAGTTTTGCAGTTGCAGGGCCAACTTAAAGCCCTAGAGTGTCTCTGCCCACACAACGTTGTCTGGAAGCTTGTTCCGGTCGGTGGTTAGTTTAAGAAAGAAGTTTGTAGTTTGGAAGTGATGTAACTGGATATTGTAAATCACCAATGACCACTACCAGGTATAGCTTATGATCAATTGTTTATAAAGTACTAGCTATAGCTAGCGTCCCTCTTAAATTTTGAATCCTGGTCTAGCTCTTTAATTTTCCCTTTCTGATACATATATATATAATGTCTTGTCACAAAAGGTTTTTTCCTCTAAGAATAAAAGTCAAATTGATCTAGAAGCATTTATTATCTTGCATACCCCCGGTACATGAACAGAACAGAATAAGATTCTATGACCTCAGAACTTTAGATGCCACGAAACAACCCAGTTCTGTTATTATCTAGCTTAGTTACTTTCTTTGTGCTTTTAATATTGATGTTTGTGATAAAATGGTGTGTGAGTTTGGGGTTAGGTCTGGTCATCTGTGTATGCTTCTAATTAATCTAAATTCTTCCTATTCTGAAAAAAAACCCAGATAAATTATCAATGATCCATTTTATTTTGATGTCAAATTTGGATAAAGGGTCTCATATACAATTGACTTTTTATATTGAAATGTTCTAAACAAATATTTATTTGTTTTTTTTTTGCAGAAGAATCATGAATATGAAACTTCCGCCCTACCTGCAGAACAGTATGGAGCAGATCCATGAAGAAGCTCCTGGTATGGGTCCAGAGGTAGACTTTTCTGAATATGTGTGGATGGGGGAGGAGCTAGATGAATTTGATAAACAGGTTTGTATTTACAAAAGACGGCTCTTTTTGTAATTGTATTTATTATTTCTAGCATGGGTTTCTACAATTTACTTTTCAATTTTGACCGCTATAAGTACAAATGTACATAGGTATACATATAGTTCAGTCTTATGAAGACTTTGTTGAACATTCCAATGACAAAAAGATAGTATTATATACTGCAAATAGAGTTAATTATCACTCACACTGTTTTATAGCCTTGTGGTCGTTTATACTTGAGGATTGATTATAATGCCTTAGCTACAGCATTATGACGTTAAATACAATAAATAAATTTTATGAGAGAAGATTGTAACATAATGATAGTTCCAGGAGTACTGACAATACATCACTGAATTATTTACCCTTTAGGGCAAATTGAAAATTGTTTTTTAGCTCACCTGGCCCAGAGGGCCAAGTGAGCTTATCCCATGGTGCAGCGTCCGGTGTCCGTCAACTTTTTCCTTTAAAATGCTACTTGTCCTGAATGGCTCAGAGGATTTTGACCAAATTTATTCAGGAGCATCATTGGCCAAAGGGTTCTCAGTTTTGTATAAACGGAGGGGATAACCCCCCTGGGGGCAGAGGGACGGGGCCAAATAGGGGGAAACTAGGTAAATCTTTAAAAATCTTCTTCTTCTCAACCAATAGAAGGATTTTGACCAAATTTGTCCTAGAGCATCTTTGGACAAAGGAGACTCAAGTTTGTATAAACGGAGGGTGTGGCCTCTTTGGGGGCAGAGGGGCAGGGCCAAATAGGGGAAGTAGAGGATTTTTTCTCGCCTACTATACAAGTGAAGGGATTTAAACCAAATGCAGTCTGAAGCTTGGTCAGGAGCATCATTGGCCAAAGGGTTCTCAGTTTTGTATAAACGGACGGTATAGCCCCCCCTCGGGGCAGAGGGGCGGGGCTAAATAAGGGGAAAAAAGGTAAATCTTTAAAAATGTTCTTCTTCTCAACCAATTGAAGGATTTTGACCAAATTTGTCCTAGAGCATCTTTGGACAAAGAAGACTCAAGTTTGTATAAACGGAGGGTGTGGCCCCTCTGGGGGCGGAGGGGCGGGGCCCAATAGGGGAAATAGAGGATTTTTTTTCTCCTGCTATACAAGTGAAGGGATTTTAACCAAATGCAGTCTGAAGCATGATTAGGGACAAAAGAATCAATTTTGTATAAACTGAGGTGTGTGGGCCTCCTTCTAAGGGCAGATGGGTGGGGCCCATTAGGGGAAATAGAGGAAAACATCAAATATCCTTCTCCTTTTGTACCGATGAAGGGATTTTGACCAAATTTGGTCTGGAGCATCATTGGCCAAAGGGTTCTCAGTTTTGTATGAACGGAGGGTATGGTCCCCCTGGGGGCAGAGGGACGGGGCCAAATAGGGGAAAATAGGTAAATCTTTAAAAATCTTCTCCTCAACCAATTGAAGGATTTTGACCAAATTTGTCCTAGAGCATCTTTGGACAAAGGAGACTCAAGTTTGTATAAACGGAGGGTGTGGGCCTTCTGGCGGCATAGGAGCGGGGCCCAATAGGGGAAATAGAGGATTTTTTTTCTCCTACTATACAAGTGAAGGGATTTAAACCAAATGCAGTCTGAAGCATGCTTAGGGAGAAAAGAATCAATTTTGTTTAAACTGAGGTGTGTGGATTCCCCTTCTTTGGGGCAGATTAGTGGGGCCCATTAGGGGAAATAGAGGAAAACATTAAAGATCCTTCTCCTTCTGTACCGTTGAAGGGATTTTAACCTAACCAAACTTGTTTTAGAGAATCTTTGGGCAAAGGGAATTGAATATTTATAAATGGAAGATGCAACTTTGTTACTTGTACTCCTTTGATAAACCTGAATGGTACTCAGCAGGTTTTAAATTGAAAAATAAAATACCAGGTGAGCTATTAAGGCCCCTGGGCCTCTTGTTTTTAAAATCATGTCTTTGCCTTTTCAGTTTGCAGTGTATGTGTAACCATTTTAATCAAATCTTTCACCTGTAACTGAGCGATATCAGGTTATATCATTCAAATCTAAGATTCTGTAACAGAATCCAAGTGGAGGTTGGGATATAACAGAATCTTAGCCCGATACTGAGATAACCTGATTTTGATCAGTTACAGGTAAACAAAAAAAATCTCACACCTTTTAGTTTGAAACAAATCTATTCATTTTTCCTAAAGACTATAAGTATCCCATCTTGGGCCTCAAATAACAATTGCCTCTTATACACTACTAAAGCTTCATTTGAATGCCTCCGCGTAAAAATGTAGTTCGTCCTTACATAGCAAACAACATATTTCACATTGTATATTATATTTGAAGTACAACATCAGATATTTAACAACATCAAAACAATACATACATTTAATGACAAAACAGAATATTTATAATGCAGAGGTACCGATGAATACATCACAGTGTAAAAATTCTGCGAAAAGTCACGTAAAGGTACCAGACAGATCGGACGAGATAGAAGAATCTAGCACGGGGTGTGACGTGGGATATCTCTGTCTGAGGTGCCAGAATTGCTAATCTTATGCAACAGATTCCTGTTAAAAGAAACTTTCAATTTTGATATTGTATCTTTAATGACAGGTAGAAGAGGAATTTTGGGAGGAGGCATATATGGATGCCTGTTTTGAGGAGATGTTGGCTGAGGAGGAAGCAGAGTGGATATATTTTAACTCAGTAGAGGAGGCTGTAACAGCTTTATATAACTACAACAACAATCTCCATCATCACAAGGTAAGTTTAACCTTTGTGCCCAATACAGAATGTGTTTAGTTTGTGAGCTTGTTTATTGTTGTAATTAATATTGTCACTGATGTGAAATGTATAATATTCGTTTGAAAGATACAGTGTTTCCATCAGCACTTAATTTTTAGAAAGATTTCCTAAGCTCAATCAACTGTTGTTGCACCGGACAATTTATTTTGACAAAATGTTAACTTGATAATAGCTGATGTAAAAATATGTTTACTGTGCAATTGATGATACTGTGCATGTACTTTTACATCAGTTGATGTAACCATATGTTTACCTTGACAACAATTATGTTACTGTATGTTTACCTTGACAACAATTATGTTACTGTATGTTTATCTTGACAACACTTATGTTACTGTATGTTTATCTTGACAACAGTTGATGTTACCATATGTTTACCATGACAACAGATGATGTTACCATATAATTACCTTGACAACAGTTGATTTACTGAATGTATACTCTGACAACAGAAGATATCAGTATATGTTTTCTTTGACAGCAGTAGATGTCACTTGGTATTTACATTGACAACATTTGATGTCACTTGGTATTTACATTGACAACAGTAGATGTCACTGGGGATTTACATCGACAACATTTAATGTCACTGGGTATTTACATTGACAACAGTAGATGTCACTTGGTATTTACATTGACAACATTTGATGTCACTTGGTATTTACATCTACTGTTGTCAATGTAAATACCAAGTGACATCTACTCTGACAACAGAAGATATCAGTATATGTTTTCTTTGACAGAAGCAGATGTCACTTGGTATTTACATTGACAACATTTGATGTCACTTGGTATTTACATTGACAACAGTAGATGTCACTTGGTATTTACATTGACAACAGTAGATGTCACTGGGGATTTACATCGACAACATTTAATGTCACTGGGTATTTACATTGACAACAGTAGATCTCACTTGGTATTTACATTGACAACAGTAGATGTCACTGGGTGTTTACATTGACAACAGTTAATGTTACTGGGAATTTACATTGACAACAGTAGATGTCACTGGGTGTTTACATTGACAACAGTTAATGTTACTGGGTATTTACATTGACAACAGTAGATGTTACACTGCAGGTTTTGTTTGACATTTCAGGGTCCCTCACCTTGCAGTAAGCTGAATCCTGATGCACCAGAGTTTGTTCCAAGATCTCTGAATTCTACTTTCAAGTTCACGTAGCATATTCTCCACTTTTTGCACTTTACCTGTGGCCAAAGGAACAATACGGAATGAGTTTATACTCAATGTCTTTCAAAAAAATGCACAAAAAGAAGATACTCCTTCCATTCCCAGGTCCACTGTTGCATCCATTATGTTACGTTGACATTTAATATTCATCCATATATTCTCTGATGATGATTGTCGCCATTATACATGTACACACTGCAAAGACAAGTTGTCTTCGTGTCAAGTTGTATAAATCTAACATGAGGATAAATTGAAAGTGTATCAGGCATATCTCCAGGCTTCCAGATAGATGTACAGTTTGTAAATTGTACAGAGTGTAAATGAAATGATTAACCGACAGCGGTATAGTCAGCCACCAATGCTTCAGACTAACTACTAAAACGAAAACAATTCTGGAAAGTTAAAGGATGTTTTAATGCTATAATCAACATGCGTACATATCTTCTATGACTCTGGATTCATGTGTGATTGGACTTTCTATCTGAGAAATTTACTTCAAAATTTGTAGACATTTTTTTTAAACTGATACACACTTAGAGCCTAACTAAATTTTCAACTATCAGGAATCTCAATGTTGTTGAACTTCATGTATGCAGTTTGAAAATATTTAATGAAAGTCAAATCCAAGATATCTGGTAGAGAGGAGAGTGTAGCCTGAGTGACGTGTGGACTACTTTGTCTCACGATGTATGGAATACGAGTGCTTTGGACCTTTTGTCCTACTGTGTATAGTGCTGCTTTGTTCAGGGTGTCTGATTATGTTTGTTAACTGATATGTATGACTAGGAAACAAAAAAAATATTATATGTATCAGAAATAATTATGTGAATTATAATTGAATGATATAGTCAGATAAATAAATCATGCTTAGAAGTTCTAACTAACAAATAGGTATTTTTAAAAGTGATTAAGAAAATCATGAATTGTCATCAGTAAATTTTGGTAATCCGTACCTTTATCCAAATCAAGGCATGTGTCGTTGTTTGGGCTGGACTTTTTCCTTGTATGGGGCATTCGGATTCCTGATGGTGGAAAAAGCTGTGTGGATACTTGTACTGCTTATTATATGTGTATGAACTAGCACTTGTGGTTATAATTTTGATAAATGTGTATATGACTATAAGTTTACATGTTTTCTAAGGTTTATGTTACCTGTATGGGATATGTGTGTATTTGTGTGTGGGTAAATGTTCCCTATGGTCAGTCTGTATGACCTTTAACAGTCCAGCTACAGTATGAGAGGTCCCATAAACACTGATCTCCTTCACCTGGCAGTTTTTGGGAATGTTTTTTTGACACAAGCTCTCTACAACTTAATCAGAAATCAGCTTTGTTCTATAATTTTGAAGAGTTTGTAAACTGAAGGCACATTACTCTCTGCCAAAGTTACAGAAAAATATGAAATATCCATAAGCTTAGTCACATTCAGTGTCACTAGAATTCATTTCATGGACCTCTCTAAGTATAGTGAACTTATTTTATGAATGTAAATGACACAGTGAGATACCTATAGTGTTAATGTCATATAATGTTATACAGGGTATTGTTTTAAGAACTGACAAGATACTCAACAGCATTGTTTTTGAATGTCCCTACTATTTTATGGGGGGGGGGGTGCGCAGGTATGTAATGTTACAATGTCTGCCCCCTTTGTCGTGATAAAGTTTCTTCATAAGACATTCTTAACAAAGGAACCGATGCTTGAAATTTGTCGACCAGTATAGTGACAACAATGTAGCAGCTTAATTTCACAACAGATTTTTTATCAAACTTACAAAGCTCCAGTATGAGAATTTCTTACATGAGTTTATATTTCACGGTTTCAAGGTCAAATTGCAGTAAATATTTATAGAAACTTCTCCAGAAATTCAGTGATATCTCTCTAGCAACTTCAATCCTGAACAGATTTTTATCAGACGTTATATAATAGTCAGAAATTAGAATATCTCAAATGACCTTGTATTAAAGCAGGGTTTCACAGTCAAGGTCAAGACCACGATATCGCTCTTTACATAAATGTGTCAAACAGCGACACCAATATGTATGTGACAGGGGTAGTCTTGTTTTTATAGTTTCTCCATCTTTATATCATTCCACGGAATGAATTAGTTGCACATAACCTTATGACTTGTAACACTAGATCTGACAATCAGAGATTAAATGATATTGTTTTTAAATTGTCAAACCAGCGTGCACTTTTGTGACCTGGCTTACCTTTTGTTATCTCTTCACGATGATATTTCATACTAGTCTAACCACATTAAGGTAATGTCATTCAATCCATACATTTCCATTCTAATATGTAGTCCTCAGTCATCAAATTAAATATGTTCTCTAATAATCATAGTATTCATGAGTGTCGTCAGTGAAAATGCACTGACAGAACAGCACACAAACAAATCGTATTCACTTGAGCGATTGAATCCGCTCTCGCTTGTTGAACCATTTCATACCCTACTGTTAGGACAATGCAATATTAAGATGTGCCTACAAGTATGTCAGCGTATGGAAGCACAAATTGATTATAGGATTGAAGTAAGTACAGACTATCCTAGGGATCATTGAAGTTATCCAACATAATAGCCAGCACAAATATCCCATGTTGGTGACATATAGAGAAAATGTGTTGTATGTGTATTTGTCCAAAAGCATTAAAGTTCTATTCGATGTTTTTACCGTTGGTGCATACATTGCCTTGCAAAGGCCTTATATAGAACTTAGTTAATAAATACTTTGTTTTTACTATGAAATTGATGTTGTCTTATCTTAGTTTTTTAGCTCGCTTGGTCTAAAGTACCAGTAAGCTATCGAAGTGGTGCAACATTCGTCCGCCATCTGTTAATCAATTTTTCAACTTTTTTTTTTGGGG